ATGTCCGACATGTCCGCGCGATGGGGCACAACGGTGCAGAAACTTATTTTGACGCAGACGGTTGAGGTGACTTTCTTGTCTGGTTGAGGTCCGTGGGTGGCTAGTACATGGATTCGGTGGGGATAGGAAGCGCGAGGTGGCTAGGGAGTGGAGCCACTGTACTGTCTATATTTTTGATAGCAATGCTTTTGTGAACGCATTCGTGACTGGCAGCCCTATGCGGCGGGTATTGAGTAGGAGAATGGTCTACAGAAGGACTTAGACCCTGGATGATGTGCTGAGAGTGGGTTCGAGGTCATGATGTCAAAGGAAAAGAAACAGTGTGAGAATCCAGATAAGTATCTGTTCTGGTAAGTGGTTCTTTTTTTTTCTCTTCGTCATTCCCTACCATTTCTATAAGAGACGTGGAGAGGGGAGGGATCGACAGGTCAAAATTCCCTTTTTTGCGGATTGTGACACTGTTGAATTCAGGAACCAGAAATGCATTTGGGACATTTAGCTCACCGGCTCATGTCTATGGAAATCTATGGGAATTGATATTTTTGTTGAACCCAGAGGGAGTGAGTGTCAGGGAAGCGCCACAACCGACGGGGGTTTGCAGCTTAGACATTGTCTCCTCCGTCGATCAATGAGAAATAAATTCTTCACACAAACAACTCAAAAACGAGAAGTCAGAAAAAAAAAAAAAAAAAAAAAAAAGAAAAAAGAAAAGAAAAAAGAACAGTGCCAAATATGACGTCTCGCATGTGTGCCCGGGGAGGTCTGGAGGTCTATAGGTCTACACGTACATGAAGCAAATGATGTCGGTACCCGAGGATCAAACGCAAACCCGACTATACTTGATGCGGAGCAGGTTCCAGGACAATCAAAGGGTGTGGATCTGAACCCTTGACTCTGAACCCAAGCTTAGGGAAAGAAGGACACGGTAGTACTGACTGTCAAACCATTAACTGGAACCTGCAGAGTTATTGGAGTTATTGGAATTATTGGAACCTGACGGGAAGATCCAGATAATCCATTATCCGAGACATAGGGGGAAAAAAAATAATAGTTAAGGGGGAAAAGGGTGGTATTGTTCAGAGTCAAAGCGAGTTTGACTGTAACGTACCTACAACATAACTAGGTATACGGAGTAGTGGATTGAGAGATGAGATCATCCGTGTGTTTGGCAATACTCCGTACTCCATGAATGAATGAATGAATAAATGAATAAATGAATATAACAATATGAATAGGAAAGAATATATAGATCAGTCCAGGTGACAATGCCATGAGACAATCAAACCAAGTCTAAAAGGTCAAGAATTGACAATATTCCAAGGTTGTAGGGAAGGGAGTACGGAGTTAAGGTAAGTGAGGGAGTAGTGAGTTAACTGATTTTCTTTGTTTGAATTGGATGGGGAACCGATTTAGGGGATGCCCTGACCAATCAACGTCCAGGAACAATTCAGTGGAGCCTCGTGGACCAGCTCGATCAAGCGGGTCGCCGCATCCGGAGACAAAGAAAACAATGACTCTAGTGCCTTGGCTGTTAATTAGGGAAATTAGGAATTGACACCTCGTTTTTTTTTTCTTTTTGCTTCTTTTTTTTATTAAAATAATAATAATAATAATAATAATATTACTTTGAGGGCACCGTGTCAGTTAGAAGTATAACGGAGATTTTCAAGTCTGTCTCCATAGTAGTAGTATATTATGAAAATGGATGTATAACAAAGAAAAGCCACTTGCTATTAATTTTTCTTAATTTTCTTAATTTTCTTAATTTTCCTAATTTCTAATTCACTTAGTTTTCTTAATTGTTTTTTCTTAATTTTCTTTTTTATCTCGGTTGGCTCGGTCAGAATATCAAGAGCAATCTAGAGCTATTGTCAAAGAACCAGCCGCTAGACAGGGATCCCGGGGGCCCAAAAACCACCAAACAAAGAATCTCGCGCTGTTTAGGGCTTTTTTGTTCAAACGCTATACTTCGCTTTGTCCTAATCCCTGGTATTCCCCGGTCTTTCAATCATTTCTTATTGGGATTATTTCCTCATTTTACCCATTTTACCCTGCTTTTGATTCATTTGGATTCATTCTCTTTGTTACTTCTAGCCCCCTCCTCTTTCTTTCTTGTTATTTCTTAGGGCCCAGTCGCCCCCAAACATATTCATTTCTGCCTTCTCTTTCAAAGCTTATGCTTTTCCCCCTCCCCTTTTTTTACCTTTCCCTTGTGGTGTTTCTTTCATTCAAACTTCGCCTTCGAGCCCTTTCATTGAGTGAGAAAAAAAAAGTATTAAATAAATGTCTTACGATCGAGTTCTCCCCAACCCTGTTGCTCTACGTTATGAGTCTGCCCAAGTCACTCTGCCTAGATCAAGCAATTTACTCGATCACAAAATTATGGCCGAAGAATTGTCTGCTATGGCCATGAGACACCCTGCCGACGGTGGTCCAGTTGGACCTTCAGTCAGATACTCTGATACTCGATCAGCGGTACATCAGACACATCAACATATCTCCCAAAATGCATCCAAAGAGCCACACCCACATCCACATCCACATCCACACAAGATGTCCTCAAATGGCTCCGTCAAACCGGTCGGGCCCATGATCTCAACCAAGGAATTGCCATTGCGCGATAGATCAGATCGATCATCTTCATCTTCCGCCAGCAGTAACAGTCCCATCAAATCACAGAAAGAAAGTGCCATGCAGTTTTGCCTCTGTCAACCGGATCCAAAAATTCCCCGACCTCGTAATGGTGAGTCTATACTGTCCGCACCGTCATTAGAGATTGGCAAGTGGCATTTTTTTTTATTTCGATTGTTTCTTTTCTTGGTCCTCGTTAGCCAGATCTGATCTTTCGAATACATGGGACATTGCTAATGGTGCAATCTCCAGCTTTTATTCTGTATCGTCAGCATTATCAGGCCATGGTGGTCGCTCATAATCCGGGCTTGGCCAATCCCGAGATCTCCAAGATTATTGGAGAACAGTGGCGATCTCTGTCGGAGGATGATAAGAGTAAATGGAAGGCACTTGCAGAGGTAAGACTGGCATCTCTGAAAATGTGTGATTTCAAACCCACTGACAATTACCCCAGGAGGAAAAAGCCCGGCATCAGCAGCAATACCCTGACTACCGCTACCAGCCTCGGCGGTATGGTCGGGATGGAAGTGCCCGAAGTTCGGCCTCAGGAATTGGGCACAATCCATCTGGTTCATCACACTGTAATAGGTGTGGGGGCCGATTGATGAATGCACCCGCTTCCCCCATGACCCCATTCACACCCAGCAGTGGGGTTGGGTATCGACCATCAAATTTCACAGTACCATCACCGCACCCAAATGCCATGCCGCCAAGAAGTGTCCAAGGCCGCGAAAAGGACCCCAATCCCGTTCCAAAGTCGGCAAAGATCGAACACGATCCTCGTTCTCGCCAAAGACACTGGGAGGAACCCAGTGGTCGATCTCCCGATAATAAACGCCGCCGAGTATCCCACGGCTCATTCAAGCCAACTTTACATCCCTCTTACCGGGACCACAGTCCTGGCAGTGCCATTCCTGAGTCACCGCACCCGATGACCCCGTGGAGTGCTCGTCCTGATATGCCGCCACGTCATCTCCCCATGCTTCAACCGCAACGGCCATATCAAAGTGTCCCGGGCCAGCCACACCCGGACCCCAGTCTGAAGCTACCACCACTCCAGACCACAACACCCGTGATGACTCCCATGACACCCTATCCACAAGAAGGATCCAGTGTCGAAGCAACAGTCATGACAATCCCCTTCCTCAACAAGATCAAAGTCCTCGCCAAGATCTCCCCACCACTCCTCCCCTCATTCCGCGACGGCATCCCACCAGCCCGCGGCCCCGTCATCGCCGTGGACGGCCAAGACCCGGACCTCGTCCAAATAGCCGTCGAATATCTCAACAACCTCCTAAAAAAGGAAGCAAAGTACAACGTCCGAGTCTTCGACGGCCCAGAAATCAAAGCACCCCGCCCCAACTCCGCAGAAGCAGGCCAGATGGGCGACGCGACGGTCGACTACCTCAACACCATCTCAGCCTGGCACCAGATCTCCGACGACGTCGTCGGCTTCGTGAAATCCATCTCAAGAGCCGGCTCCGTCGACGCCCGCTCCATAATAATAGACGAGGATCTCCCGGCCCCAAACCTCTCCCCCCACACCCTCATCTCCAAAACCACAAACATACGCATCCACTCCCCAGCCCAGTCAAGCGAGAACGGCTCCGAGACAAGCGCCATCACAGCAGGCAGTAACTACGGCGTGCCCATCGCGCTCGTCCCGCGCTACCAGCTCACCACGGCTGACGCATTCGCCTGCTCCACGCCCATCGGCGACTCCTACGCGCCACTCGATCACTGGCAGTGGATGGCGTCGCTGTGGCGCGCGTGTGTGGGTCCTGATATTACGGTTTACATTCGTGAGTGCAGTAAGGAGGAGCTGGATCGTATGGGTGGGAATCCTGTTGAGGTGCGGTTACAAGATGCGCGCACGGTTGTGCTGAGGAAGGTTGTTGGAAGGGATTTGGAAGAGAAAGCGCTTAAGCGGATGGGTTTTGAAATTGAGGACTTTTTGACTCAGTAAGCTCGAGATCGAGATCAATCTTGGGCCTGTTTGGGGCTTGGGAAGGGAATGGAATTTGAATTTGGTGCATTGTTTTAAGGAGTGATGGATTCATTGGTATTGGTTGGGGCGTGTGATAGATTAGATTGTGGTAATTTGATGATGGCTCATCGTGCTTCTAATAATGAATTATATTAATAGTGATCACCGTACAATGAATGAGGTTAATATAGGAATTAACGACGTTGTAAAATGCTTCAAGTAAGAAGAGGACGTTGGCGGGAGTGGGAGCTCGGACCCTCTTAGATCCACCCCCAACCCGACAGGGCAGAGCCGCTTATCAAAAGCGGTCACCATTCTGCCAATATCTCTCCAGATTCCATCTCATTCGTGGGATGTTGTTTTTTCTTGCAGGTATTTCGCCATGTCAGAGCAAGCACAATGGGCCCCAGGCCCCATGAGCAGGCCAATGCAAATGAACCATGGATCTTCAGGGATTCCTCGGTTTTTGGGTGCCATGTCTAGTCCTGAACCTGATATGAAATGGGAAGACCTAGAGGCGCTGGATGCGCCTCTCGGCCCAGATGTGACTGAGCCTCTGGAATCTGATATGAAAAGGGAAGACACAGAGGTGCTGGATACGCCTCTCGGTCCAGATGTGACTGAACCTCTTGAACCCCATATCCTAGAGACGACGGATACGCATATGGATGGCTATCTCCCAGCCGGCGTTTTGGGCAAATTCTCCTCTAAGCCCCGCTACCCAGACTCCGAGATAGCGCTGCTAGAAAATCACGGATGGATCCGAACACGCTTTCTTGGCAGCAGCAACAATGTACAAGTTTTCGTGCTGCCGAACGCGCAGCAAAATAAACCCATTAAAAAAAGGAAAAGAGGGGAAACCGAAAATAATCTCCTAACCCATCTCAAACTGGTCATGTCTATGATAGACAACTCCTCTGAAGCATGGAACGGCTTGGTTGATGCCCATGCTGGTCTAATTGCCAACACTCAGCCCGATAGCGGCGAAGAAGATTCCCTGTATTACATATTCAATACGCTGCAAGAACCCGCTCTGGACTTGGATCGCCTAACAGATTTGCACTCCCGGGACGCTATGGAGGCATTGCTTGGTGATTCGGTTCTAGGTCTTAAAACACAGCTTCATCCGTTTCAGCGCGAATCTGCTGTTGTGATGGTGCAGCGGGAGGCAGAGCCGGCGCTAGCGCTTGATCCGAGATTCCAGCCTTGGCGGGGTCCGACTGGGTTGGAGTTCTATTACAACAAAGACTCTGGGAGCATTTTGAGGGACAAGATATTGTATCCCGAGGCTTGTGGAGGTAGGCACTCACACTATTGGCGCTGGTTTTCCCAACGATTGTTGGGTTGTGAATATCTCAGTGAACTATACTAACTGTTACTAGGGATTTTGGCAGAGTCCATGGGATGTGGGAAAACCCTCATCAGTCTTGCTGTGATATTGGCTACGCGGGGACATTTTCCCCAAATCCCGGTGGAGTATCAAACACTCGAAAACCCGATTAGGAGCAAGACTGGAACATTAATGGAAATGGCTGCTGCTGCTGCTGGTCGCTTTTCCCTGCCTTGGAAGGACTTCTTTGACCGGCAGCTGGAAACAAAACAGAAAAATTACGATAATTGTAGGAAGGCCTGTATGGCCCAGAGTGGTTCCTACATGATACCGGCGAAACGCGACAATCAAAGGTCTACATCGGGGTACGCCGAGCCGGCGGAGCACATTCGTCTCTGCTCTGGTACACTCGTTATTGTCCCGGAAAACTTGATGGACCACTGGGAACGTGAGATCGCTACTCACACCAGCGATCTGAAACTCTTAGTACTGCGAACGAAGGACACGACACCATCAACGGACGAACTTCTGAACTTTGATATTGTGATGTTCTCCAAAGGCCGATGCAGCAAAGAGAAAGCAACCCGCAACAGTCGTGCGCAGAAGTCGGATGCCCCTATTCTCGATCTTCACTGGTTGCGAGTTATTGTCGACGAAGGGCACAACCTTGCGGGTAAAACAACGGAAATGGTCGACTTTCTAAGAAAACTGAAATTTGAACGCCGCTGGATGATCTCGGGAACTCCTCTCTCGGAAATGTATGGAGTGGAACTTAGCATTGCTTCACAGGAAGTGGGCACAGACGACACTGAATCGTCACCCGACGATCACGCCGGCTCCATCCCTCAAACCCGCAGAAAGGGGGGCAATGAAGACCCGGACTTGAGGAAATTGGGCGACATGGTTCATAATTTCTTCAAGCTCATGCCTTGGGCCAACAATCCTAAAGAATGGGCATGCTACACAAAAACGGTGGGTAAAGATGGCATTTCTCGAAAATCTCCATCTCTACGTGCGACCCTCCAGGGTCTGGTTGTGCGACACCGGTACGAAACGGTCAAAAAAGAGATCACTCTTCCACCACTGTATAACAAAGTGGTCTACCTTGAACCAACTTTCTACGACAGGCTATACATCAACATGTTCCTGTTTACACTCGCAGTCAACGCCATTACATCTGAACGTGAAGGTCCCGACTATATGTTCTATGAGGGTGACGAAAAGAACAAGAAAAACAAAAATAAAAACAAGCTCACTGAGTTGATACAAAACTTACGTCTGGCTGGATTTTGGTGGGCTGGCAATGATGATGTCCAAAGCACTGTCGACATTGCCCTAGAATATCTGGAAAAAAACCAAGAGAAGATGACAGTAGCGGATTTCAACCAATTGAAACAGGGCATCCAGATCGGACGAAAGGCAATTAATTCTCCTGGCTGGAATGGATTCAAAAGGATGCATGAGCTTGGAGTCTTCGTTCGACATTTCCCAGAGCATGCTCGCAACATGTGGGCCCTTGATGCCACAGACACCGACCACGAGCCTCTGCTCATGGGTATGACCCAAGCCCGTCGCGCGCAGGAATTTGTAATGAACCGTCTTCGCATGTCTGATCCCGCCGATGGACTCGCAGGAGAGGGTATCAAAGTTCGTCGGGAGCTAGTTCGACACAGCCAGACAGCTACTTCAAAAAAGAAAGACAAAGATCAAACTTTGGACTTCTACACTCTCCCGGAAACTTCGCCCTTGAAACAAACGAAGCTGGAAGGAGTAGCATCGGCCAAGCTTCGGTACTTGTTGGACCAAGTGCTGAAGTTCCAAAAAACCGAGAAAATCATCATCTTCTATGAACACGACAATGTCGCTTCCTGGGTCGAACAGGGCCTAGACTTAATAGCAGTCAAATTCCGCACCTACGCCAGTACCGCAAGCATGGGATCCAACGTCAAAACCGAGAGTCTGAGTGAATTCCGCGAAACCGACGAAGTCCGCGTTCTGCTGATGAGCGTCAAACAAGCCTCGCATGGCCTCCACATCCCCGAAGCCTCGCGGATGTACATCGTCAACCCGATCTGGGAACGCAACGTGGAAAGCCAAGCCATCAAACGAGCCCACAGAATCGGCCAGAAAAGACCAGTCTACGTTGAAACCCTCGTCCTTGGCGACACCCTCGAATACCGGATGCTCAACCGCAGCAAAAACATGACCGCCGAGGAGACAAAACACGCAGGAAATGACCCGCTTCAAGATAGTACCATGAGCGATATCATCAAGAACGAGCCCTTTTTGCCCATGCCCGACGAGGCTTCGGCCGGTATGGCCCCGCTGACACATCCACTCGGGCTATTTGATCGGCATAAATTGCCGATTCCCGATAAAGAGAAGGTCCGTGCGTCTAAGTCATCGGGGCAGAAACGGCCTCGGGTTTTGGAGTCCGATGCCGATTCCAATTCGAATGGCGTTAAGGGGCCATCGGCCCAGCGGCGACGGATTGGGTTTGTGGAGAATGATCAGGTCATGGGTGATGGTGTCGTGGATGCGGTTCCTAAGCCGCTGCGGCCCGTGCCCGGGGTGAATTCGGCTTCTGAGGCTGGGGTCCCTATCTCTGGACCTTCACGGACTGGCTTTGCGAGGCTTGGGATGGTTATTGGAGGTGGCGATGGAGCATCTGGGGCATCTGGTCAAGTGCGATTCATGCCGATGCACCGGGTGGTAGATTTTACCGGGGACGGTGTTGATAAGCCGCCCTCGTTGTTCGGGCCGTCCCGGCCATGATATTTCTCTACACGTTTGCGTTCTAGCGGCATTTCGGATTTTTGTACACTATATTCCACACGCATATAGAATAATTTCAGTTTATTCAAGTTAAAAGGGAAAATAATTAGTTCATACACCAAGTATACATGTGGCAACATTGGATAAAGTAGACTAACTAAGGATTAAAACGTATGGTTCCTCGAAAGATGGTAAAAATATCTCACTGAAGATACCTAGGTAGTTATCAACTGCTACTAAGAATATGAGTATCAGTACTAGCCAAGCATGTAAGTTACCCTGGAATGCCCTAAGTCTGTGTCATGTAAGTGGGCTAACTAACCATGGGCTAACTATATCAAGTTATCGGGCTGCAATTAGATTCTTCGTTAAGCTGTAGAAGGGCGCTTCTTCATGATGAGAAATAGTTGTGCACCCAGCAACAATCAATCCGCGGGAATAACATCGGTTCATAAACATGGTTATGGAGACTCCGTATTCAAGCTCGACCACAGTCCACGAAGGCAGATACACAACCGCACGTACATTAGTACATTCGCTAGCGGCTTCAACGCTTCAAGGAGGGTAACGTTGTCTACGTTTGTTGGGAATTCCATTCGCGGCAAGTGCAGATATGGACAAGGGTCTAATGTCGTCCCATAAAGGGAATGGAGTGGTGTCGTTCCATATCTCACTCCTTAGAAAAGGTAAGTGGGCTTGGAAAGGGAGTAAGAGTTGAATGGACGTGAATACGAAAGCGGTGCCTGGATCTATGAGGTCAACGATAAGATAAGCTTTTTCTTCCAATCGCACCCCTCACCTGGCGCCTGTAAAGCTTCAATTCTCCAAATCTCCCCCAGATCACCGAGGAAAAGAAAGATGAGCAATCCAGTCCACGAGAAAGCAGTGGTAATAGGGATCTCAGGGCCCTCGAGCAGCGGCAAGACGACCCTCGCACGGTTACTACAGCGTGTGTTCTGCGGGGTGAATCTAAAGCCAGAAGACTCACGTCTAAATACCTTCACAATCCACGAAGATGATTTCTATTTCCCGGACGATAAGTGCGTATACCTATTCTTTAGCGCTATGCACACACACACACACACACACCCACCCACACATTGTATTAACACACACCGCAGAATCCCTTACACAACAACCGCCTCCGGCGAGAAAATTCAAGACTGGGACACAGCGTCGGCAATCGACATCCCCTTCCTCTCGCAAGCGCTACACTACGTGCGCGAGAACGGGACACTCCCACCGCGACTACGGAGCAAGGAAGACCAAAACGACGCGACAGATTCCGGCGTCTCAGACGATCTCGTACAGGAGTTGAGGGGTGTTGTTGGGTCTCGGTTGCAGAGCAAAAGCAAAGTAGCAGGAAAGGACAGCGAAAGCCCGACTATCGCATTCTTAGAAGGCTTTTTGCTATTTGCGCCGCCCGGGCAAGAACAACATGTCCTCCGTTCCGTTCATGACGCTATACATCTTCCTCTTTTTCTGCCTGCGGCGTATGGGGTTGTTAAGGCGAGACGTGAGGGGAGGAGTGGGTATGTGACTGTTGGACCGGCGCTGGAACCGCGGGGTACTGGAGATGGGGGAGATGGTGGGGGTGGGAAAACGGGGACGGATATTGATCTTGAGGCTGAGGATGATCGGCCACCGCAGAATTTCTGGGTCGATCCGCCTGGGTATGTGGATGATGTTGTTTGGCCGCGGTATGTGACGGATCATGCTTGGTTGTTGATTGCCGAGGGTGGGGACGAGGATCAGAAGGACGGGAGTCAGGCTCTGACGGAGGCTGAGCTTGTTCGGAGGATTGGGGATGGGACTAGGGCTAGGACTGACGTTGGGGTTGAGGTTGCACCGGGGTGTGGGAGTGCAGGGATGGATGTTGTTTTGAGATGGGCTGTTGAGTTAATCCTGGGGTATTATTTGGATCGGATGGGGGTATAGGAGTATACATATGGATTAAATGGTTTATAAGTGTGTATATAGTGGCTTAAGCAATATATCTCCGTCTTTTATTTTTGCTATCTGCTACTGTAGTGATTGCTGTTACTCCGAGTAGAATAGAACTAATACCGCGCGTAGGTACCAAGGTCATAATTGAACTCTCCTGATCTGATATTTGGCTTAAAACCAGCATTATCAACTCTAAACAAGGTGTAGTAGAAAGAATGAGTCAACGGCTTAATCAATAGATTTTTTTTTATGTTTGCTATCTGTTAACGGCAGCGATGGCTGCATCTCATTCTGCAATTCCTCATTCATATCCCAGCATTCTCCTTCGTAACGATACTAAGCAATCCCATTCCCCGAAAATTTACTCCCGCGCAATTGGTCCTCGCCATCCGAGAAGGTAATCGATGCGGTCTCTCAGGGGCATTGGGGTGATGTCGGCAGGTGTGGTGTTGACAGATGGCTGAACTTCGAATCGAGTCTGCTCAGGCTGAAGATCGAACTCCATCAAGACAGTTTCCAACCCCTTCTCCAAGTCAGTATTGGTAAAGTTCTTTGTGTAGTCCACTGGGTCATAGACATACACTTCGTTTTGCGGACACGAAGTGGGGAGAGCACGGGGGTCAAGATTGAAACCATGGCTGAGCAGCAAGTACGACCAGTAGATGGTATGAACAGATGCCGAGAAAGCAAGCAGTTGGAAGACGAAGTTGATTAGGGTCCACAATCCAACAGCACGGCCTGGCTTCTTTGGCTCGGCAACTGGAGTTCCCGCAACAGTCTGTGTACTTGTGGACTTGGAAGCTGGCTTTCCAAACAGAGGCCGATTGATCTTACGTTTGTGACGGAGAAAAGCTCCACGTTGGAGATATGGAGCTGGGGTTGTCATAACTTGGGGCTTAAAATCGAAAAGCACACCCAGTTGGCGACGTGAAAATTGGGTCCCAGTATCAGCATCAACCTTCTGGCGCTTCGGAGGGATCTCTTCATGCTCGGGGCTAAAGATGGCGTAATCCTCTTGGAGAGTAGTTTCAACATCACGGTAGCTGAGTGTGGTCTTAATCCATGGCAGCCATGTTACAGCCATGCCTCGCGGCAGCGTGATTTCCCACGACACCGTGAACATTTCCAGAGCTTGTGGAACACTGATGATACTGATGTGCGAGATTCCAATTCCACCTAGCGATGTTTGTAGTTGAATCGAGTTTATCAGAGGCTTTTTTGCTGCAAAAACGGCGTGGAACTGGCCGTCAGGACCGCCATGCACAAAGAGGTCGAATTTGCACTTCTCGGCCCAGAAGTTGTGATTGATGAGGTCAATGGAGCAAACAGCATTGTATTTAATCAAATAGCACGATGGGTCGCTGGCGTCTGCCACCTCGGCCCGTATGACTGTGTTGACTTTGTGGTCCTTGAGTTGTCCGTAGTTTTCTGCGTTGCACTTACGGAACGGAACCACGAGGCTTTTTCCACCGTGAAACTGGGCCATCAAGCAGCTTTCCACGAGGGTATGTCGTTTGAATGACGAAGTCATGAACTCCATTCCCTGGCCCGGGGGTGTCCGGAAGTAGAGATAACCAGACTCGAATTGGGAGAGTCGAGGTAGTCCGTTCACAACCAACTCCCACCATTCCTTTGATTTTCCTTTCTGCAGTCTGACCTTGAGCGCAATCGCGATTTGGTATGTCGCAGGGTAGACACTGGAGGGGGTCTGCACATAAAGAATGCCATTGCTCAGGGTGAGTTTGGGCTTGTTGTGCTCTTTGTCAATTTCTACGGGCGTCGGGGACAGAGGGAGTCCATTAAACCCAGAGCACGAGAAAAATGATGGTGATGCAATGGATTCGAGTGAGAGAAGCAGGTCCTCTTTTTCTTTTTCAGAATCTTCGGTATCCGAGAGGCTTCCGTTGCACCCACGAGTAGAAAGTGTATCATAATTCCGATGGTGCAAGTTCGCTTCGGTGAGTGGTTTGGTGCCGCTCAGATCAATCTTGCTGAGAGAAGTGTCATCAGCTTCAGGTCCATTGTGAATTGTCGTTCCCTTGCCATTTAGCAGAGGATACTGGGATGAAATGCTCGGGAAAACTGGCACAGAGTCTTGAGGCAAGGTAATATTCTCAGGCGTGACGTTGATTTCGTCTAGACTGGAAATGAAGCTGTTGATTTTCTCGACGGTGGGGCTATTGTCCTGGGACACAGGCTCCAGTTCCAGCGGCAGGTCGACCTTGGTCATCATAAGTTTGTGTCGGGTGCATTGGTCCTCATCGTCAGGAGGGATTGAGTCAGGCAGAGAAGCAGCCCTAGCAGATCTCTTACGAGGGTTGGAGGAGTGCGGGCTACCCAGGCTGTCGACCTGACTCTTGCGAAGGTCAGAAGAGGCTGAGCCATCCGAGCCATCAACCATGGTGTACCTCCCAGAGACATCCACAGTAGGACGAGAGACACCCTGAGGATCATCATGGACAACAACACTCCCAGAGTCAGCAACAGAGCCATTCTTGGCTGGGTATTTCTCGGTCTCGTCGCTATGTTCCAGGTCATGCCGGCAACCCTCTTTCTGAGCCGGAGAGTCGGCATCATAGTGGGCGTAGTCAGGCTTCAACCGGAGGACCCAAGACGGGATCTTCACGTTGTTTGGCGACTGAACGTTGAGGATGGGTAAGTTGAGGTTGGGATGACCACAGGTTTGTAGCTTAATTTAGACGACAGTCAGTACTGAGATCCAAACAGAAGACTCGAGGCCTGGTTTTTCAGTACCTCCATGGCGATTGTGATAGACACTGGTTCTTCGGGAACGCCGCTCCAGTCGCACCACATATCGAGGTTGCTGAGAGGGCTATCGTTAGGATCGATGATGGGATCGATGATGGGATCGATGGTGGGATCCATGATGGGTTGCATTGTGGGCTCCATGATGGGCTCCATAAGATGAAATGAAGATGGGGAAATGGAAAAAAGAGAAACTGATAGAGGAGAGGGAAAATGGAGAAGTAAAACAAAATGAAAGGAGAGTAGAGAGTAGAAGAGAAGTTGGGGAACCATGGAAGGTAGCAAACAACAGGAAGGTACGTGAAGATCGGTTTATCCTATACATCGGAAAAAAAGACATCTACATCGTCAAAAGACAAAAACCAGACTATTCTTGTAAATCGTCAATTAAAAAAAAAAAGAAAAGAAAAGCAGCACTTGCAAGTAGCCAGTGAGACTGCTTTTGAAAAAAAGGGCCTGTATATACAAGAAGGGCTTAAGAATAATCTCACTTTTCTCCCAATCCCATGAAAGAAAGACCTCCCCCTTTTATATCCACCAGCGCCTGTATAAAAAAAAAAGAAACCCTTTAGCCACCCAGTTAAAGCATCAAGCATAAAAAAAAAAGAGAAAATAATGAAACACTCCTCCCAGTCTATAAAGACAGAAGAAAATATAAAAATAAAGAGACGATAGCCATAAAGCGAGAACCGTCGAGGACGTCAAGCAAGTCATTGGGGCGTTCCATTCGAGGAGTCGGGGTGATCGAAGGTTGCTGGGCCGGCCACGGAGCCAAATCGATCGCCTTCGTTCACCATTTGAGATGGAAGAATAGGGGTATTCGCCTGGGGAGTTTGGTCGAAATAACCTCGCGCGGATCCATTAGTCCCTTGGGGATAGTCGCGATTCCGCTGTAGAGGAGGAAGTATAGCAGAGCTAGGGGGGGTATCCGGACCGGGCATATCCCTGAGCTATCATCGCTCCAGTCGAATCCGGGGTCTGTCTCGGGTCCAAAAATCCTTAGCTAGGTGTTCAATTCCACTCTCACTGGTTCGCAGAGGGGTGTCGTACAGGAGTGCCAGGCTGGTTCATCGCCATCATTTGCCCCACAGCGGCCTGCTGCTGCTGGGTGGATCGGCTTTGACCGGTAGGATCGGGGATCTGGGACATGGGGGCTGATCCCTGCATGCCCGTTGATGCTTGCATGCCCGCTGAGCCTTGCATGCCTGGGTACATCTATCCACCGGGGTCAGCTCCAAGCACTCCCAAAACCTGCAAAGGGGGGGGATACGAACCGCAGTGTAATCCGGCACCACCTGCCCTGTGGAGTAAGTCTGCATGGCGGCAGGTGTTTGGTAGGTTGCTGACTGACCAGCGTATATGGCAGCTGTTGGCTGGCTATATGGATCCATTTGACGGGCCATTCGACCATCCACATCATAGATGCCCTGCTGTCTACCATAGTCGACGGAAGTGCGGTGACGCTTGACCGGCGGCTGCTGGCCGTAGTACCCATAATCTCGGGCCGCCGGTGGATAGCCCCCATAGCTAGATGATGGAGGGATCTGCACCGCCTGACGCTCCGGAGATCGAGTAGGGACTGGCTGATGGAACTCGTCCGGTCGTGTGGTTCGTTTCCTGCGGTTGTTAACTACACGGCTTCACATTCCCATGGGTCCATAGCACGTACAACATGGTCCGAGGCTCCTTCCGAATGCGCAACTTCACACCTTGATCCGCAAATGATCGGGAAAGGTGGGTTGACTCCATCATTCCGGGGAAGCTCTTGGGAGGGGAAACTGCAAGCTTGTCAGAACCCAACTATGCCAGCTCTCTCCGAGGTACAGATTCCTACCTGTGAATCGTTCTGAGATGACGGTTTTCAAATAGGAGACACGGTCCCTGTTGGCTGCTTGTTAGCTATGGAATCCAGACTAGGCTCCCGACCGGACTACTCACTTGCGCATCTCGAACAAGGTAAACTTCAGGCGAAACTCGCCCTCAATCTTCACGGAGAGATCTCCAAAGACGAAAAATCCACCATCTAGAAAGGCCCGTCAGTGAACAAGCTCCGCCACCCCCCCAGGACCAGCCAGAAACTAACCGCTGTTGTCCACATCCTTCAACCGGTGAAGTGACGAAACTAGGGTTCCTGCTAACGCAGTCGACGGTGCGACGGGCACAGGACGCTCTTCTGTTGCATCATACAGACTGCAGCACATGAAATAATAAGGACTTTGCAGGTAATGCCTGCGCCAAAGTCAGCCACGTGCACAAAGCCACGGTGAATGGCTCACTTACTGTGCGAGGTAGGTGCCCTCCTCTCGCACCCGGAGCTGGACGATCGGGGGTGGATCGATAGGTTTGCGCTCTACATGCGCCATTAGATCCGGTTCCTTTACTGTCAGTTCCGCGCTTTCCCGGTTCACGGGGACTAGCTAGGAACAAGAGAGAGAGAGTGTGTGTGAGAGCTTCCACATACCTTTTTCCTTGCCCCCCGCCACGCGGGCCCGATTGGGCTGCTGGCGAATGATCAGGTCAAAGTCAGAACTGGTGTTGTTCAACATTGTCAGTGGGATTCCCTGGACGACCGCGTAAGAGTTGCGACCCTGTCAACGTAGACACGGGAAGAACGACTCACCCCTGAGCTTCGCGCGAGAGAGAGGCGTCGGAGAATGTCGCACTCATCAAGACGAAGAGTCACAGACAAACGGAGGGAAAGGTGGAGAGAACCAGCCCAAATTTGAGGTTGCTTTTTGAGAGATAGTGAACCAACAAGATACGAAGGGTCGATCCTCGGGAATACAGAGACCAGGTATAAGTGATCTGTGGTTTACAAAGTAAAGAGTGGGAAAAGGAAGGAACGGGTCTTTGGACCGAAAGAAATCCCAAGAGAAAGATAAGGACAGAAGAGAGAGAGAACCCTGGACGAGTCACGATGTCGTCGGAGAGGGGTGTGGCAGCTGTAGTGGGGTAATGATTTTTTTTTTTTTCTTTTCTTGTTTCCTCGGGACTTTCAACCATGGAAGACAAGATAAAAGGACAAAAAGAATAGCGAGAGTGAGAGTGAGTTGAGAGAATAGGATGTGTCGAAAGTTGACGAAAACGGAGTGGTGTCGTCAGTTTGCAAGCGGAAAGAGCCAACCGAGCACGGTTCCAGACAAAAACCTTAAGCGGATCTCTTTTTTGATGGTATAACGGTTGGATAAAAATATATATATTGGAGATATTCCGAGATTTTCAATCTAAAAGAAAATATTATTATCAATAAATTTGGGAGAAGAAAAGAATAAGGGAAAAAAGAAAAAAAGCAAAAAAGAAAAAATTCAGAAAATCAATTGGATCACAGGCTTCCAAATTATCCAAATCTTGAACAAATCAGATTCCAGAATCCCACAAAAAAAAAAAGAGAAGGAAAAGGAAAAAAAGGAAAGAAAAGAGAAAAATTCAACTAACCCAATGAAATATCCAGGATATTAATAAAAAAAAAGAAAGAGAAAAAAGAAAAAGAAATCTGAAATCTGAAAATAAAATAAGGGACCAGAAAAAAGAAGAAATCCTCAAATTCTACCACCGTAACAATCTCTTCAAAAACGAGAGCAGCTGAGGTGGATCGGCCTTGGGAAAGGATAACGAGAAAAAAAAAGAGAAAAAAAAGGAAAAGATAATAAAAATAAAAATAAAAACCGTAGACGGAAGAAAAAAGTGGAAAGAAGTTCAGCTACCCACGGTTGAGGGGGCGAATGGCGATCCGGATGTGCAGTAAACTTCTGGTTCTGACTTTCTTGTCTTTCTCGTTGGTCCGAAAGAAACGGCGAACGACTAGTCCGCTAGTCCGCGTCTGTTTTTTTCCTTTGAATCAGAAAAAAATAAAACCCACAAGGTTGGCGCCGGCTATGCAGGTGATCAGACCCGGTTTTCTTGTAAATGTTGTCGGTCTAAACGCCAGGTGGACTCGGGTCCTGGTCCGGCGTCTAAGCATTCCAGTCAAAAGTGGAGATATGCACGATCAAGCCGCATTGCCTATGTCCGGGGGTTGTTCCTGTGTCTCCACACTCGATCTCGATCTTGTAACGATTAGCTTGCTTGTTCAAAATGTTAAAATAGTTCCTTTTTTTTTTTTTTTGAAGCTCAAGGAATTTCCGGACAAGGGCGGATATCATGGCCGCTTGTCGATGAAGGTGCCAACCATGGTTCAAAGCTTGGATTCCTTATGTCATCCCGAACCAAAGAATGCCTCACGGCCCTAGGCCTCACACACTCGGTTGGGCACCTGCCAAAACAAACACAAAAAAAAAAACAACAGAGACAGTACCTTTTTTTTCTTCTTTCTTAATGTCCTGAATGCTTCTTGCTGTGATAAATCCGATATTCGAATATTGAGCGTCAATTTTTCAATTTCAGGGATGCGTGTGTCACGCGAGGAAGGTCGGAGCCCCAAAATGAAAAGGATTCAAAGGACTCAGCGCACGCGCATTCGAAGGTCCAGGTCCCAGCGCAATCACTAAGTGATCAAATGAACGAGAAAGCTGATCTCCACAGACACGATCGAGTGCAGTGGCACGTAAATCCCAAGAGCGCTGTTATTCCGATCCGAGACGACGAAGCGATACATGCCGGGTCATGATGCGACAGTGGGAAGCGAAAGAGAAGAAAAAGAGTTGAGCCGAGGAGAAGCGAGAAGGAAAAACCAGGCAGCGCAGAGAATTGGACAAGGCGTTTAAGGGGGGAATGCAACGAACAACGCACCACTGCAACGCAGAACTTTTCCTCGTGACGCGTCACATTTCGAAGACATGCAGGCCCAACATCCCATGCAAGCTACTGTATGTTGACTGCAGTCGGGTGCCAGCATCGACGCTGGTTGGTTCCCATCAACCGGAAATCCCTCCATCAAGCTATGGGGCCGGGACAACATGCATCAGCCAACGAAAAGAGAAAGAAAAAAAACACACCAATACCGAAGATCGGTGCCGGGGCAGTCCTGCAGCTTGCAGATCAGGCGTTCGTCATGATAATAAAAAATAAATCGGTACTTTCTAGTATGGACTACGGGGGCTGCTTTGCGCCACACTCGCTGACCCTCGATTGCGGCTGAGGATGTACGATACTTTTCCCCCTCCTGTTCAGTCACCTTCCAGATAAGTTTGGCTGCATCGGCAGTGCAGAGAAGGGTCCCGCATCCAGGGCATTGGTTGATGCGTCTTTCCGAGGAACTTGCATTTCATACTCCTTCGGCATTAGGGGCCGTTTGTCCTCGTCGTTATCAAGTCCTTTTCTTAGCAGGATTTGCAAAAAAAAAAAAAAAAACAAAAGGGCAAACATCCCAAATCCGAACTTGCATACAGATATTCTGGGGTCCGGCTTTGGAGAGGTAACATGGCGATGATCATCACTCGTCAACATGTGATACGGAGGGCTGCAGGTACAGTCGATTATGACAAGCATTCCTGTCACAGTCCATGACATATCTCCACATCATGGGAGCTTTGATGGCAGCGATAATATGCAAGGGTGAGGACCAGGGATCAATTTCGATCAGACGCCGATCAGCCTGACAAAAGTCCGGACTCAATATTCAATCCTGCAGCGAGAGTGATACTATCGGTATTGGCAAGTGACTGGAGCAGATGGGACCCGCCGAGTGCGGGTTTTCCGGGGCCAATACCCAGCTTCCAGAAAACCACGTTTGCGATTCGCTGACTGACCTTGGGATAAGTACAAGCTGATAAAAAGGGGGGTTATTGAATAAGAGAGAAAAAGAAGTAAAAGTGAGGGGTCAAAAGCGGACAAACACACTCAGGGTATGGGTGTTGTTTGATGGTTTGACTTGGTCTGAGCTGTGGTTCTTTATCCATTGCATTATTCCAGAGCGACAAGTTCCTGGGAATGCAGTTGACAGGCCTGAAAAAAAAAGCTCACAGCACTAGATGCACATCATTATGCGACAAGCAAGCCCAAGCGCTGAGAGCACGACCTGTCACTTCTATTTGACTTCCGGGATTCGGCCCCAGCGCCAGGACAGAAGTCCCAAGTCTTGGTTCTTGATCTTGGTCATAGCGGGGGAAACCACCGTTGCCTCTGTTGTAGAGTCATGATTCAGTTTGTGGAAACTAGCATGACTCGTCCAGACGTTGGATGGAATAATTGAGCTAAAGGTGGGTGTGATACATGTGCTAACAAGTAGAGACAAGAAGAAAGAAAAGAAGAAAAGAAAGTTCCGAGTGCGAAAAACGAAAAATTAAAAGTGACCGCCAAAAAGGAAGCGAATTTTTTCGAATTTTTTTTTCTCCCGATTTAAATGTACAACGCACACCCTGGCCGAAATCCACTGCGACCCTGATTGGAAAAATAAAAATAAAACTGGGAACTTGTTAGTGTCCGGGATGTTCTACTGACTACACCATACGGTAAATAATAGGAAGGAAACTCAAAAAGGAAACCCCCGTGGAGAACAACCTCCCAAAAAAAAAATTCCAATTAATAGAGCGAACAGGGGTTCGGCATTGCAACGCACGAAGTCGCCGAGAGAAAAGGAAAGAAGAGGAGGAGAAGGGAGAGGGGGGCTTGATGGAGCACTCCTGAAGAGGGTACTTAGACGGGGGGGCGGAATAGGGAAATTTTTAGACTCACAGAGGACCGGTGAGGAATTTATTAGGGGGTTTACCTAACTTGGGCAAATTGCAACCAGTCCCTAGTAAAATTCAATCAATTCAATCCAAGAATGCACCTGTGGACATATCTGACAGCGGCAATCTCCATTGAGAGTGGTTTAATTGTTAAGTGGGCGCTACTATGTTTATGCTTAAATTCCAAGGTTGGCCACTGTGATGGTTCCATGGTGGTTTGGGGGGTTCCATGGTTGTGTTCCCTCCCTGACAGCTGTCCGGTCCGTGTTGGCGCCGTGCCGATCTTTTGTCGATCGGAGCTTTGTCGGGACTACTTTAGATTGAACTCCATACATTAGTTATATTATTATTGTTAACTAGTTAGTTAGTACTTCATAAGAGGTAAGATCTTATATTCCTTCTAATCTATGTGATCCTTTAATATGCTATCTGGTACAATATAAGCTACCTAGGTCATAGCTAATGCCTAGATTGTCCACGGGTATCCCAATTCCCACCTTCCTAAAACGGTTGGTCTAAAATTCTCCCGTTGTACTCCGTAGAATACCCGATAGACCTATGCATGATTCTGACTGTCATGATTATTGCTCGATAGTTCTGTGTATTTTCGGTCGCCTACGCCCATTGTAGGTTTACTGCAAGGATCACACAGAGTATTTCGTACTTATGTTGGATGTGCAGCAAGGAGTAGAACACATCAGATAGCCGCAGATCAGCCCTAGCTATCGAGATCTACTAGTATGACATTCCGTCCCTCGTATTCGATTGGGACTACAATTGGCTATTGGATCTAGACAAAAAATATTATTGTTGATCTTCTTTTCCAGTTTCGGCATTTTATCTAACAGATATCTCTCCTATTTTGGACATTTTCAACATGTCCGCGCAGGACATGACACCCATTCTTGGATATATCGTATGCAAGGCACGGATCTACTCCCATATTTACACTAGAGCAAAGAACTACCCAGTAATTGACACATTGACATAGAATATACTAGTTAATCACACACTGTACTCATTCGTCGCAACTAGATAAAAAGAGAAAAAGAAACACCCAAGCAAAAAAAACTCCAGACACCCCCATCCCTGCTCCGTGCTGGATGAAATTCCCGAAAAAGCGACTAGTAGCAAATGGACAAAAGAGGAATTGACGAGTGCGACATAACACTCCTGTCACCCCTGGACACACCCATTTAGCATAAAATAGCCTTTGAACAAGGAAAAAGAAAAAAATGGAGAAAGAATATTAAATCAAACGGCGGGAGAATGCAGTTCCCGGGGACACGGGGACACGTGAAAGAAGAGAAGGGAGAAATAAAGGAATCAGAAATTTCGTTAAAATAAACGCCCTGTCCACATGCGTAACTTGCTTTGCAGGCAAAAAAAAAAGGCCTCCACGAATCATGAGCTTCACGAATATCATGTCTGCATCACGACATCCCCATCGACTTCGTACTCGGCGTCAATCTCTGCATCCGCATCTGCATCTGCGTCTGAATCTGCATCGGTGCCATTAGTATTGGCCCCGGCCTTTTGACCCTCGCCTTTGCCTGGTGACTTGGAAGCAGACCCTGCCTCAGCGGGAACCATAACGTGAACTTTCTCAACCAAAGCCTTCCGGTTGACTGATCGCGGTGTCTTGGCGTTATCGTTGGATCGACGGGAAATTGCCGTTCCAGGTGACCGCGAGATAGAGTTGCTCTTCTTCTCGGGGGTCTTGGGCGCTTCTGTGTCCTTGTCCTCGGACGGCTCGGGCTCGGCAGCATCAATGCCATTGGTCTTGACGGGTTCCTTGGTGGCAGCATCTCCATTAACACGCTCTGATTCTTTTTCGCTCACGTCTCCAGCTCCTTTGAATGCAGGAGCCACGTTTTCGACATCCTCAACGATTTCGCTCTGCTCCAGTTCAGGACCGTTGACCTGACTAGGTGTTGCTTCGGCTGCGGGCGAGTCTGTGAGGATAGAGCTTCTCCCCCGGCGAGTGCTGCCTCCAGGAGTGACCATTGCCAGCCCGGAGGGTCGTCGAGGTCTGCCGCGACCGTTACTGTTAGTACGGGCAGCCGTGGGTGTCGTTGACATGTTATTGAGTTTGGTGCTACCAGATGGGCGACCAGGTCTGCGTTTAGGAGGTGCTGCAGGAGGCACAGGAGGCCAAAGTTCGAACCGGGAGGGTGGGATTCCAGCGGCAGGGTTGGGGATTGTAGCTGGTTCAGAGTTGCCCGCTGTAGAATGGCGGGAGCCATTGGGCCGCAGAGCCAATGTGGAAGGCGGTCCAGCGGAGTCTGCGAGAGTGTCTCGATCCGACCCATTCACCATTGGAACATTGCCCTCATAGTCAGTCGCTCTTGTCTCGGTCTCATCTTCCTCTTCATCCGGGTCATCGCGGGGCGCGACGGTCTGTATGGGAGCACGATCGAAATGAGACTGGTTGCTACGACCCATAATGTAAGGTGTCCAGAGAAGCGCATCTGGATTGAGCTGGACGTAGCCCTTGCTTTCCCATCCACTGATGACCTCGTTGTAATATTTGTGATCGAGACGGATGGCGTACGTCTTGGTAATGGGATCCCGCACGAGAGCTCGAAGTCCTTCCAGGGCAGATACAATATCATCTGCTGTCATACCCGTGCGATCAGACAGATCTGCAATGCTAACAGGTGCCTTAAGATCACGAAGTTGGTATGACAAAATCAATCGCCAGTAGTTCCGGTACGACACCAGACCCATGTCAGAAAGCGGCTTTTCGGGTGATCCATTTTTGCCTTCGATGCGGGTAAGGAGGTATGAGAAGTCGATGAGGAGGTTTCCGTAGCCTTTGCGCTGATGGATGGGTAGGGTAAGAATGCAGGAAACGTTGTTCGCTGAGCTTGGGCGTTTTTCTTTGCTGAAGTAGCCAACGAAATGGCAGCCCAGATCGTCGTACTCAGTCATGACATAGAATAAGAATGGCTCAACGTCGTAGTAAAGTGTCTTGGAACCAAGGAAAAGCTTTGCAAGAAGGCAAAGATTTTGACAGTACACCGGGTTCTTGCGCCCATCAACTTCGAAGATTGAGATTGATCGATCACGGTAGATCTCGTCACCGGGGGATGCTTCGCAGGGCACTTGAGTTTATGGCGCCAGGCGACGAAGTCCGAGTTCATGTATTTGAGACAGAACTCGCAAATGTACAGAACACGGTTCCGGCTGTATTCCTCCGGGTAGGGCGCTGCATACCAGGTTTCGATCTCGTAGCCACCGAAGTTGATAGATTTGATCTTTGAAGGAGGGCCAGAGACCTTTTGTGATGCATGCGCAGTGGTTTCGCCATTGAACTCTGCTTCCTTCACTTTCTGTTGCCATTCATCTTCGGCTTTCAGACGTGCCTGTTCGAATCGGTCGCGATCAAATTGTGTGGGGAGTGTCCTGGATGTATCTTGTTCGATTTCGGACAGAATGCCTCCATATGGTTTGGATTTGGCGTCGTCGGTCTCACGGTCGAACAAGGTCATGGAGTTGTAGGATATCGGGGGAAGGGGAACGAAGTGTGCCTGGGGTTCTGGGGCCACAGGTGGCGGCTTTGGTGCTTTCTTCTTCTTGCGTCCGGGGCGGATTTGAGAGCCTGTTATTTTAGCCATTTTTGTCTCATCCAACCGGAACCCAATAATCAATTTCCCAAATTGTCTAGTGACCACGCGGCAGTGCTCTCGGTCTACTGCACGAGTGCGTCGCACGCGTACAGAACGTGTTCGAGCAGGAGAGTGGACATCACCATCGCCGGTGAGATCCCCGCCCTCCAAGCCCGCATCGTTCGAAATTGGGTGATCGGAGCGGAAGGAGGTTTGTCGAAGTCTTTTGCGAAGCACAGGTGTGTGTTGTTCTTCGGCCTCGATTGACGAGGCCTTCCGCTTGCGTAGCGACCGCGAGCTATTGAGCATCTCGTCGTCGACACCTGTGTTGAAGATAGAATGGAATCCCTCGTCGTGTGTGCCAGCGTGCGCGGGTAGAAGCTCTTTGGGAAGGGCTGGGGCTCCGAGTCCGGTTTCTGTCGCTGGGTTTGTCGTGTCAGGCTCTAGGTTGTTTTGAACACAGCTAGGACACCTCCATGGGTCTGGATGTTGCGATGTTAGTGTGTGTAATACATAAAAGAGGTTAAGGGTGATGGGACAGAAGTCAATGACCAGATGTTTGCGTACCTTCCGTTTCATCATATGCTTCTTGTTCGCGTGCACATTGCCGGTGAGCTATTGGGATGCCGAGTCAGCGAGTAGTCCGACATAATCAGGGTAAAGGACGAAATGAGCGACACGTACAGTGATCACCACATACAACACAAGTGAGCCATTCCTCAAAATCTTCACTTGGATCGTGTTCTTCGTCTTGACTGCAAACTCTATTGGTCCGTTGTTAGTACCGAAACGTCCTAATTCTGCGCTTAGTCCTGGGTCGAGCCCTTCCACTTACAAGCAGTTTGAGCCACTGCGGATATCAGTTTCGACATCCTCGCCGCCATTGCTCTCAGCTTCCCAGTCCTCAGCTTCTGACTCGTGGTCACTTGATTCGGGTTCTGATGCGTCACGGTCATTTGCCTCAAACCTGGGATCGGCATCCGCGTCGGCTGTCTCAGACTCCGCATAGTCTTCTTCAGAACCCGCGTCGTCGTCAGGTAGCTTGACGGCTCCAACAGGTTCAGCCTCGTCATTGTCGTCGTCGTCGGCTTCTCCGTTCAACCCATTGACGCTTGAGTTATTTCCACCTGCACCCTCCTCCGGGCCATCCTGATCAACTTCTCCGGTGTATGCTCGGTGAACGGCATCTTGAAGCTGCTGATCCATTTCATATAAGTCGGTTTCTTCTTCGCCCTCCGCATCTAGGTCGCTATCGGCCGGGTCCACAGCCGGGTCGAGTTTGCCCGGTTCATCGTTTGCTGGCGGCACCGTCGCCGCCATAGTGAAAGTTACCGCCACCGCCAGGTTGAGCACAGCAGTGCTTGTTGTATGCGCTCACTGTATGCGCTCAGGCTGACTGAGGTATCCTTTGCGTGAAAGAAGCTTGAACCGATCCGGTTACAGAAGCACCCCGCTGACGTCGGCGCTGATCCGGGGGCGCATCTGGATCAAAAAAGGGTTCGGGGGTAGTTGAAATAGTTCCGAATATCCTTACAAACACAGGTATCGTTCGTGATTGACGCTCAAATTCTCCAGGCGCAAAGTTGAAGCTAAACAAACAAGAGGTGTCAGTCCGCCGCTGGAGTGGCTACGCATCACAGGCGCGTCGCAAAACAGGGAAAACTCACCCCAAGAGAAACCAGTGTAATCTTTGATTCAAAAGCGTACCGGACGCGTCGAAGGACAGTCCTTACACCGAGGCCTGTCTCTTTTACAATCGAATGCGATCTGCAACGGCCTTCACGCCCCTTGTCCTGTGAGTGTCGTTGCAGCGTGCTGAGTCAGCGGAAGCTAAACCGTTTCGGGTGGGGGAGACCTCAAGCCCCGTCGCTGTAGGAAGAGACACTCCCCTCCACACTCTCCGCGATCGATCTACTCTCCTCAGTCCGTAAGAGGCTTTACGGCTCTTGATTCTAATTTGACACCTCTTTCCGATTACCTACGTACCCATACAACCGCAAGCCATGGGTGTCCCTTTCGAGGCCCTGCTTCCCTATGGGATTATCATAACCGTACGTCCCATTGGTCAATTCCTTCTAGGATTATAGCTCACCAAGTGCTACAGATGTTTGGCGTGAGTGGCTACGGTCTTCACTATGTCAAGCGCTTTGCCAACGATGGCAAGAAGGCGCGCTGGAACCAGGATCTCTGGGATAGAGTAAGTTGTTCCATCCTTATCGGCTGCGGTCGGAACTTGCCTGAAGCACATTGGCTAACAATTTTACAGCAAAGTGAGTGATCACCAGCTTATCGGCCGACGGAAAAGTGCCTAGTGCCCGTGAAGAATTATATGAGACTAACTACAACCAACAATAGTGATGGAGAGAGATCAGCGCATCACAGGGTCATTCCGCGGGCAGTCCAGCAACCACAAAGCGCCCACCGGATTCGAAGTCAGCAACCCATGGAAGGTACGAATAACAGATCCCGTGTCCGTTGGTTCCCAGCTCCGTGCAGAAACGCTGACCCGAGACATAGATCGAGAATCGGATCTACTAGTTTCAAAAATTGCAACCTCTTTTTCCTTTACGTTCAACGTCTGCGCCTTTCTTTACTTCGAGACCATACATATCCACCTACAATTTCTCTAGCATCGTTGTACCATATCATTTATTCTCTCGGATTTCCTTTGTAGTTCTATGAATCATGCCTACTTGAGCTCCGAGGTCATCCCCCGGATACCTTGGATCTCACTCTCACAAAGGTGCATATCGAAATACTTGGCCAGGGCCTTGACGCGGTCCTCTTCAGTCTCCAGCACCTGCAAGATCTCCGTTTGCCCGTGCAATCTCTCTTTCACTTCTTTGCCCAACATGATGCACTGCCCAATGATCTCTGTTCCAGATTGATCCAAAATCATTCGCATGCAGACAAAGACCTGGGTGAACCAGCTAGTCCGCCTCTGGCTGACAGAGAAGTTCATGACCCCGAAATCCTGTGGGAGGAACTCCACCTCTGAAAAGCAGATCTGTGGCAGCCACTTGCTCTCGGGGTTATATCTTGTTTGGTAGATCCAGATCTTTTGGCTTGGATCCGTAAACTCGGCAATGCTCTCTCTGACAATACGCATCTCGGATGGCGCAATAGCCGTAGCAGTAGCACCTTCTTGAAGTAAGAGTGGAGCAGTGGCACAATTGTTTCCAAACCCGACATCAACCTATCCTCATCCGTTAGTGTGTCTGGTCCATGCGGTTGCTGCAGTAGATCTTCATGCCGTACCATGTACTTCTCACCTCCAATAGTCACAATCAAAATCATATGCCCACTTTCCCGGATCAATGGTGTCAGCTCGGCTCGAAGGCTCATAATAATGCTAAAACTGTTGGAGAACCTACATTTCCATATATAACCCATTATCCACTCCCTTCGCCGCAGCATGACTGACTCTACCTCCGGTGGCGTAAACACGATACCCCAGGGACCGCAATACAATAAAGAAGAGTCCCGTATTCTCCATGCAGTATCCATCTAGCTGCCGCTCCACCATCTTCTCAAAGAGACTCTGCGGGTCCAGAGAAATAGTATGATGTTGCGAGTAATGCAGCTCTGAGTTGCCCCATGGAATGGCAACGAGATGTTGTCTTTGCAGATGACATAGCGCCGAAAGTGCATCGTTCTCGATATCCTGGCGGAGATGCTGGAGAAGATTGCTCTCGGGTTGAGTGGAGTGGGAATACCCGATGCGGCTCAGGTACAACTCCAGCTGTTGATCGGTATATGTGGGTTTATGTGCCATTGTTGGGGTTCCTCACTGTTTGGGCTGTGCTCGGGGGGGATATATGAACTTTCTACATATGTAACTGTATGTACCGGATTTTAGGCCACGGTCGCGAATTTCCCGATCGGGGTGCCGCCGCTTTTATGAGGGCGCTCAGGCTCCTGCTCACTGAGTATTTCGAGTATTTCACAGCACGGGTGATCACTGTGAGCACTTAGGGTATACTTAGTAATGTAAAAAATATTGCTCAGTGAGCGCTCAGGGTATGCTCAGTGAACGCTCAGGCTATGCTCAGTGAGTGCTCAGGTCTGTTCAGTGAACACTCAGGTTTGCTCACTCCAGGCTTGTAATTCTAATAGTTCTTCCATCGGTCCGCCTACCAAGCTCGGAGCGGACGATCAAAGAAGGGAAACTGAGCTATTCTTGAACCAATAAAGTTTTCTGGCTTTTCACATTTTGTTTCTTTTACTGTTAGAAATATGCGGGTCTAATAGAGATTACGGAAGAGTATCTGACATCAGGATGAGTCGTTCATTAGGTAGACCTCAACTTTAAGGATAATCTTCCCCCATCTCTCTATTCTCTATACCCGAGACGATAACCTAGTCTTAACTAGCATACGGCTTCTGCGGTCAACAAAAGCTCAACATGCAATCTGCGGACAAGCCGACTCGATCAGAAATTGACTTGGCCTTGCCTGGAGAGAAAACTCAAGATGAAATCAAGATCGAAAAGAGTGGAGATATTGATGCTCTTCAACGGTATCGGTGGAACATGGTTAGAAAAGCGCCATCCTATGTTGGTAGAGCGATTGAGCTTCTCCGGATAGAACAAGACCTCCGAAATATTGTCCAGGAAGAGCAATGCCTCGCCAAGAAGCCTGAGGCCACAGGCAGCTGGCTACTCTATAGGAATGATGTACAGGCCGTGCTTCAGGCTTTGAAGAAGAGATATTGGTTGCTGGAACTCCAGTGGTGGAAAGTCCGAAACTCATTCGTGGAGGGGCCACTGATAAGAGCATTTGATCTGTGGCGATCACATCCTCTCTGGTATATGCACCGAGTTTTGTTCGAGGATTGCGTGAGGAAGGGGGGATGCTGTAGCCGTGGCTGTGGATGTTGCGCTAATCGCAAGATTGATAAAACACGACAGCTTGGAGCTGGACATTGTATGGTGGAATGTGGATGTTGTCACCAGGCTCGGGGGTTTGAGCTTACCAAAAAAGAAAAGAAGGAATTCCTTAGGGATTTCCATATCGTGGATGACAATAGCTTTTACCGCCAAAGGGTCAATCGAGCTTCGATATGGGGGTTATCTCTTGACAGTCATGACAGCCCTTTTGATCTGATTGTAATGCCCCCAGGATACGAGAGCGATGTTTCAAAAGAGCAGACGAGAAGAGGCAAGGCGGACCAATTCGATGAGCCATTCATGCTTATTGACGAAGAGGACGAGGAAGAAGTTGTGGTACCTTAAGTGTCAGTGTCAGGCCACTAGGTGCCTGCTTGCTAGTTTGAGGTTTTATTGTGCAATTCAACTCTTTCTTTTGGCTTCGAATCCCCTGATCTAAACTTGCAGTCGTTCCCGAAGTCCAACCTCCACACGCTTCCTTCCTATTTAGGAACATTCGTGCCTGCCATTGTAGTCCTCGTTTCACGTGCACCTTCCAATTGCTACTTTACTACCTTGTTACCTTACGTAGAGAGAATTTTGGTTCTGTAAACATCGCAAATCACCACCTTTTCTCACAGTGAGTTATCCCAGCAGTCCTTTTTGAGGTCTTTTTGCTAACACAGCCCTGTCAGCAGATGTCGGCCGCGAAAGCCTTTCCTGTCGGTGAAAACCCGTCGCCCAACGATTACTTTGCCCGCTTTGCGGCGTTTTTGGACCGTCTGCTGGCCGACTTAACCCCCAGCGAGACGAAGGCTTTCTTGTGGGACCTTTTGGGCATGTATGTTTGTTTGCTAGCCGTATGGCGCCTTGACGCCCTCCTGGAGAGGTGGTTTGACTAGTATGCACTACTTACATCAAACCCTATGATGTTGGATACTAATAAAAGTTACAGCCACTACCCCCTCCCAAACCCGGCCCCAGCTGCCGCTCAAGGCGAATATTAGGAGGTAAGTCCATTATCCATTCTGCGTATACTAAAATATAGATATCATACTATTGATTGAAAATATATATACTTATATATTATTACGACGAGATTCCTTATGTTTGTGGATTCCTTTTCTCTTTTATTGACGCATTGGATTGTCTGGAAGTGCTAACAAATCATGCTATAGATTGGATCAAGTTTTTTTTTATACATAATATGCGGGCTCTCACTTTATAATTACGGAGAGCAGGTTCCGAAAGAATTCAACAAACCATTATTACTTCGTGCTAGCTCTGACCTTCTTCGTAGCACGTAATGAGGATGAGATGCCGACAATATTGTATACATATAGTCAATCCACATGTGTGGCACAGAATGAATGGAAACCAAGTGGAAACTGAGGATCTAGGATAGTTTATATTTGGAACAAAGATATCAACAAATGCATTGCTCTCAATCTCAATTGCACCATGCATAGACCTCTTTGTCTCAGACAAGGCAAAATCCAGGATGAAAGAAACCCAAATCCAATTTGGATGTTATTCATTTCATTGAGCTCCACAGCTTTTTGAAAATTCTACAAGCAATGGTCACTTGACTCCACACATTTCTCCCCCCACATCCAAGGTTGCCTCCGCGGTAATGGTTTTTATAGTGTCCAGTTATATAAGGAAAATGCCCCTGTTCTGTGCACAATTCCTATATAGACAGCCTGCACGGGTTTATATATCCATAAAGTAGAACATCGGCAACAAAAGACATGAATCTCGGTACTTGTAGTACTATATAGTAACTAGTACTAGTATCTACTAATTAGCCATCTATTTATATATATATTTTATATATTTCCCCGAAGATCACTTGGTACCCCACGTTTTCTGCAACGTACATGCGGGAGATACATATATGTACTTTATTCTTATCCATCACCTCGGCTATGGCCCCGTGTGAAGAACAGAATCATCCAAATATAATTGTCAGTTTTGTACATAATATTCTTTAAAACAAAATATAAGAATTTGATAGTCAGAGTCTCAATATCCCAGAATTAAGCAATAAGCTTGTAAAACGTGCCTTTAAACGATACACCTCCGATGATGTAGTATTCATCCGATATCCGGACCTACGGACATGTGCTTCGACTAATCAGCGAATATTATATTTCATTACATTTCATTATCTTCATATGTTGCTTCCAGTCTAAATCCTACACTGTACAGTACTATTGTCTATACAAATCCAACAGCATATCGCCCCTCCCACTGTGAAACCCCGCATCTGAACAAAATGGCTACGCTAAACGAGCAACTTGCGACATTGACCGAGAACTACTCGCCCTGTGATGTATGTCAACATTCCTTTTCCATGAACCATCGAACAATACATCTAACATTCGAATTATCCAGGTATCTGATGCCCTCATCAAGCTACAAAAGACGCCCGAGGGCAGCCCACCAAGAGCAGGCTACCTCGCAGATCTAGGTAAGCCATCAATACAACAACGCTCTCCAACTCCTCTTAACTATCTACTATTACCCCAATAATCCCACTAACATATAGCCGTCAGTACCATTCTCTCCCACAACAGGACGGAATGAAACAATGCCCAAGGTCGCGGCCCCAGCAACAACGTTCAAATTTCTACCCAAAGACGCTAGCCCACCACCAATCGCAACAGAAAATCCCCAGAAGCACGGTTTCCCGCCGGGTAAGCACTGGGTAGACTACGTCGACGAATTCCAAGCGTCTGATCCTTCCGGCGCCGGATCCATCGTCGTCATCGAGCAGCCCGAAAACCAGCACTGTGCTGTGACGGGCGGGATCATGGCAACCCGGATGAAAGCCCTCGGGATCAAAGCCACGGTTGTGGGTGGTCGCGTCAGGGACTTGAAGGAATTGAAAGCTACCGGGCTTCCGGTTTGTCTTGATCTCTCGTGGTTTTGTCGGTGGCGCTTACTGATTGCGTTGTTACTTGATAATAGATATTCGCTCGTGCTATTTCTACCGTCGGCACAAGTGCCGAGGCCAAGGCTGGTGCTCGGGATGTGCCAGTCTCAATTGGGGGTGTTGTTGTTTCACCTGTGAGTTGGTCTATTGCTGTTCGCTGATTGCTTCATGGCGGAGTTCATGGTCTAATTATTGCAATGCATTGTAGGGAGACATCATCTTCTGTGACCCGTTGGAAGGGGTGGTTGCCATTCCTCGCGAGTTGCTTGGTCCAGTGCTTGAGCTTATGCCTAAATTGACTGCTATGGATGAGCAGGCTAAAGAGGCCGTTGCTCAGGGAATGAGTGCCACTGATGCTTTTAAGAAATTCCGCTGATTATCTACCTTCAGATGGGTGTATATAGTACATATAGCCGGATTATATAGTAGGCGACGAATTGGAAAGACTGGACCAGGAGAACACCAACATCTGTAGGGGATCTACGGCAATGTTGCTATCAGATGTGGAGCAAAAATAGGGCCAAGTACATATATGCAGTTCTAATATTTTGGTATTCGTAGTATTCAATACATAACGAGAAATCTGTGTCTGAAATATAAAAAAAAGGGGCCATAAAGCCAAATCGCTGTGCAAATGTACAATCGAAACATAAATTTCGTTCACTCCGATACCCAGACAGCGGCCATACCCATACCGGTACCGATACACATGCTGGTGACACCAATCTTCTGGTTTGTGCGCTTGAGCTCAGTGAACAATGTGCTGACCTGGCGAGCACCAGTGCAGCCAAGAGGGTGACCGAAAGCAATAGCACCACCCTTGGGGTTAACCTTCTCGGCAGGAATGCCGAGCTCATTAACACACCAGACACACTGGGAAGCGAACGCCTCGTTGATCTCGTAAATGTCGACATCATCCTTGGTGATGCCGGCCTTCTCAAGTGCAACGGGGATAGCCTTCCAGGGGCCGACTCCCATGAGGAGGGGCTTGACGCCGACAACGCTGGCAGCGACGTACTTGCCGAGAATCTTCTGGCCCAAACTCTCGGCGGTGGACCGCTTCATGAGGAGGACGGCGGCGGCACCGTCGGAGATCTGGGAGGCGTTACCGGCGTGGATGGAGCCATCCTTAGCAAAGGCGGGCCTGATCTTGCCCAGGGACTCGGCGGTGATACCCGGACGGATGCCGTCATCAGCCTTGACGGTGATGGTCTTCTCCTCGCCGGTCTTGGGGTCGGTCCACTTCACGTCCAGGGGAGCGATCTCCTCGTTGAAGAGACCGGCCTTCTGGGCAGCAAGGGCCTTTTGGTATGAGTGAGCGGCGAAAGCATCTTGGGAAGCACGGGTCACGCCACGGTCCTTGGCCATGTTCTCGGACAGAACACCCATGGGGACCTTGCAGTTTGCGGACTCGGGGTGGCTCTCGAGGAGGTCGGAGAACTCGGTCACGGCACCGGGTCTGTATCAACTTGTTAGTTATATTATCGAAGGAGGGAATTCCGGGGGCTTGAAGCATACCCGTACTGAGAGGACATGCTCTCAACACCGGCACCAATGCCGACATCGATCATGCCAGACTGAATGGCGTTGGCAATGTCGGCAATAGCCTGGAGACCACTAGAGCACTGACGGTTCAAGCTCTTCACAGCGGTGCTCTCAGGGAAACCAGCCACGAGAGCGGCGGCACGGAACTCAGTGGCACCACCACCGGGGGCAAGGACGGAGCCGACAGCAATGTCCTGGACGGCACTGGGGTCAACACCGCTCTTGTTCAGAACAGCCTTGAAGACACCAGCAAGCAGGTCAGCACCGGCGGTATCCTTGAAGCCACCCTTACCACCCTTGGTGAGGGCGGTGCGGAGGGCACATGTCACGACAATGTCATCGGGATGCTTCTCGATGATGGCAGCAGCTCCCTTCTTGCTGCCACCAGGGCCAAAGTGGGAGGAAATCTGGTTGAGACGTTGCTGGGCTATGGATAGATATTAGCTTGCTGGTTCTATTTCGATTATAACTTCAAACAAGCAACCATAAGCCAAGCATTCTGCTGAATGCATAGCCATGGGTGATCACATGCACAACACTCACTGTAAGACATGACGTCAATGTGTGATGAGGGTATGGGAGAAGTGTGAGGATGAAAAACAGGGCAAAATTGAGGAGAATAAAGTAGCCCAGATATCCGGGGAACCGGTGGTTTATAAATCAAACCTGTGGAATCGGTGATATTTCCCCTTTGGACAGCCGCTGCTGGCCGTTGTCGCACTCTAAAGAAGTACCGAGGTTCATTTGGCCGCATCATCGTTGATCCATGACAGTCACGGGATCTCCGAGTGGTGGATCACAGGGGGCATGTGAAATCGGGGGATCGTATGTATCACATGCGTGTGGGGATGGCCTGACTCATGTTTTGCGATGTCATGTAAGTAGATCAGCTCGGCACGAGGCTACTCATATATTCAATATGTTTTTAGATATTGTCTACATAAACTATTTATTCCAGAACTTCTTAATATGATATCGACATCGGGAGGTGTCTCCACGAATAAGGAACGGCTGAATCCTATGTACTTTGTCGCAGTAACTGCTTCATGAATTCAAGAAGAGCAACTTACTCTAATGAACTCCCCTGATAGCTCAGCTGGAAGAGCGCAAGACTGTAATTGCCCTGTTCTACATGGAACTTGTTATCTTGAGGTCCCTGGTTCGATCCCGGGTCAGGGGATTATTTTTTTTTTGTGTCATGTATTTTTGTGCCACATCATAAACTTAGCTCTCCTACTTATCCTGCTGGCACATGACGAACTACTTCGATCCAACACAATGACCGCAAACTCCTCCATGGTAGCGGATATCAACCTCCTATCAGAATTTCTCGGCGATAATCAATTACCCGATCTCTCCACCACATCCCCAGTCGGCTGCATTGTCATATGCGCCTCAGCCGTTCTCCACAGTGCCGAGGTTCTCTTCAAGACTCTTCAGCAAAGACCATCGCTTACCAAAGCTCTCGTACTATGTGGTGGCATCGGACACTCTACCGAACTGCTTTATGATGCAGTGAAATGTCATCCAGTCTATTCACGCATCGCCGATGAAATCCAGGGTCTCCCTGAAGCCAAAGTTCTCGAACGAATTCTAGATGAGTTCTTCGATAGATCTCTCATCATCAAAGAAGGATGCCAGATTCTCCTTGAACCCCGATCTACAAATTGCGGACAGAATGCTTCATTCTCTCGCAAAGTCCTCGATGAAGCGGGCTTTCGGGAACCAGCTACTTGCATTATCATTCAGGACCCCACGATGATGCTCCGGACCAAGGCATCATTTGAGAAGGCGTATGAGAGTACCCAAACTCCGGTCTCGGTTATCAGTTGCCCGGTATTTGTTCCGCGGGTGCAATTGTCCCGTAACGGAGCCATTGAGTATTCGGACATGTCGCCGCCGTCCGAGTTGTGGCCACAAAGTCGGTTTCTGGAGCTGATCATGGGCGAGATACCGAGGTTGAGAGACGATAAAGATGGTTATGGTCCTCAGGGGCGTGGGTTCATTGCTCATGTGGATGTTCCACGCCATATTGAGGCAGCTTGGTCTCGACTACAAGTGGTGACTCAGAGCTCTAGATAGGGATACCGAGATACCGAGTTCCAATAAAAACACGAAACAGAGACTTTGTCTTTACTGTATGCGTTGGAAGCTGTACATAATTAACGGTAATATTATGAGAACTGTGGTATCAAGATGAAGACCCCGTGCATATACCTGCCTGCAATGCAAGTACCGCATACATATACCCACTATAATATGCCACGCAACATGACAGTTGGGAATGAACTTCCAGGTGGTTTCAACAGGGTTTAAAAACAACCTAGATAAAATACATGACACAAATAAAAAATAATCCCCTGACCCGGGATCGAACCAGGGACCTCAAGATAACAAGTTCCATGTAGAACAGGGCAATTACAGTCTTGCGCTCTTCCAGCTGAGCTATCAGGGGATGTGATTGGTTGATTGCCCCATTTTAGTATTATAATCTAAAACAGCGAGACGTTGCTGAGTAGCAATGTCCCCTTCAACCGAATTACAACATTGGAAGACTTAATTTCTTGTCGAAGACAAAAGTATGGACCTATTAATTGTTCGAAATGGGCGTATCCAGATAAGCTGGCGGCAAAACACCCTCCAACGCAGCTTTGATCTGAAGCGCCAACGTCCGCGAGTACCATGTTGCTGTGTATAGCCACCCATAACCCAAAAGCCATCAAGGCGTGACTGCCTCTTCCACAAGCCATGGATCGCGCCCTCAGAATCAACGCCCAATGTGGCGTCGATACAAGCAGCAATATCGCGAGGGCCGAGCTTCCACTTACCATTGGCCTCGCCATTCTTATCATTCTAGGAACTTCTAGAAGCCTGACTTGCAGAGCCGCCTAGAATCTCGGCAGCAGCTTCGCGCGCGTTTTTATCCGCAAATCCCGTACACCATATGACGGCATCCACATCAATATGGCTGCCATCCGAGAACCGCAGCCCTGTCGCCGTGTACGCAACAGGCTTAATATCAGCTTTGATACCAGCCTTGCCTTCTTCTATTAGTTTGGTACCGCCCAAATCAATATAATGTCCGCCTGTACGCTCAATCATGTTCTGTACCACATTCCGGGTTGGTGCTGTCTAGAACGGGAAATCCAGTTGCTGCCAGGGCTTCGTAGCGGTCCGGCTGGCTCCTGTGATGCGAAATGTGCAAGCAAGTCGTGAGCGAGCTTGCCGTCTATGAATGACGGGAGCGCCATAAAAATGTTATCTATAGGCGCCTAGGCTGGCTGGGTGATCGAGGTGCTCCACTGGGATCATATACGTCGGAGAACGAACGTTCATCGTTGTTTGGAGTCCTGCGGCGTGGCAAACCCCGAGGATATCGAAAGCTGTATTGGCGGAGCCAATTACGATAGCTGACTATAGTGGAATTGATGCGGTTAATCTCGGTTCCGTCAGTTTAGGTCTCGCTGTTGCTTCACCCGCCTTCGCTCCTTTCTCCTTCAGTTTCTCGGCATTCTTGTATTGCTCTGAATGGATGCTGATACATTTGTACAGGTGGCTATTTGCTATCGATGGTACATTAATTCTTTGTGATCCAATTCCTATGGCCATAACAACGTGTTTGGGGATCGCTGTACGTTGACCAGCAAGAGTCTGGAACTTCACCACCCATCGCTTGGTCGATGGATCATACTCTGTTCATTGAATCTGTGCCAAAGTGATCATGTTGACATTGACATTGGAAGCCTTGACATATTGCTGTATCTGGGAAGCCAAATCCTCTTTCGACAGACGGTGGGGAGCCACTAATCCTTAGGCCTAACCTTCAATTGATCGGCAGTGGTATATCCGCTATCAGGTCCAACCTTATATCTCCAGTAGGTCGACTAATTTACTCAATCTTTAAAATCAGTGAGGAAGAGGGGCAAAAGATTATAGAGCTATACCCTAATACTAATATACTAGAAATCTAGGTGGGTATTAATCACCAACTTTGAAGAGACGCTTGTGGGAGGTCATCATTTGTTCAAGGTAGATAATTGTTTATCAATCCTCCAATGTTGTTCCTCGCTTATTGAGGCCTTGTTGGCTTCTATTTTGTTTGGTTTGGTATATTGCTTACACCTTTATGTTTTGGAATTCGGTCATTCAAATGTGTAGATTGCGTGGATATAGTAGTATATATTTTGCACGGGATGTGGATCCGCACCCCCGTGTTCCCCGCAACTCAGAGCTGTATATACTGTCTACGGAGTACTTACCATCTCTTCTTTTAAAGGTTCATCATGTCCGGGCTCGACTAGGCATAGATTGGCTGACTTTGTTAGCGGGATTGCCGGGACCGGCGCTGGACTTCGCGTATACCCTCCTGCAGGAGATCCAAGATAACGCTGCAGAATTCTCGCAACGCCTGATTGAGCAATTCCCCCATGACCGGAAGGTGGTCGACAAGTCAGACCTATGGAGGCAGGTATGTCAGCAAAAGCAAGGAAGCATGTCATTCAAGGAATATGCTAACATGAGACGTGTTTTAAGTGTACAGGCGGGGGAAGAGGACCAAACGGAACTTGCACGAGCCTGGGTATCTGATCGGAACGACCAGTATGTTGGTGCGGCCGTTAGAACGAGGGTGATCACCTATAAAGAGGTTACTATGCCCGACACTATTACGCTGGTTCGTCGGATATTAGGCACCAGTCAATTTTGATCATCGCTTGAGATTTTGTATAGATTGAAGGGTAGTCTCGTGACTATAGATAACTCCGCCAATTATATATTTACTAGGATACAAAGACTAGCAAGAATACTCCTAGTAGGCGAACAACATAGAATGCCTTAGGCAGAAGCAACCCCCAATGGCCCAAAAGACCTTAGGATATCGGGATATGAATTCTAGCATATCCGATTATCTAGGTAGAAGAAAAGAAGTCAAAAACGAAGTATAGAGGAACTACCCCATCTCCCGTGGCGCTCCATGTGGTGTATACCGGCGCGGCGCTGCACTATAAACCTTGGAACTTCCTACAGTAGTATCGGTTAGAAGTCCAGAAGTAACAAGATGAATCAAGACATATTTATGTTTTTAAAGTGAAATAAAGGACCCCAACCGAGAAAGAAGGCCATATCCAGCCCGGGAGGGATTGGCAATCCAATTAAACAGGCTGGTTTATCACGGTGGGAACTTTGCAAGGAAGAAAGTAATTTAACACATAACTAAGGCTACTCTTAAACCATACTATCTGGTTATCATCTATATACTAACTACTCCGTAAGCCAAATGGAAAAAAAAATACAAAATACAAAAGTAATCCCCTGACCCGGGATCGAACCAGGGACCTCAAGATAACAAGTTCCATGTAGAACAGGGCAATTACAGTCTTGCGCTCTTCCAGCTGAGCTATCAGGGGAGGATATGGTATAAAGTTTAGAATTAGAAAACATAGGCCAAAAATATTGAGCTGAGATAACCAAATCACCTCACTATTCACCATCCATATTCCCAAGAACCACCAGCTAATATACCTCCTCCAACAAGACCAAAAATACAAACCAACCCAAGGAGATAACCACCCATGTTCCGCCGCGCCCTAACGGCCGCCTCAACAGCGCGCACATCACCGACAAGCACAATACCAAGCGCCTCATCCCGCAAGCTCCAAGTCACCCGCCCATCATGGCACCTTGTACGCACACCCAAGCCAGAGAGCACAAGCCTAAAACGCTCTCCGCTCCTCTTCAATCCTATCTCAAGCCCAAAACCAAAACCAAAAAAACTAACCGCAAAACCGCACGAACAGAACCCAAGCACCACCCGCCTCTTCACCACGACCCCATTCACAGCTTTTACAGCATCACCACCAACCAAAAAAGACCCCTCACCATTCCGCCTCTCCGCAAACAAAACCGACTCCTCCCCTCCCTCCTTCGAAGATGTCTATTACAGCCCTTACCAACCAAAGCGCCAATGGCCACCGGATATGTCCAAGCTGTCGCCGAAACACCAGTTCCGACTTGAGCGAAAGTACCGTCGTCGCGCGGCGCTGAAGTATGCCCGGCCGAAGTTTATGAAGGCTGTTACACTGGCACAGTGGGTTGTTATTGGATGTGAGTTTTTTTCTTTTTTTTTCTTTTTTTTGGTTGAGATTGTGTTGCGGGTTTATATGGAGATTGGGAGATGAATTGCGTGTAAAGCTGTGGTGGATATTGTGTATGGATTTTGAGAAGGATGCTGACTTTTTATACGATAGTTGTCATTATCTACTCCGTGCTATTCATGGAGTGGGATACGGATGATACTGGGTTCCATATGGTAAGTGATCTGTCTTGGGGATTATGCGCATTTATATCTTGACTAACATGGTTTCGCCTCATAGATTCGGGAGAAATTCTTCGCTGGTGTCCGGGCTGTATTCTCCAGCGCGCCGCCTCCTGGTCCGAGAAGGGATCAGAAGGATAATACGTCGTCTGAGCAGAGCTAGTAGTCGAGTTCATGTCGATTTGTGTCTGACATCAATATTTTGTATAATATTCAACTAGATTCCCTACTTGCATCAACAGCCTACTAGAAAATCTCAAGACTTCCAAGTTCAATAAGAAAAACTACTGTCGATTCATTCAATTCTCATATCTGTTCATAGGTCATTTGTCATGAAGAAATCCTGTGGAAGAACAGGCGTCGCTGTACCATGGAGAGAAGGAGAAAGAGACAGGGGAAAGATCATCAGCCTGTCTGTTTCTCGCTTTCTGCTCCGTCGCCTGTGCCGATATTTGGCTTCATTACATCATGTCCGCAGGACTTCTCTGGACAAGGAAATGCAGTCAACATCCCAATAACACCGAGAATGCCAACGCCTGTCAGAAATAACAGACCACAATAAACTCCAAAGGTCAAGTAAACAAAAAAATACCAACAAGATAAGTTGGGATGGGGCTGCTTGAGGACCAGCCCTAACGCCGAGTCATGATAGTGTGAAAGCGAAAGAAAAAGATAGGAAATAAAGACAGGAGAGGAATGGGAAATTCGTTAAATCGAGCCGGGGGGTTGCGCACCCGGTTCTTTAAAGCCAGCTGCGTAGATCGCTCGACGGGGTAGTCGGGCCAGCAGCTGGACGGTTGTCCGAGAAGTCCAGAGCAAGTTCCAGCCTGGGCGGCCGCTCGTCGACCAAGCCCTTTCTAGGGGAACCCGGCGCGGACTTCTTGGGGGATTTGGTGGGCGAGCCAGGTTCGCCTGCTCGGGGCGGACCTTCGCGCACAAAGGTATAAGGCCAGCCGTCATCGGCTGCTGCTGCGACCCAGGTTCGTAGGCAATCATGCACAGAAGAATAGAACTTCTCCTTGCAAGTACGCAGGCTACCACCCATGACTTTCTCAAAACCAGAGGCACGGAGCTCATCACGAAGTTGGTTTCGCTCATCAGGGGTGGGCAGCATGGCAATCAGGCCGTTCACAAGATCGAGATGTGCCGCAAGATAGTTGGTCGCATCCCATTCAACACCTCCAACGTATGGGGCAGCTGGAACAGGAGGACGAGGGACTGGGAAGTGGCGCTCGTTGTAAGGCCGGGTGTCTACTGGTGTTTTCTCGCCGAAAAGGTCCTCTGACTTTGGGAGGGGAATCACATTCAGGTGATGAAGGAAAATCCAGAAGACTTCCTTAGTCACATTGGTGACCTCCTTACACCACACTCTATAGGGTCGTGACTGGTAAATATTCGCAATGAAGGACAGCGGCTGGTTATCCACGGGTGGCGCAGGATCCTTCAGATAAGAAAGGATCTGTTTGGCACGCTTGGTTGCCAATTCACCAGCAGGAGCAGTGGAGAGCTGCGTGAATAGCAGGTTTGCAATGATTCCTCGAGTGGTGAACTCACTGGGACCCTTCTTCTCCTCGTCAAACAGCATATGCAGCAGAGCGGGGAAAAGTTCTTCCTCGATGGAAGCGAGGTGTGCCAGGGCCACGGATGTAGTGCACAGTGCCTTCAGACAGAGCAATGCCTCGTGCAGAAGGGTGTCTTCATGGTCCTCACTGTAAAACAGGTTAGTTACTGCTCGGAATGAAGAGGGAAATATAATAATACATACCGCCAGGTCATCTTCATAATGCGGTAAAGAAGCTGTACAATCTCGTCCATCCCTCCTTCAGTGATAAAGTCATTGACCCAATGAACGGTTTCGTTACGTAGGAGAAGACGCAGTTTGTGCATCTTTCCTACCTCAACCATCTCAGGCTTTTGGATCTCTCGCAAGTAATGCACAAAGTCGGAAGGATCCGCCGCGGTATCGACAGCAGCTGCATCAGCAAGTGAGGCTGTTGAAGCATTGGCCGAGAGGGTGGTGTAGACACCGACGGGCTGGGAAAGATCTACAGACCTTGGCCGACGGCTTGATGCTTCACTATCCCGCCGCAACTTTTTACCAGGTGACGAGGGGCCTTTAGTGAAGGTGAATCCGCGGCTCCTAGATCGTGATCGAGAGCCTTTACGGTCCTGAGACTGGGAGTCTTCCTTGGATTCTTTGCCGCGTCCTCGACGGCTATCACCGGTTCCCGTGCTGAGAGGAGTGATGTTCTCCGTCCGATCTTTCTGGATAAAATCGGCCTTGATATTGGTATCAAGAGAGCGCATCTTATCTCTCATGTTATGAGGGATATTCCTTGCATCCTAAAGAAATGTTAGCCTTGCAATTCAAATTATAATCTAGTACGACCGGGTTAACAAACCAGCAGTTTCTCGAACTCGCTTTCGAGGTCCTTGGAGTTCAGATGCTGATGCACTTCAGCATCTCGCTCCTTTGCATTGAATGCCGAGATAGCAGCCTGTACACGAGAAAGCCGCTTGGGCTCTTCTTTCATGGTAGGCGGGGATGTTTTTCGTGGACTCGGTGGTCCTCTGCTCTTAGAAGAAGCACTATCAGATCGAACAGGGTCGCTTTCCCCCGAAGGTGCGCGCTGCAACCCGAGAATATCCTTCATTTTGCGGTTTCCTGTTAGGATGTCTGACTTAGGACGAGGCTTGGAATCGTTCAATTTGGCGAGGGAGGGTTGATGGTAGTCATAGAAGTTGCGTTGCTGGCTTGGCCCGTAGCCCTTTGGCGTATAGAGAGAGACTTCGTCCGCCACGGTTCGCCTCAGGTCGACGGTCGAGTTTGGTCTCGAACGACCAGTAGGCTCTTTGTGAACCGAGGCTGAGTCCTGGGACCAGACTGGGGATGGCATATTATCAATCAGGTCGTTCGGGCTGCGGTTCTCCTTATCGCGACTCTGCTTTGAGTCATCCTTTCTTCCCCGTTGGGACCTTTTGAGGATGGCTGAGAGACTGTTGGATGATTTCGCCTTCTTCGGCGACAGATCCTCATTCTGCTCGGATGTCTCATCCGATTTACTGTCCTTCCGCTCCATGTAATTCCTCAGGGACTTCAATGAGACAGAGCTCTTTGTCTTCTTATGTAGGGCACCTTTGCCTTCCTTGCTACCCATCTTTGGCCCGGCCACTCCATGGTCGCCCGCATCACGATTGGGGACAATCTCACTGAGTGGGCAGTAGCCGGCAATCAAACCAGGCTCCTCCGTGAATGGGAAAGGAATATTCTCAGTTGGCTTGCTTCTCTGCAGAGGCCGCTGGGCCATGGCATCGTCGGCTGATTGGTTTCGTTTATGGGTTTTGGACGACATTATGGCCCGAAACATGGACTGTTTGGTAGGGGATCGGTTCGCATCGTCAAAGATTTGGGGACCAGAGGTACTCGCAGCCATTGCTATCCTCTTTGACCAGCAACTAAGTACATCCTGTTAGCAGCTGGAGTGGATGAAGACCTGCGGAGGGGAACGGGTAGTTGCAGTTTGAACTCACGGGATCTGTGGAAACAAACGCAGAATAAAACAACAACGCGGGCACAAAAAAAAGAAAAGGGTGATAGGTTTAAGTATATCCCTTAAATTTCAACAAAGAACAAAAAGGCGGGGAAGCAGATAGGCCTGGTGGAAGGAAAAGAGAAGATCAGACGATGGGCAAGCTGGGGAATTTGAAGAATTAACGGCGTCTTGCTGCCAACAGCAACCGTCATCGAGTATCAAGATATTGATCCACTTGCCTCGACTTAGCGTATGAGATGATCCTTGGGGTTGGCTGGATTGATGGTGGAGGAGTAAACAACGTGCGGGTAAAGAGGTTGCGAGGGGCAACGAAGGGGACTTGGCGGTGAACATGGGTATTAACCTTTGATGGTTACTTAGACAGACATGTCATATTGCATATTTATTGTATTATTGCCCATTCATTTTGGGAGTTATTTTAGGTATGCATATAGTCCTTGCATGTTCTTTTTCTTTGTTTTGTTTTGTTTGTTATTGTTATCGTTGTTATTCCTGTTGAATCTGGGCGGATTGTATGCATACGATTATATATAGTATGTAGATATATTGGATAGATCCTTGATTGGTATATTGGCATCACTTGATACATCTACTTGAAAATGGAAATGATATGGGAAAAGAAAGGCAATATCTATATTTCAATTCTCCTATAGGATATATATATAACTATATATACCTAGGTAGTTCGCAAGTATCATTCCTCTTTGTTATTCTTGCCCAAAACATCCTGTGCCGATGTCGGCAAGACTGGCCCAATTGAGAATAAATACAACCGTGTTTACATGCACTTATGTAGAGTAACTCCCAAGCCACTTTTTTCAAGATCTTCTGATCATATTTTATGTAGACTGTGCATATAAGTACCTAGGTATGACTCCGAACCGTTTACTGTTTGAGTGGAATTCGATCTACTGTTTGCGACCTCCGATGGTAGGAAATCAAGGCACTTAACCTCTCAAAATCCTCAAAATCCTCAACATAAAAAGACATATAAATACCTAGGTAGAACCACGGGGATTTGAAGCGAGAACTCAAAGTGAGACAATTCCGGTTTACATACTACATACAACATATACCCCGTAGGTTCTAGAACGCAAATGAACATCGGGCGGTTTCGGACACGGGTCCTCCACAAGTTACCCTTTAAACTAAATGTTGACCTCTTTGGTACTTCGGAATCCCAAGGCTTAATTGAAGAAATCGTCAACATCCAGAGAGCCAAGCCAAGAGCCAAGACAACCGAGCCAAGACAACCGAGCCAAGCCTGCAATCATGAATTGCCCCTCGCGGACTGACGACACACTCAAAAACCCGAGCTGGAATCAAAGCCCACCACCCTTCAGTCCGGACACCACTACCCGGAATGATTTCAATGGTCTCGCCAATTCCAGAGTCCATCGCAGACATGCCAATTCTGCAAATGCAGCAGGAGATGATCCGTTATCCATCGATGACAGACCCAACAGTCAACAAGATCGAGATCCCGGAAAGGAAAAGGTGCCAAGCGGCGAAGTGATCGCTGCCGACTCGGGAGGTGATTCTTCACCCCCGAGGAGCAGCGGATCACCTCGCCAACCTTTTTTTAATTTCTTGACGTCTTCTACTCTGAACTGTGCTCGAACTTTGGCCAAATTCAGCCGTTTCATCGGTCCTGGTTTCCTCATCGCTGTCGCCTATATCGACCCCGGAAATTATGCCACCGATGTCGCAGCCGGTGCAGACTTCAAGTACTCCTTGTTGTTCATCGTTCTGCTTTCCAACCTATTTGCGATTCTTCTGCAGTCCCTGTGTATCAAGCTAGGCTCTGTGACTGGTCTGAACCTGGCCGAAAATTGCCGAGAGCATCTTCCGAAATGGATGGTGATTATTCTCTATCTCCTCGCAGAAGCGGCCATTATCGCTACTGATATTGCGGAGGTGAGTGTCACATTTTGGCCTAGAGTGTTTGAATCGATGTACTGACAAACTTGAAAAGGTGGTTGGATCAGCGATCGCTCTGAACTTACTGTTGCATATCCCTTTGGTAGCTGGTTGTGCTATCACATTGGTGGATGTTCTTTTCATTCTCATTTTCTACCGACCCAATGGCAAGATGTGGGGGCTTCGACTGTTCGAGTTCTTTGTCATGGCTTTGGTGTTAGGTGTTGTTGTTTGCTTTTGCATTCAGCTCTCTCTCATAAAGGACCAGTCAGTTGGCGAAGTATTCCGCGGATACCTGCCATCTTCAGCCATTGTTCAATCAGAAGGGTAAGTCTGTCTAATCTGCATCTTGCTACCCCCGGCGCAAAGTTCTCAGCTACTAACGCACATACAGTCTTTACCAAAGTTGTGGAATCCTTGGTGCCACTGTTATGCCACACTCTCTATTTCTTGGTAGCGGCGTGGTTCAATCTCGCCTCAAGGAATTCGACGTCAATTCTGGTTACGTGGAGAGTACGGTGCCTCTAGGCAACGCCGACGGCGAAGTGAAATATCGCCCGTCGATCCACGCAATCCGCGGCTGCATGAAGTACTCGATCATCGAGTTGTCGCTGTCACTTTTCACCTTCGCCCTATTTGTGAACAGCGCAATCCTAATTGTCGCGGGTGCTGCTCTCTATGATGTTCCTGACGGAGGTAATGCCGACCTCTTCGGAATTCACGACTTGCTCTCCAAGTCGATCACACCAGCTGCCGGCTTGGTATTTGCTCTCGCCCTGCTACTCTCAGGTATTTCTGCTGGAATCGTCTGCACAATTGCTGGTCAAATGGTGAGCGAGGGAATGCTGAACTGGACCATTCGACCATGGCTTCGAAGACTCATCACCCGCTCGATCAGTATCATTCCAAGCATCATCATTGCTGCGGCTGTTGGTAAGGATGGTCTTGACAAGACCTTGACTGCGAGCCAGGTTGTGTTGAGTGTTATTCTACCATTTGTCTCAGCGCCACTTATCTGGTTCACCTGTTTCAATCGTTACATGACCGTTCGGACTGAAGAAGCCTCCGATCGAGAGGATGAAGTTGATGTGGTGACAGTTCCGATGCGGAATAACCTACTCACTTCGGTGGTTACGGTCCTTGTGTGGGTTGTGATCGTTGTGATGAATGTAGCTTTGCTGGTGCTGGTGGGAATGGGCAAGGCATCTTGATCTGTAGTTACTATGCTTTTGCATGACCCGAAAGATGCATATCTGGGACGATGGGAATGACCTACCACGCCCCTGATTGCAGCGAAAACAGATCCATGGAGCTTGGTAATGCATATGCTAATTGCTATGGCATGACGCCTGGATGGAATGAGTGGTTCAAATATGATCTGAGTGTAGGTTATTGCAAGTTAAAATAAACACCCAATCAACTCCACTGCCTGTGCCTTGACACAGAGAAGAACACTTAGTTGCCGCTAAACAAAAGCACGCTATAACATTAATCAATCTTATCCAAGTCCGCCCGCAGCCTCCTTGACCTTTTGTTGCTCAGGCGGCTCATCAATAAACTGCGGGGGCGCCACCTCATCTTGTAAGAAGCTCGGCATAGCACTCTCGCCCATGCTGCTCTCGAACATGGATTCCTCGCCAAGCGCCTCAAGCTCCGCATCCAACTCGGCCTCATCGACATCCTCAGGGACATCATAGGCCCGGGAGATACTTTCTTGAATCTCATTACCGACCTCCATCAGATCCGCCATCTCATCCTGCATCTGCTCGATCTTATCCACATCGACCTTCCCATACTGCTTCTTGAGTTCCTTGGTCGTGGTCTTCATCGCGTCCACCGTCGTCATCACATTCTTCAAATTATCCTGCATCATTCCTGCCTGCTCCATATTCCATGATTGCTGGGAGAGCTGGTCGCGCTGCGCCTCGTATTGTTTTCGTCGCTGAAGGACCTTGAGCGCTTTCTGTCGGAGGGCATTCTTGCCCGGCCCATCGCGCATCTTGGCGATCTTGTTTTGGTATGTGGAGAGTTCGGAGTTGAGCGCTGCTAGCTTGACATCTATGCTGGAAACTCGAGTGTCGACCTGTTGTTTTGTTAGTGGGGTTATCTTGAGGGGCGGGGGTGGGTGCCTTGGATCGGGCTTGTGCGGGCATCGTACATTGGTAATAGCACCTTCAAGAGTCGGCTTGGGGCCTGTACTCTTTGTGCCGAATAGTCGGTTCATGATGGTGGGTTGGGTCGAGGGGTTATTATTGGAAGGTGAAGAAGGTGAGGGCAAATAGGCAGCGGACTTGAGAGCGATTCCAGACCGCGCGTGGCCAGTGCTCAATAAAACCGCAATGGGCGGGCCGAGATTGTGATTAATCAATAGTTGTGACAAAGCTAGGAGGAGCTGGCAAAAGTATAAAATCAACGAGAAGGGTTGAATTATTTCCTATGTGAGTACGTGATGTACATATGTACGTAGACTGGATTGTCTGGAGCCATTTCTTGGCTTTCCCTTTCCGTTTTGGTCCTGAGGCCGTGCCGCTTTTACCTCAGAGTAAAACTGAGCACGACCCTTTATTAGATAAGCTCATTGATCTCCTCGGGGCCCGAGGTTCCGAGAGGTCCACGTGGAGGCGGCTGCGTGAACCCGTGGACCTAAGTGGTGCCCACCTGAACTGATACCTACCTAGGTACCTAGTAGGTAGGTATGGCTTTGAACCTGCAGCCTGTCAGTTGAACTCAAGTATGATAAGCTTACAGGAGAGGCACTGTCTGCTACTAACCGGCTGAGGCCAAGCTAGACTTAACAAGGATATTGAAAACTAGTTCCGTCTTCGTCTTTGCGCATGACATGTATAAACCTGTGGATTGTGATCGAAAAGTACTAAAAAAAAAATAAAAAAGTCATCGCCCGGAGGCGATCCGGCAGCCTGAGATCAAACGGCACTCAAACTGAGGATGGACAGGATCCAAAAGGCAGTGCGCGCCAAATGTCGCCAACGACAACCGCTAGGCCAAATGCCCGCCCATCCATTCATACATATTGAACAGCGCCATTTCTCATACGAAATGAAAATAAAAAAAACGACTGGTACTCGAAAACCTATATTCTCTAAGTTGATTTCCTAAACATAGCTGCTCCATTTCCCTTCACACCAAGCCCAGAACTTATTGCCATAATCTTGCCATAATCTAGAACCCCCTTCCTCCTTGGTATCCCCGGCCTTGATGAGATCCTGTCGCGGAGTAGCCTCATTAGGACGGATCCGGCCCCAGGGAATGATGTATGAACCGCTCTTTTCCAACGTGACATCAGGCGAGAGTCCAGCATAAAGTTCCGTGTACGCGCCGTAAATCGCCTCACTCAGGAGAATCTTGTCCAAGATGAACATGACGGCCACAGGGGTCCCATTGAAGGACGCTGTCTTTAAGAAGCCCGGATTCAGACAAACACTGATGATTCCATCGTTAGCATATCGACAAGCAAATTCCCGACTGAGGATCCAGGTGTCTGCTTTGGGTGCCCCGTAGTTCTCAGTGCGGTCCTTCGTTCCGTTGTCTAACATGTCAAAATTAATGCCGTTGATTGGTGAGCCCGCCTCTGCCAGAGCGCTCGATGTCCAGACAACACGTCTTGTCACCCTCGCCAGAAGCGTGGGCGGCGGCACGCAGCTGTGGGAGGAGAAGTTTTGTGAAAAGAAGTGTTGCAATATAGTGCATTCCTATCATAGGCTCGGAGTCTTGGGTTGTGCGTTGGCCGATCGTGACGGCGTTAGCGCCAGTGCCGGCATTGTTCCACAGCACATCTAGCTTATCTTCCTGCTGCGCGAAGCTTTGGGCTGCAGCTTTGGACTGACCAAGAGATCGTTCAGATCCAGGTGGAGGAACTTCAGTTTGCCACTGGTATTCTTGGATGTCGATGCCCCGGTGATCGTTTTGATGACTGCTTCTGCTTTTGTCTGCGAGTTCAAGAGGGTTAGTATATACCTGGGAGACGCCATATAGACAGTTGCTCCGCTAGCCTAGAGGATCTTGCACAGCTCCAGTCCAATACTCGCATTTCCACCCGTCACAATAAAAACGCGACCATTTTGCGAGCCTGGGGGGACGTTTGCCTCAGTGAAAGCTGGAGCAGGAGGATATGCTTGGGTTAGGGTGGCGCGGAGGCTTGAAAAGGGCGCCATGATTTTGCCTTGAGGGGCAGAGTACTTGTAATATAGATCATTTGGCTCATGCTTGCGGTTTATGTATTAGAAAGATATCAAAAGGAGTAGACAACAAATTAGTTTGGGTGGATTTCTAATGAGTAGGGGGGTTATTTCTAAGCACAGTCCGTATTTTCGTATTATTGTATGTTGTATGTAACCTTTGTTTAATGTGGAAATTAGCACGGAGTACTCCGTAGATTGAACTGAAACAGGGTCTGATTCGCCATTTTAGTTGCTGATGGCCACGGGTAGATGCGTTCGTTCGGCCCGACTGTAGATTCAGGGCTGCTCCACTCCCCACACAGTGGGCCAATGCTTGTTTATCTCCTACTTCATGTCGACTTCATGTCTACCTTATGTCTACTTCATCGTATACGCACGCCGTTTCCTAAATGTGTGTAGTCATACAATTATATGACTTTGAAATTATTTTTCTTTGTTCATCTTTGTTTTAGCTGTATCCATCTGGAATTAGCTGTGCAGTTTAAGTCTTCGGCAGCCAGCCATTTCCCAGTCCCTACGCAGGGAGCTATTATAAAGTAAAAATATGAAGCAATAGGCAGAACTATAAGGATACAAATGTGTATTATAGAGTAAACCACCCGAGCCAATGAATTAATACTGAAATTCAATAAGAAGCACATGTATTTTGTAAAATATTCGTCTATGTAAAACGCCTCAAATCGCTTGAATCAAGTAGCCTTTTAGCTTGCCTGATGCTTGAAGCATTCTGGCTAGTCGGATCAACGTGGTGTTTTAGTCAAGTAAAATAATCACACGAAAGAAACAACTGAAGTTACGGTTTTGGAAAGGAAGTAGGAAGAGAGATAGGTAAATTAAGAAAGAAGGAATTATCTCTCTATAATATCAAAGGTAGAAAGCCTGCCACATGTAATCACTCACATGAGGCATCACAATACAAAGTATAATGGGTAGACACGGGACTCATGACGTCCACGTGCAGTAATAAGAAATAAAAGAATGAACATCCAAGGCCAATATGGAATAAAGCCCTGTGCAATACATGTGAACAGAACCTCCATCCACGCCCAACTAGTGGTACAGCTCAGCAAAACAGGGTCACAGATCATAGATCTATGAATCCCTAGCTAAGGTCTGAACCCGCTTCAGTTCTTAGCCTTGCTATCATCGATGGTAACAACGCGCTTGTTGCTGAAGGTGTCCTTCAGGAATTTCTTAGAGTTGTGCTTCCCATCCTTGATGAACTCGTCGTTCCAGGTCATCCAGAAGGCCCAGGGAAGGTTCTCCTTAGCCTGAACCTCAGGGTCGGGGATGGATCCAACTTCGCCCAGCGCAAGGACTCTCTCACCCTTAGTCACATTTCGCAGCTCCTCGAATTTACCTTCGAGAGCACCGTGGTCACCAGCCTCGGCATAGTAGTCAATAGTGGCAATGTCGCACTTGTCATTTCCGGGATACCACTGAGAATCGGCAGTGTTGCAGACCCACACGATGTTGTGAATGTTGTGCACGCGAGTAATGCGGTCGTAGACGATGTCCCAGAGCTTCTTGAAAGGAGCAGGGCCCTTAGCTCCCCACCAGAACCATCCACCTTCCGGCTCGTGAAGCGGGCGGAAGAGAACCGGAACGTCTGCATCCGACAAACGCTTGAGCTGGACCGCAATAGCATCGATATCCCGAATCAATAGTCGGTAGTCCGTTGCATTTCCGCGGCTGTGGTCCGTTCCATTTCCACGGTGGTAGTCTGTTCCATTTCCACGGCGGTGGTTCAAATTTCCGCGGCGGCCAAGGGCATTGGCTACATCGAAACAGGTTCCCTCGGTGTAGAATCCGTTGTACCACGGCTGTTTCTCGGTCTCGAGCAAACAGTTGGGGGCATACCAGTGCCAGACAAGAGCATTGATACCGCCTTCCTTGTCAAACTTGATGGCTTGCTCGATAGTCTGACTCTTGCTTCCGTGGGCAACGGCAGAGGGCGAGTAATACATGAGGTCGGTGCCGAGGATGGCCGGAGTGACGCCAATATTCTCCTTCACCCATTCCACGCTGGCCAGGTCCTGCTGACCAGAAATGTAGTGCGAGCCATACTGAGACTGAACATACTTGAGAAGCTCCTTGGCCCGGGGACTGGCAGCCTTGTCAATGTTGTCGTAGGACAACCCGGCGGCCAGCGTCGAGGCAAAAAGAGGAAGGAGCGAAAGTCTGGTGAACATGATGGAACACAAGAGCTAGAAAAAAGAAAGGATAAATGAATGAATGAATGAATGATAGTTGATTGCTGATAATGCTACATGCGACAGGTTCCTCTCTTATAAGTTTGACATGTCCCTGATATGTGTATGTAGTCCACATATGGACCCTTAGAATCAAGATGAAACTACGGAGTACAGTTAGATTCATTACGACATACATCAGGGCTTATTTTATTAATTTATCCACCGTAAGACGTAATATCGTTCGGTATATCTTTAAACCATTACCATCCAGCCCCTGCCGGTGTTTCAAGCAGACGAACCTACCTAGTACAACAAACATATATGATATTGCCCCACTTGGACCGGAGATTATTCGGAGAATTGCCTACACAGGTATAGTCGAGGCGGACTATGTGCCCGGATTGCCTTTTCGGGCTTGGGCCACACGCTTGAACCCTGCACGGTTAAAAGCTAAATTCATCTTATATTGTATGTTGTAGAACAGAACTTACCAATATATTATGTAGTTGGGATAAAGTTATGGCTTCTAATACTACGATACGTCCTTCATGATACATTGTTCATAGGATTCGGTCTAAATATAAGCGTAGTTGCAGAGTAGTGGTTGAGGAGAAAGATTTTTATCTCATTCATATATACTCCATACGCGTCCTTTTGATAGTAACTAGGTAGCCTTAATTATCATTTCAATGCAGACCCACATTGACATTGGATTTAGGGATTGTACTACTCCGTATTCGGTTATCTTTTTGAGTTGACCCGTTTTGGCTTTAAATGCGGCGTCTTTTGGTGTGGCCCCGGGGTGTGGGGCGGCAATCTTGGTAACGAAGTGCCAAGTACTATCGTGCCGGCAGTGCTATCAAAATCAAAGGCTACTCGGGAACCTTTAGGACTGATCTGCAGATCTGCAGGGACATCAGATGGTATGAACGCAATCTGAAACCAAGGTAGGTCAGCCCCAACCCAATCAATAACACCAATTGAGATTATATAAACCGATTGGGGAACCTATCTACGTAGTTGCGTAATCACCATTCACAATATGTCTTTTTGTTAGTCTTTTTAGGAGTATGCAAAGGCGGCAAAAAGCATAAACTGAGGTCTTTTCCATGTACAATATATAACCCTGGAGCGGGGAGCAGTGACCAGCCGCAATTTGAGCTGGGTAAAAGGTTGTCAATGTGGTGCCAATTCTTGGTACTTTGGCACGACCAACCGTCCGGCGAAGGAGACATATCGCCTACAGAATTATACCCGGCAGACTAGACGAGTATACTGTTGCCTGGTAGTAAAGGGTACAGGCCATCACCGCAGTAGCCACTATCGGACACTAATGGATCACCAGCGCCTTTTCTCGATGGCGCACCACGCAAACCTTAACCGGAGTGGAAAGGCCTACAGTTCGACCGTTACCGCGGGTGGCGCCGTGCCCACGGGAAGGCGTTGGAACCCTTGGTGCGGGCTCTGTTGATGTTGTTGTTGCGGTTCTTGTTGCTGGTAGGAGTGTGTCCGCGGCCTAAGAATGCGGTTTTTCTTGTGCCTTTATTTTTCTCATTTACGTACATTCATTCGGGGTTGAAAAACAAAAAGCCCTCTGGATTTCTCTTTACAAAAGTGGTATATATGTACCTACCGTAGGAGCTTCACAAAGGAAATATAAGGACGTACTGTGATAGGCGAGACTGTATTGCACCTTGTAGTGAATTCCATACCTTGCAGCCTCGTTAAAGTTATGAACTGGAGCCATTCATAAATAATAGCTAGCTTAATAACGACAGTTATTACATTCGTTATTTCTAAAAGTTTTATAAACCGTAAACCATAATGTGAATAAGTGATCAACCTCGAAAGTAGATGACTAGGGCGTCTAGTAAAATAAGAACAAGATGAGATGATTAGCAGTGTACTTATCTTATAAATATGCTTGACCGAGTACTCCCCTCCAGTTAAAGCCTTTGTAGAATATCGAAGCGGTTGTCGCGATTCTATCGACCTAACGGAAACACCAGAATGTTTAACCAAGTATGATACCTACAAATATATAGAGGACTAACCAAGAACCGACGTTAAACCCTCACGGAAAATGGAAAACACTCTGAGAAGCTAGTTATTAGTCTTTCTCTCACTTTGGCCACTACTAGGATATATATTTAGTGAATGCTTTTTAAACTCTTTATATATAAATGCGGGAAACACCAGAGTATTGATCTCCGTTACCACACCATGCTTCAATATTATCGTGAATGCACCCTATATACTACCTAGATAGAATGCATCATACGCTTATCTAGAAATCAATAGCTTGATATGGCAAAGTTTCCGCAATTGCTGGTCTACTTCGGTACAGAGCCATTAGTAGGAGCTTTTCCATGTTAAACTTGCTGAAGGATCACCCGACTGGCTTCGTAAACCGATTATAAGTGAAGTGTCGTTCTAGTAAGCCTGACCGAATAAGTCCAATTAACATCTGGGTTTTAGACCATGCATACTTTGTGCGTATGAATGGAAAGTAATCGCAGTCTATAAGAATGTTGATACGGATCATTTTGTCATATCACCTTTTCCCGCTCAGCTGGCCATTCACACGGGTTTACAGCGGTTCCTTGAAGACGATGTGATCTATGATTGTGCATTGATCGTTGTATTGGAAAAGTAGACGAGCTCAGAACTGTGTACTCCGTATAGAAAACATCATTCGGTGCCTGAGGCTACAATATACACGTGATCTTGAAGTGTTTCAGTTCAATAGTTTTTTATAGCCAAGTTTTCACCTCAGAGGAGATTTCGCAAAAGGCATGGAGTGAAATGGTCAGATGATGCGCATACTATCTGCTGGCATCCAAATCGTTGTATTTCACCGTGGCAGTTAAGTTGGGCTACGACGTGAGACAGGACATTGAAGGTATTTGATACTTTCTTTACCACACAAATCTGGCGGGGAAGGATTGTACCCAGTACCCACCGTCATTTTCATGCAGCTGACCCCATGATGAGATAAGATGGAAATTCCAAAGCACCGGAATAAATAAAGTAGATGATTTGAAGAAAGAACATAATAATAAAGATATAATTCCCATCAAAGTCACATTATATTTAGGGATCTGGTAGTTCATTCTTATCTGGAGGTTTTTATTATCCCCGCGGTGATTACATACGTGTTTCCGCCCCTGCTTCTACAGGGCTCGTGGCCATCAGGAATCGGTAATCGATCAGCACAGCTTCCCCCGAAGCGGAACCTCTCTTCTCTCTTCAACTGCTTCCTTGATGGACAGGAGTTGAGTTACCATTAGCGTCTCTCCCCCCTCTCTCTCTGTGTGTGTGTTTGTGTGTCGAGTCTGCTCATTTTGACTCTCCAACTCCACTCCCCATTTCTTCATCTTCCCCTCCCCAAACCCACAGGGAGGTTCAGATTTCTCTATTTCTTCGTCATTCCCTCGAGATTGAAGGTATGATCTATTAAGGGCTCTGTCTTCTGGTTGAGAAGGTCCTTTGAACCCCCCCTGACCAGATCCTCTAAATCCGTCCGTCGCACCCATTCGGTGAAGGCGGCCTGCTTCACGGGTACACATCATCGGGACTGCTGGTGATGCAAGGGTATGAACCCGATTGCTAATACATTATCTATTCGCACAGCGCTAGATCGCTTCACTTTTCAATCGATTACCTCCCTATTTCCAGTCATTTATCAGTCGTGACGGTCGAACGTACCCCACTCAATCTGCGCGACCTGGTCTCTGTGTGTGGACTCCACGCTTGGCCTGCCGGTGTATCGGCCTGTTGCGCAACCTCTTCTGGGAACCCGATCTTTCGACCAACCCTTGTACCATAGACTGCTCCGTTACGGCATCTCGGAGACGAACGAAACGAATCCATTTTATGAATCATTTCCCTCGGCTATACACTCCATCATGTTTTGGCGCTTTGGGGGATATGCGAATATCTCCACCATCGATACCCTACTTGACAAACCCGATGTCACTCTCGAGGAACTCTTAGACGAGCCAGAAATAATTCAAGAACTGAAACAGCTTAATACGAAACTCATTGAATACCTGCGCGAGGACCATGTTTTGAAACGGCTTACGGACTATGTCACCGCACCGAGCTTGGTGAGTGACGACGAAGAGAACGATGAAGATGATACGAAGGACGCTTCGGAGAAGGACAAGGATGCTGCCGCGTCCGCCGAGAAGACGGACACAGACGAGGAGAAGGAAGGGGATCCGCTGAGGGATATTCTTGACCCGGAGGACCTAGACAAAGTTGAGAAGAACCGTCTGAAGCATGCTTATATCGCTTGTGAGATTCTCTCATCAGAGACCTGGTCCATCCTCGAATCTATGATGGCCAATGCTTCATACTTGCAAGACTTCTGGGGCTTCCTGCGACGATCCCCACCACTTGATTCATTGCAGGCAAGCTACTTCACAAAAGTAAACGAGACCTTGCTTGATAAAAAGACCGAGGAGATGCTGGAGTTCCTCAAGACGCTCGATGGGATTGTCCCGGCATTGTTGCAGCATGTTGATAACCCGATGGTCATGGATCTTCTCTTGAAAATTATCAGCCTCGAGAAAGCGGAGGGTGGACAGGGTACCGTCGACTGGCTCAAATCCCAGGATTTGATCCCCAACCTTCTGTGTTTCTTGTCGCCCGAACGCCCGGCATCAGTCCAAACCTCGGCAGGTGACTTCCTGAAAGCGATCATTACTATATCTGCAAACGCAAGCCCGAACGACCAGTCCTGTATTGGTCCTAACAGCTTGACGCGTCAGCTTGTCTCGACCCAGTGTGTACAGCAGCTCATCGATGCTATGCTCAAGGGCGGCAATCCCCTGACCGTGGGCGTGGGTATTGTCATTGAGGTAATTCGCAAGAACAATTCCGACTATGATCCGGAGTCCCTTGGTGGACCCGATACAATGCTCACCACTTACGACCCAATTTACCTCGGAACGTTGCTGCGTCTCTTCGCCAAACATATCCCCCAGTTCATGGCTCTCATTCAAAGTTCCCAGCACACTATTCATGATGGAAATAAGCTCAAGACTGTTGAGCGAGGAAAGTTGAACTCTGCGTGGGGTGGACAAATTGAGCCGCTTGGTTTCGACAGATTCAAGACGTGTGAATTGATGGCAGAGCTGCTTCATTGCAGTAATATGGGACTTTTGAATGAACCAGGCAGTGATGAGTACGTCAAGCAGAGAGATGAGGAGCGTGAGCGGTTGATCCGTGAAGGGGTTTTCGATCCACACCAAGACGAGCATTCTGGAGTTGATTGTAATGATACCACGGCCGATTTCGCAAACGATTCAGCCTTCGATTCCGGATCCCCGGAAGATATCAAGACTACAGAAATGCCACACGCGGGCGAAGAAGAAGGATTTGAGGATGTTGGTGCATCCGGTGTTTTAGTGGGCACAAAATCGAATGCCGACACAACGACTACTGCAGACTCGCAGCCAACAGACACAGCCAGCGAAATTCCTCCACCGGAGATCACAGCAGCAGAGGCGGTGTCTGAAGAAATCAAAAATCCATCCGAAAGTTCCACCGAACCCATTGACCCCTCGTCGCCTACTATTGGTCTCCCTGACCAAGTTGGCAGCATGAATCTTGAAAATGAAACACAAGGCGAGCAGCAAAAAACCGAACAGAACAACCAGGAGCCCGTGACTTCTGTCTCTCAAGATGTTCCAGCTCCTCTCTTCTCGAAGGAACAAGCATCGGAGTCAAACTCGGCCCCGGCCCCGGCCGACCAATCGGAAGAAGCATCCAGTGTTACTGCACAGGCCGAAGAAACAAGCATTTTGAACGACGGCGGCGATGAGGATTCGGCCGAACAATACATTCAACTCGACACTGACGGGCGACCTGTCGTCGGTGACTACTTGAAGATCCAGTTCGTGGAGAACAAAGTGGTCCCAACGATCCTGGTTAGTATTTCCTTTGAAAAACGGTGAACATCTATGCTAACCATTGATAGGGCTTCTTCTTCCGTTTCCCATGGAATAACTTCCTTCATAATGTTGTTTACGATGTGATCCAGCAAGTCTTCAATGGACCCATGGAGCGTGGCTACAACCGGGCACTCGCTGTCAATGTATTTGACACCGGTCGCATCACCACCGCGATTGTCGAAGGACAGAAGCGCAGTGATGAGACCCAGCGGACGAAGCAAATCCGCCTCGGATACATGGGACACCTTACTCTTGTTGCGGAGGAAGTCGTTAAATTCAGCGAGCGTCATCCGCCAGAGTTGCTGTCACGGTCCGTTATGGAGAGCGTGTTGAATCCTGACTGGATTGAATACGTCGAACAGACTTTGTCAGAGACTCGCGAGCGGGACAATGCCATTCTCGGCGGCGTTCGTCCCGATATGTCGGTTGGGTCTCGCCAGACTAGCCTTAACAATACCAACTCTGGCCAAGGATTCTCTAACTCCAATGCTCTGGCGGATGCAGGATTGAATGGAGGAATCGGTGGCTCAACCTTCCAGAGCTTCGATCTCGGCCAAGGAGGTGCTTCCGGCGGAGCATTTGGCGGAGGTGGCACCTCTCTTTTGAGTGGATTTGCCAGCTCAAGCGATGATGAGGACGAAGAAGTGGAGGAACAGGACGACAGAGACTCGGGCAATGCCGATCAAGGCGACTCTGACAATGTGGGTGACCTCTTCCCGATTGACATAACGGGGCACGATCCTTAAACGACACTGTGCATCCCCCATTATATTCCCCTTCTCGATTCTCCCTCTCTCTTCTGGTTTTTGATCTTTGTGGTTTTGACTCAAACTGATGTTATGCCTGTTGGCTGATGTTCACTGCCGACAACACCTTGAAAATCCCAGCCCAGAGAATCTTGTCATTTTTGTACTGAACTGGTTTCTTCTGCACTTTTTCTTTTCCTTTCACAGGCCATTGACCATGGAATGTATAGCCTATTTACTAACATGACTTTCTAATAGGTGTTGACAAGCTCAGCCAGTCAACCTATTCCTATCTTACCCCCGCCACCTGCTCCATTGAGCCTCGGTCCGTCCCGGGCACGCCGTCAGTTAGCCGCGCGCCTTGCCGCCCAAAAGCAACAACCATCAGAAAATGAAGAGGGCGATGGGGAAGACAGAGGGGCTGAAGGAAATGGGGACCGAGAGTCAGACTGGCCGAGCAACCCATTCGTAATTGCAGGGATCGATGATGATGCGGAGGGAGGCAGCTCCGCGTTCCCTAATAGTGACTTTGGTTCAGCCAATGCCAAACACTCCCCTACATTCCCAGAATCGGGATTCAGCCCTCCAGACTCACTGTCGACCAACTCATCTGAAGATGAAGGTGATGGCCACGCAGAATCCGTGAGGCGCCAGGTTCGTGTTCCTCTCGAAGTCGAGGATGACGACGACGATGAGATGGGGGAGATGGTCGGACCGAGTGGCATTGGCATGATGGACTCCGACGACGAGGACGAGGCTATCATAAATGAATCCCTTGGTTACTCCAACCTTTCGGGCCCCGGCCGATACAACAACATCCGCCGGTCCCGGGCTGTGAGCTCCCATTACGAAGATGAGCAAAACGACAGCAGTGATGGCGAAGACGATGGATTGGTGGAAATTGTGGTTCCTGGCCGCAAGTCCTCGACCTCAAACTAACGGATTCTTTTGCATTTGATTGCGTGGCCGTGACGGTGCATCCTGCCGGGAAAAACGGTGGAGGTTTTTACGTCGCCGTCGCGGCATGGCGTTTGTATATACACTTTCCATCGATGGAGTAGCCATGGGGTTCTGCATTTATAATCCTCAAGTTCTGCATGGAGAGATTTCTGGTCTGATGTTTTATTTGTGCCCTTGCATGTATCGCATGCTACCTTGCCTGGGATCGACTTACGAGTCCGTGGCTTTTGATTGTTGGCATTCGCCTGTGTACGATAGTTGAAGTCTGGAGAAGCGAATTGATTTAGTTGTCAGAAATCGGTAGCAAATCGGTAGCAAACCTGTACATATCTCATAGATCGTTCTTCTAAGATGCGTACAACGTTGTAAATAAGAACGTCGAATCTCACGGACTGGGAGAAAAAAAAGCGGGCCCCCACCATCCCGCATAAATTCTTTCCTCAGGACTTTGACCGATACAACCAAGTCCATTCATTCTTGGATAACAGTGTGGCAAACACTCGTACCTGTGAGAAAAATAACGATCAAATAGAATCCACGTGCTTCAAAAATGGCAGCCTCCTCCGAGTAAGTGCAAGTCTGGAGATACGTCATTCCCAGGTATTTGCAAGCCAGGAATGTTAAAAACATATCTAACACAAATGAAACAGACAAGTCGATTCAAGCCTAATAGGCCATACAGATCTACTGAACTGGTTTATTCAGCATGGTGGCAAGATTGACAAGAGCGTGCGCATCGCACAAGACCCCTCGCGCGGTGTGCACTTGCAAGTGAAAGCAGACTGGCCAGAAGCTATCCCGAAAGAGACCCGGGTGATCAACACTCCAATCGAGTCGTCAATGTCCTGGTACAATGCCATTGGCTACGAGTCACCACGGGGCTCATTCCCTAAACACGGTGTTGACCTCCCACGGACATGGATCGACCAGGTTGGCCCAGAGGAGACTTTTGCCTTCTTCCTCATGGGCCAGTATCTACGGGGTGTTGAGGGATTCTGGTATCCGTATCTTCGTACTCTGCCTCAGCCGGGTCAGTTGACCACCCCTTTGTTCTTTGGCGAGGAGGATGTAGATTGGATTCAGGGTACTGGCATCCCTGAGGCCGCCGTTGAGAGGATTAAGATATGGGAGGAGAAGTATGACTCGGGCTACCTTCAGTTGGGGGAAATTGAATACCCGGATTGTGAGCAGTATACGTGGTGAGTATGGGATTCTGTTATTCTGTCCCCTTTATCCAGCCCGAGGAAACATTATGCTGATCTGTATGCAGGGAGCTGTATCTCTGGGCTTCGACTATCATCACCTCTCGAGCATTCTCGGCAAAGGTTCTATCTGGGGCGGTTCAGCCTGATGATCTTCCAGAGGATGGAGTCTCCGCGCTGCTTCCACTTATTGACCTTCCAAACCATCGACCAATGGCAAAGGTTGAGTGGCGAGCGGGTGATAAGGATATTGGCCTTCTCGTGCTTGAAGATCACTCAGCAGGCCAGGAAATTTCCAACAATTATGGCCCTCGTAATAATGAACAATGTACGTATCGGGTTTGCTATGGCATGATGTCAGATCCATTCAAACGTCTGAATCACCACAAAGACTGACTATAACATAGTGTTGATAAACTATGGATTCTGCATTGCCGGCAACCCAACCGATTATCGAATTGTTCATCTGGGTGTGAAGCCCGACAGCCCGCTCGGCGAAGCCAAGGCTCGCCAGCTAGAACTGTTCCCTCAGGTTGCCAAGAATATCGAGGACCACTACTACATCTTCAATCCCTTTTATCCACTACTGGCTCCCGAAACAAAGATGGAGCACTCGATCTTCTCACCGGCACTGTTCAACGCGTTGACTGTCATGGAATCCAACACACGGGAGCGCAAGTTGCTTGAGGTAACCGAGGGCTCTATTCGAATTCCCCGGGATATGGAAACAGCCATAGTATCTATGCTGCTCTCGCTCAGATTAGCTTTGAGCTCATGGCACATGCCACAAACCTGAAAGCCAGTGCGGAGCATCTGCCTTTGCAACCAACTACCCTGAACCAGACACACTCCCAGATCTACCGCAATGGACTGATAACATTAGATCAGGCTGCGTTGGTTATCGCTACTTGGACTATCACACGCGGCAGGGAACACAAGCGTGGTGAAAGTTGGGAAGATACCAAGGTCCTCCTATATGAACTAATGGCACGCGTCCCGGCCGGTCTTCTCACAGAAGATGTCATGTCCCGGATCCGAGTGCGTATCCTGGAGCGTCCGTCACTCATCACCAAAAATGGTGAACTGTTCAGATTAGGCGAGCTTTTCAGCCTTCTCCCGGCTGAAATGCAGGAGCCAGCTCAGACATGCTTCCAGCACGCCCTGGGAGTGGTGAGCCAGGCCGTCCCGAGTGTATCCACCGATCCACAGACTATGTTTGCAACGGTTATTTGCTTGCTAGTTGCAACATATAATTCGCCAGAGGCACGACAAAGTTTGTCATCGCGTCTCAACCGATGGTTTACTTTCCTGCTTGAGCAATACCCTCTGCCTTCTGACACTTCCAGATCTATTGCAACTGGCGTGGATGAAGCTAACGAAACACTTCGTCAATTCCAAGAATATACTAAGGCAGAGCAACCAAGTTCATGGGCGCCCGGTGATGGAGTTAATTGGCTTACCGAGGATAGTGGGTGGTTGGACTCAGAGTGGCTCCAATGGGCATGGACAGTGGCAGGCTCGGAAATGGTGATGATTCCTCTTGAGCCATTTGAGATCCTCAAGATGGAGGGATCACTGTCTATGTTGAAGCAGGCATGTCTCTATGTACCACAAGAGTAATTAAAGAGAAAATAGACATAGAAATGAAAGAGTCGTTTATAGTCTAGCCTGCTTGCTTTGTGTTCAGTTCACCTTGGCCCTCATCAGTTGAAGATGAAACAACTTGAGGGGGAAAAGAAAGAAATATATCCATGGGAATTCACCTAAAATGAAATTCGAACATATGCTTAAAGCGGCCATGTCTTTATGTATACATATCACGTGATACCTCATTCTTGAGGTTGTCATGACCCAATCAAGGAACTTACTCAGCAATCTAATCACGTGAAACACTACCACCCAATCATATCGAGCCCAAAGGCGGATCATTCAGCAAGCGCAGGAATTGCCGTGAGCTCCACGACTCCCTTCCCTCCTTCTCCACGACCCTTTGACCCTCACCACGCATTGTCACCCCCGCCGTCATCATGATATCCAGAGCGGCGGCTCCCTCCACCTCCTCCCTCTCCCACCTCTCGACCCGCTCCCTCCGCGCCCAGGGGGCGGCCGCCCGCTCCTTCGCATCTGTGTCGGAGGCGCCTCCCGTGAAGCACTATGGTGGACTTAAGGACCAAGATCGGATCTTCACCAACCTTTACGGACACCATGGAGCGGACTTGAAGTCATCAATGAAATATGGTGACTGGTACCGGACCAAGGATATGATTTTGAAGGGTGATGATTGGGTGGGTTGTCGCACAATTGACGAGCTGGGGAATTACCAATTGCTAATGCCATGAACAGCTCATCTCAGAGATCAAGGCATCTGGCCTCCGTGGCCGTGGTGGTGCTGGTTTCCCTTCAGGATTGAAATACGTAAGTGGTTTACACGCAATTCCGACGAACATGAATGTTTGGGGGATACCCGGGCTGACCCGCTACTCGACAGTCGTTCATGAACTTCAAGGATTGGGACAAGGACCCCCGCCCCCGTTATCTGGTTGTCAACGCAGATGAGGGTGAGCCCGGTACTTGCAAGGACCGAGAGATCATGCGCAAGGACCCCCAGAAGCTGATCGAGGGTTGCGTGGTGGTGGGTCGTGCTATGAACGCCAACGCCGCCTACATCTACATCCGCGGCGAGTTCTACCACGAAGCTACTGTTCTCCAGAACGCTATCAACGAGGCCTACGCGGCTGGCCTGATCGGTAAGAACGCCTGCGGTTCCGGATATGACTTCGACGTGTACATTCACCGAGGAATGGGCGCCTACATTTGTGGTGAGGAGACCTCGCTCATTGAGTCCATTGAGGGCAAGGCCGGCAAGCCCCGTCTCAAGCCTCCCTTCCCCGCCGCAGTCGGTCTGTTCGGTTGCCCCAGCACAGTCACCAACGTCGAGACCGTTGCTGTCACACCGACCATCATGCGCCGTGGTGCCAACTGGTTCTCTTCCTTCGGTCGTGAGCGTAACGCCGGTACCAAGCTTTTCTGTATCTCCGGTCACGTCAACAACCCCGTCACAGTCGAGGAGGAGATGTCCATCTCGCTGCGCGAGCTGATCGAGAAACACTGTGGAGGTGTCCGCGGTGGTTGGGACAACCTGCTCGCCGTTATCCCCGGTGGCTCGTCTACTCCCGTCATCCCCAAGTCCGTTGCCGACAACCAACTCATGGACTTCGACGCCCTCAAGGACTCCCAGACCGGTCTGGGCACAGCTGCCGTCGTCGTCATGGACAAGTCCACAGATATCGTCCGCGCCATCTCCCGCCTGTCTTCCTTCTACAAGCACGAGTCTTGCGGTCAGTGCACCCCCTGCCGTGAGGGCAGCAAATGGACCATGCAGATGATGCAGCGTCTTGAGACCGGAAATGCCCGCGAGCGCGAAATCGACATGCTCCAGGAGCTTACCAAGCAGGTCGAGGGTCACACGATCTGTGCTCTGGGTGAGGCCTTCGCCTGGCCTATCCAGGGTCTGATCCGCCACTTCCGTCCCGAGTTGGAGGCCCGTATCCGCCAGTACGAGAAGGAGCTTGGCACTGCCCCCTACGCCGGTGGCTGGCACCCCAACAGCCGTGCTGAGGGCAAGCTGATCTCCCCTGGCATGTAAACGCATCTTTCACCTTTTCTTTTTCCATTTACAACCCTTTTTCTCCCATTGTTGTCCCCTCAAAAAGAAGCAGGAACAGGTCCGGGATGATTTTCACATCTAGACCTCTTTTATATCTCCCTCTCCCTGGCCGGTAATGTCTTTTGTTTCTTGTTTGCCTGGTCCGGCCGGGGAGGGTGGTGTTTCTCTTTTCTTTACTCTGCTCGATCCCCTCGTGTTTCTCTATCGCGCCTAGGTTTCCCTTTATTGTACAGTCGGTAGCAAATTTGATGCATTTGATGTCTTCATTCGTGCTATGTAGCATATTCCCATTTTCTCCATTTCCATCAAGTTAATCCCGTACTCATAATAGACAATCGAATGCAGTAAAAACAAAGTCTGACGCCTCGGAATAGCAGAACCATCGTCTCCCCCGTCTCTTGCTTCACTGGTTTGGGCGAGTATCAGTTCCTCCAGTGACACCAGCATCAGCAAAGCGACATCAACATTAGTATCCTTCTGTTCCCTCCCATCATCCTTTCCCTCAACCTGGATCTCAGCGGCTCTCACCTCCTTCTCCACCTTCTTCCGTTCGATCTTGAGCAACCTCTTCTGTCTCCAACCCATCCCATAAATATTCTCAACCCAAAGCAATACCATTCCAACATCCATGACCAAACCCAGAAGAACAAAACACCATCCCCACCCCATGCCACTCAACATCTGACTAATGACAGCAGCCCCAACAGCACCAAGACAGCAGCGAACAAAGTTGCATGCCGACGCAGCTGTGGCGGGCTTGCCTGGGAACAGGTCGACAAGAAGGGTGTTGAGGCAGTTCAGGGATGCAACGAAACGGAAGCCTATGATGGACTGCAGTACTAACGGGACAGCTAAGTGTACTTCTTTGCTGTAGGACCCAGCCATATGGGATGAACGCCGCAACGCCGATGGCCATTGCTGGGAATACCGTTTGCAGGCGAGTGCGCTCGATTGGAAAATTGCGCAAGTCGTCTCCTTTCTTCCGGTCTACTGGGAATCTGAATTCTTGGGCTGTCCGCTTGTAATTGTAGTCACTTCCTTCTGGAATCTGTTGGAGCTCCATGGTGAATAAGGTATAGCAAGCGGGATAAAATAAATACGAGAGATATGGGGGGAAAGGAGAGAAGTAGCAAAGTATAGCTACGCTTTCCCTCTGCACAACCCTTGGCGACTGCGTAACTTCAACTTCCCTAAGATTAAAGGTAGATATTCTGAAAGCCTACACCAGATAACAGGACAGAATGAATTGGTTCAAATAGTAGTTTTTCAGCAATAGGGTAGAGTACAATACAGGTCATGGGAACCATTTGAGATCATTTGGGGGACAGAACACAGGGGAAAAAGTGAAAAAAAAAGAGGCAAAACAAAAGAAAAAAGATCAGAGGTGCTTGGGCTTTGGATAGTTATTGCCCGCTAATTCCACAATGAACATATGCAAACTGAAATATGATTTCCTTTTTATCTCCTGCAAAAAAAAAAACTTAGTAGCCACCCGCCATGATGACACCGTAGTACCGACGGCTCATCTCTGCGGTCTGCAACACACGAGCATCGCCTGTCAAGGGCAGGCCTAGGACAGCAGAGGATTCAACAGACTGTAGTAGAAAAGATAGAAGTCAGCAATGAACAAAAGCAATATATCAATGGAAAAGGAAGAAGAAGGGAACTAACATGAACATCCTCGTGCGTAATCCAGCCGGCGACAGCCCGGCTCATCTCCTTGAATGCAACACGTTCCTCCAGTCCTTCCAGACTAGATCCCTGGACCCGATCACCCATTGTAACAAGAGCATTGACCAAGCGGTTCAGACGAGTTGGATCACGTCGGCCGCTAGTGGAATTGACCAAACGGAGGAAATCTTCGTAGACACCGCCACCAGAAGACCAGCCGCGCATTTTACGCTCGGGCCCGTCGCCGAAGCCGGAGACAAGAGCCTCGAGGGTACGGTAATCGCCTTCGATGATGGTGCTTGGACCGACGATGCGACAGAATGTGGCGTGGGCGTCGTTCCAGTGCTTGCCGCGAATAAGACAGTCGACCTCACGGGCGGCGTCGCCGATGTCGCGAGCATGCAGGGCCTTGGCAACCCAGATCCAGGCCTCGGGAAGCTGAAGCTCGGTAATGAGATATTGCCATGCTGGGTGGGAGGAAGCGTCGGCAGCGAAGGGATCGGGGAGTTGAGCAGCGAAGCGGGCGAGAGTTTCTTGGACGGTGCGTTTGCGGTCGTTGGCTTGAGAGAGGTGCAAGAGGACGAATAGTGCTTGATCGAGTTTTCCACCTGCGCTGAGTTCGGAAGCAAAGTCCCAGACGAGTTGATCGGCTAGGTGTTGGTCGATTTTGATGGCCTGGTTTTGTCCGACCGTCGCAGCGAGAACGTGGTGTAGCTGGAAGGAGAGACGGTTGGAGAGACGATCACCGGAGACGGATTCGGGAAGGAAAGATGCTGGGAATTGAATGGATTGGGTGCTGCGGCCTTGAATCACTGAGAAGGCCCTGAGTAGAACCCAAAGAGGAGATTCGCGGCCAAGTGTATCAGTGCCAGGCTGCAGGACTGCATGTGCACTGGCATGGTGTGACGGGTGCGGGAAGGCGGTTTCTTGCCCGGTAGCCAAGTCCTCAAGGAACTTGGCAACAGCCACCTCAATTGGCTCATCTTCAGCGGTGCAATACCATAGACGAAGACCAAACGCCTGGAACCAATCTAGATCGAAGCGTTCGGTGAAGCTAAAGCTGGAGGCCCGGTCTTCAAGTGCACCGCCCGATTTGCCCTCGCTGCGGAGAGCATTTCCAGCGACAAGTTCGTAAAGGGCTCGAGTGGGTTCAGTGATCTCTGAGAGGACATTGGTCTCACGCCAAATATCGATCTGGTTCGCGATGTCGGCCTGGGAGGTAGCATCGCGGCCAATCTGTGCGACAATAGTCGCCAGATGGGGATTTTGACTCTCGATCAGTGTCTTACAAGCTTCCTCCACTCGGTGCGAACAAATCAGATGAACGGCGCGTTCCACAGGGGAGCGAATCAGATCCAAGGTTTGGGAGTGCTTTTCACGAATAATACCTTCCCAAAGACGTGAGAGTCGGTCCTTCTTGATCCGGTGTGCAAATTGTTGTCGTAGACGCGGCGGTACACCCGCTGAGATGTCGTCTTCAATATCGTCATTAAAAAGAATGTTGAGAAGCTGCCAAACCAAGCGCTCTTCCTCCGACTGGGAACGGGTAGACGGCGAAAGAGGGAACTGCGACAGGTCGACCTTAGCCATACGAACGAAAGGAGTGCCGTCGACACGCTGGATAGAGGACTGAAGTCGCTGGACATCAAGCATTTCTCTGACCTGTATCATCATCAGTACCGAGTGCCAATCAATACAGACAAAGCAACTAAACATACCTCGCCAGATTGGTTGTAAGTCATCACTGCAATATCACGCTCTTCGCTGAAAACGGAGAAACTTTCTTTCCAGGTCTGGTTCACCCCCAAGATTGTGTCCTCCATATCGTTTTTCGCGCAGACAAGGGAGTCCATGGGACCCCAGCGAGGTTTGAAAGAGTCATGGAAAGCGGCGTCGGATTCGCTCATTTGTGCCGTATCGCCAGCAAAGGTCTTAGGTTGCTTGTTGTAGGGCCACTGGAAGGAAGAAAAGGTTTTAGCTCAGGTTATCGCATTTGTTAAACTATCTGACAGGTGACGTGCAATTTCATAAATACATGATGCAGTGACACAAGGGGAAAACAAAGGGAATGATAATCAGTGTGAACATAAGAAAGGAGTTCTAACCTCAAAGCCCTTTGGGGGGCCTTAGCAGCCTTTAGCGGAGAAGGGGCAGCTTGCTTGCGCGGCTGCTGGAACAAAGAGTTCATAAGATCAATGCTGTTCGAGAAACCTTTCTTCGCAGGGGATGTCGCAGTGGCAGTGGGAGATTCATCGTTCACGAGGTTGCGGTCAAGGAAAGCGTTTGCCTGCATTTCACGCAAGGCGTCACGATTCTGCTTGCGAGGACTGATGGTGCGCTGCAGCTGCTCAGCCCAGTCGCCACTAAGATCAAGCTGAGGCCTCGCAGGACTGTCGAAGTGCTTTGAGATAGGATAAGTGGTATCCAGATCACCATTGGTGCTCTGGTAGTCGTCCCGCTCCACGGTGCGATGAGGAGTCGGAAAGGCGCCCGCCATATCCATTTCATCTGCCTCATCTGATCCAACTACCGAATCGCCAGACTGTTGGCTCTCGGTGACGACGTCGTCGTCGTTCTCAGTAGTCGAACCCGTGGAGCCTTCCTCTAAAAAAGACTCGGTTTCACCCTCAGAAAAATAATCATCCTCCACAGGCATGGCCTGGTTAGCGAAAGAGCCAGGAACCAGCTTGCGCTTCTTGAAATCGAATGTATCATCTTCAACTCCAGTCATAGAACCGACGAAGGACTCGTCAATGGAGAAGGTGGTGGACTGATCGAAATTCGTGGACTGGTTGAAGTGAGCCCTGGGGGTAGGGTGATCAGGGCCCTGGGCACTCATGGTGCTCTGGTCAAGACTCTCACCTTCCTCTTCATCGTAGTCAAGGCCATATGTAGTGAAATGAGCCACCTTGAAAACCCAGGTTCCAGTCTCAGTCTCGTAGTTAACGAACTCGGTATCGCCAACCTTCTGCAGACGGTCAATGTGTTTGTCGAACAGAGGACCACTAGTGACAGGGGAGTTGCTCTTCTTATCTCTACCACGGGGCCAGGAGTTCTCAATCCGGAGGGTAGATGGCACGTTAAGTCCTTTGCCTCTGGCAGGCTTGACGGATTCCTCGGGGTAGACAGTAATCTTGCGAAGACCGATATCCACAACATTGGAGAAAAGGTTGTCCAGATCAAGGGTAGTCAGATCAACGGGGCCGTTGAAAGTGACAGATCCACAGTTTTGACGTCCAACGGTGAAGTCGACGACTTGTTTGAGCTGGTCGCGGCTCAATCGGCTAAGCTCGGCACGAGAAGGCTGCATCCAGTACTCACCAGGCCGTGGGTCACCGCCAGGGATGAACGTAAGGCGTTTAACGGTAGCACCGTTGGTTGTTTGCGGTGCGTTTTCGGGGACAACAGCAAGCTCCCGGCGGACGGACTCCGTCTCAGGACGATCGGAAGTGCCGGTGGCATCGAAACCATTGAGGCTACCGCTCTTGCGCACAGAGCGAAGGAAGCCAAGCTCCTCAGCAGACGGTTCGGGACCGGGACTTTGAGCTTCAGCGCGAACAAGGTCTCCGCCGTTGAGCCCGTTGGTATTAGAGTCGAAGCTAACCTTTTTCTTCAGCTTGTCGGCAGACTGAGCAGCATCTTCTCCGTTGGTGAGAAGAGGGGCCGGGGAAGTGCGAGTAGAGGTCGATAATATTTCGTTTCTCAGACCACGGTTGATAGTGAGACGCTTGAGGTTGCTGCCGCCACGTGCGCTGCCAGCCTGCAGGGAACCGGGAGAAAGAATGCTGTCCGCCTCCGGGTCGAAGGTCTTGCGAAGGTTGCTAGTGGAGTAACTCTTGCTAAAGGTACGGCCAATGCTGCCATTGACGCTACCGCGGAGACTGTTACCGCCGCCACCAGCACCCAACAAGCTGCTACCAAGACCAGATGGGGTACCAGTGTTGCCAGAGGGAGAACCGTACGTAGAGTAGGAGAAACCGTATCCACGCTTCGGAGGGGTAATCAGACGATTGGCAGCGTTGGGGGTAATTCTGTAGACCGGCAATGGAGTTCGTTGCTTTTGCTTCATGCTGGAAGACAGCGGCGTGGCAAGGGGACCGGGAGCCGATCCACCAGGGGCAGGAAGACCAGAGAAGATGGACTGGCTTCCATATGGGTTTCCATCAAGGAGCGATGCTTGGAAGCTACCAGGGGCAGGCTGAGACTGTTGTCCGGGCATTGAGGCGCCGAAAGCACTAACACCTAGACCACCACCCGCCTGAGGCTGCTGGCTTTGACCACCGAAGAGCGAAGAGCCGGCACCTTGGCCAGTGGTGGTTTGACCACCGCCAAACATGCTACCGCCGGGAGCTGGGGTAGATCCGAAGAGACCACCGGGCTTCTGCTGCTGTTGATTCTGTGTGTTGAACAAGCTACTACCGCCAGCGGCTGGCTGGGGCTGCGAGGCACCGAAGCCAGAGAAACCACCTGCGGCGGGAGCTGGGGTAGATCCGAAGAGACCACCGGGCTTTTGCTGCTGCTGATTTTGGCCACCGAAAAGTGAGCTGCCTGCCTGCTGGGGTTGCTGCTGTGCTCCACCGAAGAGTGAGCTACCTGCCTGCTGAGGCTGCTGCTGGGCTCCACCAAAGAGCGAAGATCCGGCAGCTGGAGTAGTGCCAGCGGTGCCGCCGAGCAAACCTGTGCCAGTTCCCTGTTGCTGGGTGCCAGCGCCAAATCCACCACCGCCAAACATCGACTTGGGTTGAGTTTGAGCTTGGTTCTGTTGGGCTGCACCACCGAAACCACCGAAGGCACTTGTTGCTGGCTGCTGAGTTCCGCCACCAAAGGGTGAGGCTGTGGCGGTCGAAGCTCCGAACGGATTCGCGGCAGTAGTTGTTTGGGCATTACCGAAACCACCAAAGGCGCCACCGCCAGTTGTACCGGCAGCGCCAAATGCGGGCTTGTTCTGCTGCTGCTGGTTGTTGGCACCGAACATAGACCCGCCGCCGGTGTTGCCGAATGCCGATCCAGTTCCTGTTCCAGTGCCGGTGTTGCTTCCAAAGCCACCAGCGGTCTGTGTGGCACCACCAAAGAGCCCCCCTCCAGATGAAGCTGCAGGAGTAGTTCCACCGCCGAATAAAGAAGTTGCTGGTTTGGCTGCTCCGCCGAACAATGGGTTAGAACCAGTGGAGCCGAATCCACCTGCGGTCTGGGTTGTACCGAAGCCGGTTGGGGCAGTTGTGGCAGCCCCTCCGAAGGGAGTGGTGCTAGCGCCAAAGCCACCAGGAGTAGCCGTAGTGTTTTGCTGACCAAATCCACCAGTAGTGGCGTTGCCGAAAGCAGGAGCACCAAAGCCACCGGCTTGGCCACTGCCGTTGCCGAAACGGCGACCTTGTTGGTAATCCGCTAGGCGCAGCTCCTCGAAAGACCATTTATTGTAGGGTTGCATAAAGCAAATGCTTTGATAGTGGTTCGTGACGTTGGCTGAGCCGGTATCCTTCTCGTTCCAGGGAGTGAACGGGGTGCCGCCAGTACCTTCGCAGTTAGGTAGAGCTCCTTGGAAGGCAGTACCTGAGCCACCAAAGCCTGTGCTGGGGGTTGTGGTGGGGGCAGCAGTAGATCCGAAGCCACCGCTAGTGCCGAATCCGCCAGTGCCAGTAGCCGATGTGCCAAAGCCCGTGGGCTTGGCGCCGCCGAAAAGGCTTCCACCCGTGGGGGCTGCAGTGGCATTGGCGCCAAAGCCGCCAGTGGTGCCGGTAGAACCGAATCCTCCACCAGTACCGAAGCCGCCGGTGGTGCCAGCAGTCTGAGTACCTCCTCCGAAGAGAGATCCGCTGTTAGAAGTGTTGGTAGTGCCAAATCCACCGGGGCGAGTTTGGCTGCCGAAAAGGGAATTAGGTTGTTGGGCTGCAGTATTGGTTCCGAATGCTGGTGAAAAGTAAGAGTTAGTAAACACGGTCAACCCTTCAATGAAGCGATTAAAAGGTGCAGATTAATGAAAAGAGGTCCTCGAGTGCATGTCGGCCAAAATGTGGGTAAGACGCAGGTAAGTGGCAACTCCAGGGGGACCGAAGAGCAAATCCATATATTCCACGTGCGCGATCAGTGCGGGAGCGTCTAAATCGCAAGGCTGTGTGATGCGAACGGGGATTTCGCCAGGGAAAATCGAGGGAGCAGCGCGAAGCTCAAGATGTTTGAGCACGTACCTCCGCCAGTGCCGGAACCAGATCCGAAGCCAGTAGATGTGTTGGAAGCGCCGCCACCGAAAGCGCCTGAAGTTCCAGTAGTGGCGCCTCCGAACGGGGATGCTGTCGAGCCAAATCCTAGATGACGGGAGGGATCGCGGTCAGAGAGACTTGGATTCGAAGAAGCCCTTGCATTCCTTATCTTGTTGTGGTGTCGCTAATGCATCCAAATGGTCCGCGGGTGATTTTTGATCGCACGATGAAGGCTGTTATGTTGATATTCTTCGCCTTGCGCGTGGCACCATCGCGGGTCGGAATTAGGAGCACCGGTTGTCGAGGTAGGGAAAAGCCGAGGACACGAGTAAGAGGGGGAAGTTGGGGATAGGCTCAGGAAACACAAGGGGCATCTGAAAAAGGGAACAGAAAAGACCTACCTCCACCAGTGTTGGTGCCAGCTCCGAAGGCAGAGCCAGTGCCAGTGCCAAAGCCGCTGCTTTGGTTGTTCTGGCCGAACCCTCCAAATCCGAAAGACATGATGTCGGTTGGAGTTTGTCGGGTGTTCACGAAGTCATAGGTTGATTGCGCGCAGTTTCGAGAGAGTGCAGATTAATAGAAAAGAGAATTGGGAGCAGGAGTGCGCGGGGGATGAAGAAGAGAGGGAGGAGACGCGACAGAAAAGGAAGAGTTAAGTTTGCTCCAGGGCTGGAGACTTGTGTTTAGGTAAGACCCGGGTCACAATGTTCCGTCACGTGATAGCTGCCTAAATCGGATTTCTCCAATGAATGCAATGCAGAACAAGGACAATAGACTTGTCTTTGGTCTGTTTATTGACGAGTGACTCATTATTGTTCAATGCAGCTCGAGGTTGAATACCTTATTGATTGACTATTGTCATGCACAAGTGATCCGAAGCTGAAATCCACTCACAGTGATGTATACCCATTTAGTTACTCGAGTCAGTCTAGTTTATTTTTATTTTTATTTTAATTCTTTCTATATTCATGACCTCTGAATAGTCCTCTCAATAGTCTTTGAGTCGATAAAAAAAATTTGGCCAATAACTTACTTCCAACACAGAACTGATATTGAAAACAATGTATACAATATAGGCCAATATGTGTCTAGCTCCTCGTAACTGATAGTACGATAACTCCGTATAGTCGACTGCCACCCAATCATCTCAATTCTTCGGATTACAACCACGTGCGCATAACTGCCCAGGTGGTCTCACGCAGTTTAAGGGCCACATGTGTTGGGAGGCAACTATAAAAACAGCTAAAAACAGCCAGCCTCATTGGTACTAGTACTATTTCTTGGTTAATCTTCCTGACCGAATTTGAAAATATATTTTGAAATAAAATACTGCCAAGGAATTCTCTCTGAGAATTGTAGGTAAGGGAGTTACACCCTATTGGGCACGAACTCATGATACATATACGGTATGCCCGGATTTAACCCGAGGCAGATCACCTAAAACGTTTAGCTGCAACCGGAGGATGTCACCTACAATTAGTTCATGATAGCTCTCTCGGTTTTTATTCTTTGGGTTTTCGGACTATTGACGCAGCGTGCAAGCTATCTAGCAGACAAATGCTTCGTATCGAGGTTGACCCCGGTAAACATAGTATATATCCAAGAACTTCGGGAGAACGTCCACGAAGTAGATATGAAACCAAAAAAAGTACTATTCACATCGCTTCTGAGCGAGCCAAGGGAATCTCAAATACAAGTAGTAATTCTGAAACCGGCCAAAAAAAAAAAAGAAGAAAAGAAAAAGAAAAAGAAAATCTCCACGCACGGTCAAGTCCAATTCTGCCATGAACCAAATGGACCGAAGTCGGGGGTGTATGATCTCCAAAAGACCATAATACTACTTCCAAAAATTCTCACCGGAATTTTGCTCTCCAACGTCATTATCATCAAATTCATAGACCTTCACTTTACTTCTGGCGGGCAGCGTGGACGGTTTCGATGATCTTGTCCACGACACTGGGGTCGGAGAGCTGTAAAGAAGCCTTCGTTAGCTATTGTTTGGGAGTATACGATTGCGAGTATTATATTAGTGAGGGGGCGGTGGGCTTACCGTTGATGTATCACCAAGGCTGTCCTCCTCGCCACTGAGAATCTTCCGCAGGATTCGGCGCATGATCTTGCCACTGCGGGTCTTGGGGAGGTCATCCACGACGAAGACGGCCTTGGGGGCGGCGAAGGGACCAATGGACTTGCGGACTTGCATTGCAAGGTCCTTGCTGATCTGTTCTGACCCGTTGCCCTCCTTGAGAGCGACGAAGGCATTGACAGCTTGGCCGGTCAACTCGTCGGCAATACCAACGACAGCAGCCTCAGCAACGGAAGCTGTTCATAGTTAGCTTAGGCTCAGTTGGAAGTTTGGAATGTAGCATGGTTGTACTTACGGTGCTCGAGAAGAGCAGCCTCGATCTCAGCAGTGGACAGACGGTGTCCAGAAACGTTGACGACATCGTCAACACGGCCACGGATCCAGTAGTAGCCGTCGTGGTCACGGCCAGCACCATCTCCAGTGAACTATATATGAGTTAGTGTCAATTCCGTAAAATCAGGTGGCGAGGAGTCGTACGTAGTAACCCTTGTACACATTTAAGTAAGTGTCCATGTAACGCTTGTGGGCACCCCACACGGTGCGGGCCATGCTGGGCCACGGCTGCTTGAAGGCCAAAACACCCTCGACATCGTTGCCAAGAATCTCCTCCCCGGAGACAGGGTCGATAATGGCAGGCTCAATACCAAAGAAGGGCAGAGAAGCACTGCCGGGCTTGGTGGGAGTGATACCACCGAGAGGGGTGATGACATTGGAGCCAGTCTCGGTTTGCCAGTATGTCTACAAATCCAAAAATTAGAAGTTATTCCAAAAGGTCCAAGGGGAAGGGAAACGAACGTCGCAGATATGGGCTTCCTCCTTGCCGACGGACTCAAAGTACCACTTCCAGACTTCCGCAGCAATGGGCTCTCCAACTGATCCAAGAATACGCAGACTGCTCATCTTGTGGTGAATGTGCTCATCTCCAGCGCGCTTCAGCAGACGCAGAGCGGTGGGTGCAACGTAGAATTGGGTGACGTCGTGCTTGTCAATGACATCCCAGTAGCGGGAGAAGTTAGGGTAGGCGGGGGTACTCTCGAACACGACAGTGGCACAGCCAAGCAATAGAGGGGCGTACACGACATAGGTGTGGCCGGTAATCCAACCGACATCACCACCGCAGAAGTAGCGATCATCATCGTGGATATCGAACACGTACTTTCCAGTCATAGCAGCACCGAGCAGGTAGCCGGCAGTGGTGTGCATAACACCCTTGGGCTTGCCGGTTGAACCGGAAGTGTAGAGCAGGAAGAGAGGGTCCTCGGAGCTTACCGGCTCGGGGGCGAGGTAGTTGGGGTACTTCTCGACCTCCTCGTGCCACCAAATGTCACGACCAGCGGTCCAGGGCACCTCGGCACCGGTGCGCTTGAACACCAGCACGGTGTGCACATCGGGGCACTGCTTCATAGCCTCGTCTACAATCTTCTTCGTGCCGATGACTTTGCCACCGCGCTTGCCCTCATCGGTGGTAATAACGACCTTGGAAGAGGCGTCCAGAACACGGTCCCGGAGGGAGTCGGAGGAGAAACCAGCGAAGACGACGGAGTGCACGGCACCAATACGAGAGCAAGCGAGGAAAGCGATCACGGCCTCCGGAATCATGGGCAAGTAGATGCCGACCGTGTCACCCTTCTTGACACCACGCTCCTTCAGAGTCCAGGCGACCCGGGATACCTCGCGCATCAGCTCTCCATAGGTGATCTTGCGGCCCTCGTTGGGCTCATCGGCTTCATAGATAATGGCGACCTTATCTGGGTTCTTGAGGGCATGACGATCGACACAGTTGAACGATGCGTTCAACCGACCCTCGACGAACCAGGCATTGTCGCCGTTCTCGAAGGAGCCGTGATGTGTGGTTTCAAAGTCCTTGTCAAATGTGAGGAGCTCGCGGGCCATGCGAGCCCAGAAAGTGCCGGGGCTCTTAATTGATTCTTCATAAAGCTTCTTGTACTCGTTGATGTCCTTGATGTGAGTGCCGGTGGGGTGCTTGTCGTGGAACGCCTTGGGAACGTGGAAAGTGTCGACCTCGTGTGCTTCATGCACCTATATCACCAAATGTTAACCCATGCTAGTGTGGTCACCGGCGCTACACCGGTCTGGTCATCCCAGTTAGGAGGTGATTCCTTACCACTGCGGGCTTGGGAGGCTGAATGGGGCCGTCCGACATGATTGCGGAGTCCAATGAGAGGGATGAAATGTAGAATGAACTATATGATAATCTGCGCGAGATCGGATGTCAGAGGAAATGATTTGCGAAAGGTCCGAAATGGAGGGGGAAAAAAGTCAAGGTGGGATGAGCTCTTTTATTAATGCAAATGGTGGGGTTGGAAATGAACTCACTCTGAGAGTCGAAGGTTATAAATTATAAATAATGATGATCAAACGGGGTATAGCAATTAGAGAAGAGAAGAAAAAGAAAAGAAAAGGAGATCCAAGAGGGGATTCACGACGATATTAGTAGTCCGGGAGGATGTGCCACTTCTCTTTCCCTTCCCTTCCGTATTGGGAATGGTCCGTGCACCCTTACAATTCCAATACAATACCACTCTAACACATCTTGTCTAGCCGCAGACGGCCTATAAACTACATATGTATATTTTAGATTATCCACTTCCATTTCCGAATCAGGGTTAAATGATATACATTTTCAATACACTACAATTCAATTCTAGGGCTATGTGTTTCATTGCAACTATCACATCAGAATATGAGTTTGGGTTCGGCCATGCGGGGGTTGGAAGGTCCCTTCCGTTGCTCCGGGGTAAGCTTGCCCCTCCAGGATTTTGACTAAAATATGTCCACCACCTTATTGGGGGTTTCGAGTCGGGAAGAAACGCTAATTCAACCGGTCACGGCCTAGTTGTTCTCGTGTCGAACCCTTTGTCCGAGTCCAATAGGCGGCGGGGGGGGTTGTAACCTTGGCTTTAGCCAAGGGCCAAGGTCCGGGGTCGCGGGCCAGGGGAGAGCGGGCCACAGGAGACATGCAAGTCAGTGACATTCAAATATACAAGCGTACTAGCCCAGACCCGCCAATGCAGAGGCTGTCTCTTCTCCGTATGCCGCATTTAAATATTTGAGGGCTTCCGTATTCCGACTCCGTACATACCCGCTATGCATAGATTATTTTTCTTCCCCCAGATTATGCTATGTGACGATTCCCGAGGTTACTTTTACTTTGATATGATGTTATGGTATTATGATGTCAGAGGATTTTCGGACCGAACATCCTCCATATAACTTTCAATGGTCAGTTCGCCATCATGGAGGCTCATCATGAGACCGACCTCGGGCCTGGAGAATGTGGGGGTCCAGGATGAGTAAGCTAAGCCGTCCTTTTGCATTTGCGCTCTTGGCGCTGTTGATCTGATGATCATACCTACAACATAGTCGTCTCAAACTTTGGCATTATGCATAGATACATATGTTATATGGTAGGTAGTACGAAGTATACGAAGCCATCCAAGGGATAATAATTGATATTCAAACATCAAAGCCACACGGGTAGGGCCCACTGTTGGGTCATAAGGCTCTGTTTTTACAATAAGTTTTTTTTATTATTACTACCATTACTAGTTACGGAGTATCATTTTCAAATGTTAAATAGCAAGGTTATGCATATTGAATTGTATTGTGGGGAGTAAAATGATTGTGGGACAAAAGGGGGGTACCTTGCAGCCCTGGTTTCTTTAGTCTTAACCAGTTAGTACAATATGTACTTTGTACTTTTCTCAGTTCTGAAGTTTGCATTGGTGGAAATAATTCGAAATGATCCTTGAATCTGAAACATTCCAATATTTACATATGTAGAAGTTAATCCTATCTCTTAGCACGGGTTAGGTGGTATCAAGCCTTACGATGTAGTATGCATTGTACCTTTGACGGCGGGATCTTCGCCCCTCTGTTGTACTCCTGCGCCATGAAGATCAGTGGAATACAACAGTACGAACTAAACACACTGTTTTACTTCGTAGCCTTTAGTTAGTTAGCTGCTTTGCTAAAAAAAAAAAAGAAAATATGTCCAAGGTCCACCTTTTCCCACTTGTTTCCCAACAAAAAATAAGAGAGGTGATGCAGCCCGAACCCCCAAGACTACACCGGGCGATCCGACGGGGTATCAAGCTGTATTTGTACTATTTACAATAGAATTGTAACGGGGGAAAAAGGTTCAAACTGCCCAATGAGCACAATAGAATTTTCGACAACAAAGATTATTGTGGGACAAGTCCCTCCGTACTCCGTCAAGCGTGAAAGAAGCCCGAGAAAAGGCCGCGTTAACTCCATGCTTTGCTCGACATTACCCCAACAAAACAAACATCCAAGCAAATTCCAATTCCACACTATGTTGTAGGGAATGGGCTTGGACATACGGAGTACAACCTGCTGAGAAGAAGTATTTTCGCGGCAAACCTATCCCGTGCGGTCCATCTAAAATCGCACAAGCGCCAAATCCATCATGCGGCTACCCTTAGTCGTTATATATATTTAGAGGCTAACGGCGTACTAACGCGTGGATCGCGTGACTTTCAGACAGGCCTGGATGACTGGAGCATTATTAAGTAGGAAACCGTTGCAAACTAAATCCGATATTAAAGAATAGAACGTGGCTAGATCGTTGTTTCCGGACTGTGTTGTCTTAGTTTAATTCATTCGGTCAAGTCGATTGCCAGGCACTATTGTTGGGATCGGTGTCACCTGACCCTATGTGACAGGACTGTAGTCTCCTCTCCAGGATCTAACTATCCGCTACACGATTGCGTGGAAGCTTACGTTCAACCGTAAGAAGGTACCTAGGTAGGCAGCGTGACCGAAAAAGAGCATCCACTCTATTGAAATGCACGTGGCAAACCAGGATATTTATTTCCTAAATCATCCAACAAGATCAAGCTTCCATCTTGGTCATATATTCTAGGGTATACTGATCTGGGTCCCAAGAGAGAAGCCTTGTCTCGTTCTCCTGAAGCTTCAAATCCACATATTTATCCATGATTTCTTTTTCTCCAGGTTCCAAGAGATGAAGTCTTTTCTTCCATACATCGCATATATTGTTGTCAGATTTACTGGACCCGAAGAATCGCTGATCAATCTTGTTCCAATAGATGGCGTCAAAGGCAAAATTGTTCCTTGCAGCATACATGATCCAAAAGTCTCCGCTCTCCCAGCTATGTCGCATCCGATTAGAGAGTCGCTGGCTATCCTCGAGTCGTTCGTTCTGAGTTTGGTACGCGTCCTCTTCGCAATCCATCATTACCTGAAGGAAGATCTGAAGCCGTCTCTCATACTGTGTACACCAGTCATCAAGGCCTTTAGTCCAATATTCCGGCTTTTCGAGAAGAAGCCACCAGGGGGGAGCATAGGTAAATTCAACTGGGGCGGTATATGTAAACTCCCAATCCACCACCCCAACGACTTTTTCAGCTTTATCGACCATAACATTCTGCGGTCGGAAGTCGTCGCACCAAACTGGAAATGGGCCATGCTCATGACACATCCATTTGTCCCTAAGCTCCCGATCTCGAACAAGTTTCCGAAATAAGAATCTAGCAACAAACTTGCGCCGGCAGTCGTCGGCCGAGTCTATAGCATTGTTCCTTTGGTGTTTGAGGTGTGAAATATGTAGCTCTGCTAGGGCTTCAAAGTATAAAGACGCTCTATCGTACATCGCGGTAGGGAGTTTCGATCGAGGTAGCGTCCCTAAACGCACAATTTCGTTCATAGAAATGGATAATGGTCGATATGCTACTTCCCACGCTGATTTGCCGGTCTGTTTCAGAGACCCAATCCGGTTTGCAGATAGTGTAGATAGAGAAAAGACAACATTGGCTATTTCTCTATAGAGAGCTTTTAGCTTTGTTGTGCTGATATCCGGATTTAGTTCTGGACGTTGTTTTGATTGGCGTCCCGGCGTCTCGAGAAGATCAGATACGCTTCTCTCGTGGTCAATATAGTCCATGATTATAAAAGGACCCAAATTCGAGGGGCTCTCGTTTCTCTCTCCCCAGCGGGAGACCATAGGAACTGGAATCGGCATAGTTTGTGAAGTTCTTTCCGTGATGAATTGCATGATAGAGACCTCATTTCGAACTTTTTCCTCAGGAAACATATGAACGCCAGGCAGTGGGAGTCTTAAAACAGCGCCACCAGTATGGGTATCGGTAAATGTCATGAGGAAGCTAGCGTTGAAACCGCCGGATTTGAAAAATTTGAAATCGGCCCATTGGCGAGGGCAATGATGTTCAGCGAGAAAAATTCCAATCTCATTATAGATGTCTTCATCGAAGAGAAGATCTAGCCAGGAGTCTTCGATCTGGTCGCTTTTTTCCCAGGCAGCATCATCGAAGGGCAAGCGTGGATTCATCTTACAAAAGCGACAAAACGATAAATGTCGAAGAAACATGCATAGTGTCGGGGTGAATATCTTGATGAAGCAAGGAGGTTGATTAGGTACCAAGAGAACAGGGTGCAACCGTATTCTTCCATAAGTGACTTTACCACTAGTCCTTTGTAAGGATAACCGGTGTATTTCTCGTGTCGACATAACCTCCCAGCCACCTTAAGCGTCCCGGCGTTAACGCCCTATCACCGAACCCCAATTCTACGACGTCATTTAAGCAACAAATAGACAATAGACTGAATATGAATATAAGAATGCTAGGGCCCCAATCGTAGTCCCTTTGAAAAAAATCTCAATTAGATATCCCTCACTTTCCATTCTCTTAGGAAAAATTCAAAGGAGTACGAATCACCTTTCTTCGCAAACTAGCATCATCCCCAACGTCCAACAAAATGGGGGACCTCGAAAGTCAGTTCGCGCTTCCTCTCCAAAGCAAGCTAGCGATAGTAACGGGGTCTTCACGTGGTATTGGTGCCGGCATTGCATGGGATCTTGCCCGCCGTGGTGCGAATGTAAGGAAGAATTTGCTATAATGCACAGTCATCCTTTGTTGGATATTTTAGGAAAACGAGAACTTAAAGGCTAACGAGATCCAGGTGTGTATCACCTATGTATCAGAAAACAGTAAATTGCTTGTCGAGGAGCTTAGGGCTAAGATCAGCGAACTCCCCCACAAACCGATCACATGGGCCTGCCAGACCGACCTATCAACGACCACGGGTGCCCAGGAGGTCATTACGCAGCTCAAGGCTTACCTTGGCAGCGATGACCTTCAAATCCACATTCTTGTGAACAATGCCGCCACCGAGACGGTGAACAACATGCAGAGCGTAACGCTTGAGGATTACAATAAGGTTTTCAACCTGAACGTGCGTGGTTCTATGCTCATGACGCAGGCCGTGGTTCCGTACTTAGCACCCAAGGGCCGTATTATCAACTTAAGCTCTGTGGGAGCGCGTGCCGGCTTCAAAGGCGTTAGTCTGTACAGCGCTTCCAAGGCCGCTGTCGAAAGCTTCACGCGGTCCTGGGCCAGCGAGCTGGGCGGGGATGGCACGACGGTCAATGCGGTGGCGCCAGGACCTGTACCTAGCGATATGCTGGACAATATTCCTAAGGAACTTGTCGACATGCAGAAGATGACAACGCCTGTCGAGCAGCGACTTGGCACAACGGAGGAGATTGCAAGAATTGTGGGGTGGTTGGCAGGACCCGATGCCTCATGGGTATCGGGCCAGGTTATCTGTGCAAGTGGTGGCTGGTCAATGTATTAGGTTATATAGGTGGGAGGTGCGACCACCTCCCTTTCATCTTTCAGATTAGATGCCTAAAGGAAATCGGGGTAGTCTGTTGATAGTATCATTTTAGGGTTTATAGTGGTGGTTGCAACTACACACTAGCATGCAGTGAGTCCACAGAAGTGCTGATATTATGGGAACCAGTGTTAAAAGAATTTGTCCGAACAAAGCTTCAACAAATGCTCCATCTGCATGCATTTTTGACATCTTGTATTTCCAACCTCTTGTAGGGTTCGTAGGTGTGTAGTTCCGAAGAGATTTAAGGTTCGAATATGTTACTTGAAGTATGTGGAAATAAGAAACCTCAAATATGCCATTACCAAACTGTATATAAGCGCCAGTGCCAAACCCGAGAGGGATAATCCTACTCAATAGAACGAACGCACAGAATAAAAATCATAAATTTGTTGTAGTTGATGTCGTGAGAAGGCGGAGTCCCCACTTGACCCGACATGTCGTCAGAAGGCGCGATGTCTTTAGAAGGCCCAAGTTATCGGAAAGGGCACGGTAATATATAAAGTATCTGCGTTGTGCACTGGTTAACTACACGCGAACGCACACCAACATGTCATCACGAAGGTCGATCTACTTCAACCCCGCGGCAGCAAATGAGCGCAGTGCCTCCCCGCAAGTCGAAGGTCTAACAGCATTCCATCAATCCTTCCCCAACTATGCCCCAACTCCACTAGTCCAGCTCCCAGAGCTCGCAGCCGAGCTAGGCGTTGGCCACGTTCTCGTAAAAGACGAGAGCAACCGGTTCGGCCTACCATCATTCAAAGTCTTAGGCGCATCATGGGGCTGTTTCCGAGCAATTGCCGCGCAACTCGGCCTACCTTCTACAATCTCGCTCGATGAACTTTCAAGCCGAGCAAAAGAAGCATCAATTATCTTGACGACAGCCTCGATGGGAAACCATGGACGGGCAGTTGCGTTCATGGCTCGACTCCTCGGTATCGAGGCGCGGATCTTCGTTCCTCGGTCTTTGAGCCAGTGGACTCGGGATCTTATCGCTGGGGAAGGGGCTCGGTTGGTTGTTGTTCAGGGCGACTATGATCAGGCCGTGCAGGATGCTGTGGATGAGACGCGGGTGGGACGGGGTGTACTTCTCATCCAGGATACGGCGTTTGAGGGGTATGAAGGTGTCCCTACGTGGATCGTGGAGGGATATTCTACTATGATGCACGAAGTTCAGAATGAACTTGCTCGGCTTGGTCTATCAGGTAGTCTGATGATTACCCCTGCAGGTGTGGGCAGCCTGGCGCATGCGGTCGCGAAGCATTGCAAGTCGCAGAGCACACCTATGTCTGTAGTCGCTGTCGAGCCTGACACGGCTGCTTGTCTATCTTCTAGCTTGACTGCTGGAAAGCCGGTTACTGTCCAAACTTCTTCCACGATCATGGATGGTATGGACTGCGGCACTGTATCTTCTACCGCCTGGCCCGATATGCAGCGCCTGGTTGATGCCTGCGTCACCGTCTCGTCTTATGAGAGCCACTGCGCTGTGCAGTATCTGACTTCTAAGTCTGTGGCAGCTGGGCCATGTGGAGGTGCATCATTGGCCGCACTGCGACAGTTGGCTACATCAAAGGAGGCCACGTCACTTCTGAACAAGGATTCCGTGGTCATTCTTCTCAGCACTGAAGGTGCACGCGAATATCCAGTCCCAAAAGACGTATCTGTTGAAGATGTCGTGGGATTAACTCAAACTCTCACTCAAATCAACTCTTCCAACCCGACCTTGTCTGTAACGGACGGAGTTGGTGAGACCGAAATCGCAAACTATCTCGCCGCCTGGTTTGCCCATCGAGACATCGAGTATCACTGGATTGAGAAGGTTGCTGGACGACCATCTCTCGTGGGAGTCTTACGAGGCAGCGGAGGTGGCAAGTCTCTCATGTTCAACGGCCACACAGACACCGTCAGTCTCTCTAGCTACGAGGCAGATCCCCTATCAGGGTCAATTGGAACCAAGAATGGCAAAGAGGTTATCTTTGGCCGGGGCTGCCTCGATATGAAGGGGGGCCTGGCTGCAGGTTTAGCTGCCCTTGCAGCAACTAAAGCTAGCGGCCGCGTACCTCGAGGCGATGTTATTGTGGCTGCAGTATCAGACGAGGAGGATGCCTCGCAGGGAACTCAGGATGTCATTGAGGCTGGCTGGCGTGCCGATGCTGCTGTACTTCCCGAGCCAACCCAAGCTGCGATATTTACTGCCCACAAAGGATTCGTGTGGGTGGAAGTTGATATCCTGGGAGTTGCTGCGCACGGGTCCGACCCTGTATCAGGAGAAGATGCTATCCTATATGCCGGATCCTTCTTACAGGCATTGGAGAAGTACCAATCTCAGCTGCCAGTGGACGATCTCCTGGGCCAGGGTTCGCTACATTGTGGCTTGATTCGGGGTGGTGAAGAGCCCTCATCCTATCCAGACAAGTGTACCATCACAGTCGAATTCCGCACTGTCCCAGCTCAAACGGAAGCGTCCATCCTAGGAAATATCAGTGCGCTGCTGAAAGATATCGCTGAGCAGAAGCCTCGTTTCAAATTTGCCGAGCCGCGTATTACAATGTCACGCCCTACACAGAAGGTGGCAGCTGATCATCCGTTCGTGCAGAAGGCGGTAGCTTGTGCCTCTGCCGTGCTGGGGAGTAAGCCCGCTGTCAAGGCTGGTCCATTTTGGACCGATGCGGCCTTGCTCGGCGCTGTTGGTATCCCATCCATTGTATATGGCCCCGCAGGAGAGGGCCTCCACGCTAAGGAGGAATGGGTCGAAGTTGAGAGTCTTCAACATTTTGAGAAGGTGTTTACCCAGCTCGTGCAGGACCTTTGTTATTGAATGTAGATACCTGTATAAGTACAGGTTAGAAGAACATACCTAAATCATTTTGTAATGTTTCCTTCCAACTGAGATATACTACATCCAGCAAAGCTCCTCGTCATGCTTGATGTAGCCTTAAGCTGATACCACAGTAAAGTGATAATTAAATCCAGGTAGCGGAATACAGCTTGAAAGAAAGCAGTACTTGACAAATTGAATGGTTTAAGGAGATAGGCGTGGTCGTTGGTTCTTGTAGAGGAAGTGTTGTGGCTGGTGTTCTTTATCGCCACGGGACTAGACAGGGCCGATCGGCAAACATCCAGATCGGCCACCTTCGCCAGACAACATCCCACATATGATCACTACTATCTAGCACACCCATATCGTTGTTTCCCAATTTCCAGCAACTTTGATCTCATTTCTTGAAGATCCCGCAACGATGGCAGATGAATCACCAGCACAGCGATCCGCCCGAGTGCGCCGCGAGCGCCGCGAGGCAAAGATCAAGGAAGGAGGCTCCGCGCGCCTGGACAAAATCACCAGTCTGAGTGGACGCACGCCACAAGCTGGTAAGAAATGAGACCCGAATCCCCGGCTTTAAACCAAGGAGTCCCGATAGCAAAGCAGACATGCGACCTTATCGTTCACGCCAGTACACACAATGCTAACCTAAGTCATCTACACCAGAGCGCGAAGAAGCCTCCCCATCTCCTCAACCTCAGCGTGCAATCTCCGCATCTCCCTCCCCGGGACCGCAAAACCCCCAGTTCCGACCCTCACCCTCGCCACAACCAGACATGCAATCACCAGAAGCGATCCGCGCCCAGCAGGAAGCGTTCCTCTCTATGCTCCGACAATCCGCACCAGAACCAGGCCAAGGCGTGCATCCCGACCCACAAGCTCCAAATGGCCTCCAGGCTCAGCAAGAAGCCTTCCGCGCGATGTTGAGACAATCCGCACAGGACCAAGGACAGGACCAGCCGCCCAATGACGCCGAAGACCCCACTATCAAACTCCTGAGCTCTCTCATGGGTGCTATGCCCGGCGGTGACCCCAATGCTACACCAGGAGCACCTGCAGCTGGCGCAGGCAATCAACCGGCACCTGGATTCTCTCCCGCTGCTATCGCAACAATGCTTGGCGTGCCGCCTTTCATCGCCAATATGCTGGGTGGAGCACCGCCGCCAACAGAGGCGGAGCAGAAGCGTGTTCGGATTTGGAAGACGCTGCACACCGTCTTTGCGTTGGCGGTTGCTGTCTATCTGCTGTTCATTGTTGGGACTTCGGTTGCGTTGTTTGGTAGTCCCCCGCCAAAGCCTGCGACGGCACAGAATCCCTTTGCGATTTTTGTGACCGGAGAGTTGCTGTTGACTGGGGGTAAGGTATTGCTTGGTGGGAAGTCTGGTGGTATGGGAATGGTAGTGCAGCTTGTCAGGGATGTGGTGAGGGATGGTAGTCTTCTGTTGTTTATTTTGGGCATGGGGACTTGGTACAATCGCGAATGGCAGACCACGGCATACTAGGGTAGCTTGAGTATGTTGCTTCATTAACGATCAGCGTTATATCAGTATTTCAATGGCATGTATTATGTGATCATTATTTCATTATTCGTATACAAATTTTCAGACGCTAAGGAGGCATGTTTGTAACGGCGCGCTGAGATGGCGGGATAGCGTTGCGTAAAACACTCAAGGCAGACGCATCCAAACCCCAATCACCTTCCCATTGATCCATACGAGACCCTTTCTTGAAATGACCAGCCAGATGCTCTGCCCGAGCTGACCAGGTAGATAGTGGACATCCACAGAATCCACAGCGGCTTTCGACATTGGCGCCCGATCCGTGCCAGGCTTCGAGATCAGCCACGGGGACTTTTGTGCAGCCGTGGAATTTGCGCAGATGCTGCCATAGATAATCCTTTCGACTGAATGAACGCTCCGGGTTAGGCTTCTCGGCACATACTTGGAATTCATGCTCTTCCCAATGGGCGGGTGTTGGGAAAAGGACGTCGCAGAAGGGGCATTCAGAAAACTGCAGTTCGAACGCTTGTTGGACGTCGTTGAGATTTGGAGTGCAGACCCAGGAGTCAAGGGAGAGATGAACGCTTTTTTCATGGCGGGCCCAGTCGTGTTTCTTCTTGAAAGACTGCGTACAGAATGTGCACTGGTAATTATGGTCTACCGCTGGTCGTTGCCGTCCTCGAATGCGTTTGGGTTTAGTTTGTTTGGGGAGCAGTGGGAACGGTAGACCTGTGTCTGCCGAGGAATGGTAGCTCCATGCTGAGGAGGCGCTATCGGATTTTTCAGATGCCTTGCTCCCAATACTCGATACTGAGGATGTCAGATGTGATGAGCTCTGGTCGAAGTTGAAGAAATCCATGGAAGACTCATCGAACTCATCGCCCAATTCTATCGATCCAGAGGCAATAGCATTTTGAATGGTCGCTTCTGGGACTGGTTCATCGTCTGGCGGGGAAGCCTGCCATCGCTCCATGGGGGTTAGGGAAGACAGCGTGCTAATGACCATGGGGGAGCCTGAGCGAGTGCGGGATGTTGAAGAAAGTCCCGCAGTCTGAATCTTTTGTTTTTGACGGCGGCGGGCATTTGCAAACCAGGTTGATATGCGCTTTTGGGAGAAGCCAGTCTCGTTGGCCATCTGATTCTTTTGTGCATCTGTTGGGTAAGGGTATTCTTGATTTTGATAGAACCACTCGCGGAGAAATCTAGCTCCTTTTCTGAGAAACTGCTTGGGTTCTTTTCGTTCATCGGTATTTTCCATAGTGGGAGCGGACGATGGGTTGGCATCTTCCGGCACACCGTGGAGATGACCTAGGACCGGCGAGAAAGTCTCAAAGCCCGACGGGAGGCGCTTTTCTCCCTTTGCTAAACTGCATTCGCGAAAAAGGGCTACGCAGCTTGAGCAGGCATTTTTTGGATTCGGATTGGCAGGCGTAGTGCGAAGTATCAAACATTGCAGCCGATGCCTGCGACAATAGGAACATGATGCGGGAGGACGATATGCCCCGTCAAGCCACTGTGAGACATTGGTGAGACTTGGTTGCGGCAAGGACGGGTCAACATATCCTGCTGCTAAAGGCGGAGCAGAATCATATACACATTCAAAGGTCCTCAAGTCCTCATGATCTTGATGTTCAGGTTGTGTATCGGCGGTTGGTACGACGTGTGACTCAGAATTTGTCCACTGCGCCCATTCCAGATCACTGATGCCTAAGGGAGATGGTTGGGATTGGTAGTCTGGACTTGTATCAAAATAATGGCCCTCTTGCATCCATTGGGTTGGCTCATTTGCCTCTAGTATGCCCTCCAGCTCTATGTCCGATAGAGGCTGTGGCAACGACTGCCATGACGAAGGGTTGATGGGTGGCAGCTGTGGAGTCATGCCATATAGAGATAAACAGAGTTGCGGACGCGGGTATATAGCGACCTTCTTGTATATCGAGTAGCTTGGTTAGACCCCGTCTCGTTCATGCCTCGCCGTGAACTTGTCGGTATTGATGGGGTTGCTGACAAGAGTCAGCGCTAATCCATATTGGGCTAGAGAATGTTCCTTGGCCCACTAGTCCAAAAGCGGCAGGTACACACATGGATATTATGAATATTACTAAGCTTTCCCTCTCCCCGGGACATCTCGGGAACAAGCAACTTCGGGATAGATACGCAATGAATCGGTGTGTTCGCCACGTCTGCTAGACTTTTGCTAGAGTCTGCTTTCCAAATTAATCCATCTCGCTCGTTATGAAATCCTCATTATGTACAGCGAGGTCGTGGTAGTTCAGAGTTCCCGAGGTCAGCTTCGAGAAATCCTTATACCAATATGTATAGATTGACTTGATACCTCAACTGAACACTCCTTGAAGAGATGGTAGGCCATGCCTGGATGAAAGCAAGGATATCCTAGTCTAAAACAGAGCCCATACGTCCCAGGTGGCTCTAATCAACGTTTTTCTTGGTTATCAATCTAGTAGTCACGTTGCTTATCAGAATTAAGCTTATCTTGTTTATTACTTATGTTGTACATGGTTACTCCGTACCTAGATAGGTAACTGCAGACCGAAAACTCAAAGCTTGGTATTTAGATGTGGAACTTTACTTATTAGACAGGATACTAATAATTTGAAACCTATAATCTGGGGATAAATAGGCGAATTAGAAGAGGTAAAGAGGTTGATGTGGCATCGATAGCCGTAGATGAAGATATTAGACTCGGGGGTTGATATGCCGGTATAGAACTAGCCTAATTTGAATCCACCCGCCGGAGTTGGTCCTCTCCTCCGTAGTTCGGGTGGGGCGCTTTTGAGTCGCCACTCGGTGAGGCAAATTGATTAGGTGAGCAGCCGGAATCCGAGTTCCTGTGAAGAAAATGATCTCCCGTAAAAAAAAAAGGTTATTCAATATAAAAATAAAAGCCACAACCTACAGGTACATATACCTAAGTATATATACAAATTTATAAATTTAAAAATTTACAAATTTCCCCAACAAATAATAAACTTTAAAATGGGAATGGCGATCGACACTGTAGGTATAGTATTGTATGTGTCAACGGTCAGGCAATTTGTAGGCTACTGATGGAGTACCAGGTGGGCGCACAGGTGTGGGACTGAGACTGGGGCAACATTAGCTTTTTGCGACCAATTTCTATCACCAATCTGAATGAGTCAGCAAGGCAAACGGGACACTAAGATTGGTCAGTCGGTAACCAGATCTCCGGATTCGGATCGAACTCAAGCAGTCATTGGTGAAATTCATCAGGTTGCATCGAATTTCTGTGGAACCTTCCATTCCGTCCCATGGGGCAAAATTCCGAGTTTGGCACGCGAGAAAATTGGGGAAACAATAAGATTGCCGGATTTCCCACCTTCGGTCTGTTCTTCCCTCGTGGGATCTTACAATTAATCTTTTGTACCCATCTTCTTCAACACTTCCTCACTCCTCTGCATTTCAACTATATAGAATGGAGGTCAATACAGCACCACCTGCTTATGAGCAGGATAAGATCGCTGAACGGAAGGATGTGCCACAATTCGAAGAGGAGGGCCAGCTCAAGGCCGGTGAGGTTCACGATGCCTTCGGAAACGAGGAGTATGCTGAGATCAAGTACAAAACCTTGAAATGGTGGTATGTATCATCCGGAATAGAGTTTTTCTGATCGACCATGCTGATTTGAGGTGTGTCTTGAAGGCAATGTGGATTACTCATGATTTGTGAGTCAGTCTCACTGGGTGTGTTGTCGCTGCCCGCAGCCGTCGCTACCCTGGGCCTCGTCCCTGGTGTCATCCTTATTGTCGGCCTCGGAGCTCTCGCAACATACACTGGTTACAACATTGGCCTCTTCCGGGAACGGTACCCTCACATCCAAAACCTGGGTGATGCCGGTGAGATCTTGCTAGGCAAGTTCGGCCGTGAGCTCTTCGGTACTGGCCAGTTCCTTTTCTGTATTTTCGTCATGGGCAGCCACATCCTCACCTTCCGCGTCATGATGAACACCGTTACCAACCACGGCACCTGCTCCATTGTCTTCAGTGTCGTCGGTATGGTTATCTCGATCGCCCTCTCCATCCCCCGTACGATGAAGGGTATGACTTGGATCTCATTTGCATCGTTCCTCAGTATCTCGTGCGCTGTCGTGATCACTATGATTTCCGTGGGTGTTGAAAGCCACCCCGGTCGTGTCATCCACGCAACCGTTGAGACCAACCTGTACACTGCATTCCAGGCTGTTTCCAACATCGTCTTCGCTTACTGTGCCCATGTGGCCTTCTTCGGTTTGATTGCCGAGATGGAATCGCCCCAGGACTTCAAGAAGTCCCTGTTCATGCTCCAGGGCTTCGAGGTCTCCCTCTACCTGACCGCTGCCGTTGTGATTTACTTCTACGTTGGCACAGACGTGCATTCCCCTGCCCTCACGTCCGCAGGCCCCCTGATGAGCAAGATTGCCTACGGCGTTGCTATCCCCACCATTGTCGGTGCCGGTGTCGTCAACGGCCATATCGGCTTGAAGTACATCTACTTCCGCCTCTGTTCCAAGTCGGATCTGATGCATCAACGCAACAAGCGTTCCGTCGGTCTTTGGATTGGTCTTGGTGTTGCTTGCTGGGTCGTTGCGTGGATCATCTCTGAGGCCATTCCTGTCTTCAGCGACCTGAACGGGTTGATCAGTGCTCTTTTCGCTTCTTGGTTCAGCTACGGTCTGTCCGGTATCTACTGGCTCCACCTCAACCGCGGCGAGTGGTTCTCCACTCCCCGCAAGATCTTCCTTACTATCCTCAACATTGGAATTGCCTGCTTCGGTTTGGCGCTGTGCGTTCTTGGGTTGTATGCTTCTGGCACGGCTATCAACAAGAACGCCAACAGCAACAGTTTCACCTGCGCCAACACTGATACGTAAACCGCTCTATCTTGCTTTATATCATTGCATATTGCTGCGTCTTGCATATTTTCTTTTACATTACACGCATTGTACATACATCGCATATAGATTATGCTTAGAGCGCACAGGTTGGCTCTAGAATTTGAATAATATTTTGAAACATACTGAACATAAGGTCGAGCTCAATGAACATGTGAAACTCCAAATTCTCATCGCCTAATCCCTCCAATGTATGCTCGGTCGGGTTCCATTTATATGAGGGTCCGTTATCCCTGTGAGTACGGTGAGGCATTGACAGAATGCTCTTGTCAATCTAAAGTATCAAACAACACGCGGACGAGCATTCTCCCAAGTGCAGGTGGATATGCCAGTACCATCGACGCCTTGATCAAATAGGGGTAGGAAGCAGCTACGAGTTAGCGCCTTGGCCCATTATAAGGTGCGTATTCAACGAGCATACTTCGTAGAAATGAAAGAACAAATGGACATTACACAACTGCCACTGTCACCTCAACCCCCTTCACCTTTTCACCCGTGGACTTCTTCTCTCCATCACATTCACTTTCCCTGGCCTCCGCGTTTACTTTTCTCGCTCATCATACCTTTCAGAAAACTCAGAATGGCATCCTTTGCAGTTTGGATAAAAAACTAATTTTGGCTTTGAATTAACAGAAAACAGTAATGCATGTAGGGAAAAGGATAGCCAGGAGTGATGAAGTGTCAAATAAACTATGCCTACCAACAGCCTGAGTGGCCTGAATCCCACCGCTCGTCTGTTATTGTGCTCAAAAGATAGGTGAGTGCTACATCACTTCATAGTTCAGGGTCCTATTTCAACCCCATGAACTGTGCCCAGTCTTTACGATCGTTCAAACTGATGCGGCGACCAGAGTACGGACAGTATGGATTTCGATAAGTAGATGAGTCTCTGCGATGCATTCCATTAATTACAATGTGTCATTCCTAAGTTATATGTATCCATAATCCCAACAAGCAAAAACCCCTCGGCTAGTTCATCCATCTCCAACACCAACTCCATCAATATGTAACAGTTACATTCTTGTTTATATACTTCTCATCTGACTTCAAGACAAGGTTCTCAGCAAGCCACCTCCCCGCATCCTCCCGAGAGATAGTATACCCGACAGCTTTAGACTCCGGACCAGTCTTAGGATCCTCAATGCCCACGCGAATAGCCTTATCCGACTCACCATCAACAAGATGGCTCGCACGAATGATTGTGAACGATTCCCCGCTCTGCGCGAAACGGTCTTCCATGACTACCTTGTCTGTTCCGGGGACTTTGACAAAGAGGTTGTAGATGGGAATCATAACTATAGGGATATCGCGACCGAAGCGGGAAAAGCCCACTGTACTGCAACCAATGATGTGAGGAGTCCCATTGATTCCGGTGCCTCGAAGCTGGGCGAGAGCATCTAGGAGAGTTGCCGCGCCTTTCTTGCAGACGTCCGGATCGTCGATAGTCATTCCATGTGGCTTGGCGCCGATGGTGGATACGATTACATCGACGATGCGGCCATCGTCGGTTTGGAGGCACTGTGATACGGTGGAGATATCGTGTGCATTGCCTTTGATGACTTTCAGGTTTGGTGTTGACTCTGAAGGGAAGATGTCGGTGAGTTTTGAGGGATCACGACACAGCGCGATGCATTTGTGTCCGGCAGTGAGAGTGTGTTCGAGGGCAGCGAGCCCAACACCGGTGCTAGCGCCAAAGAATGCGACGGACTTGATGTTTGGCGTCATTTTTTAAATGGGTTGTGGTTGCTCAAGTAGCGAGGTATTGAAAGGGGTGGGTTCTTTTTAAGCATCTTGGACAGGACGATAGACTTCATAATATACATTTTGGTCGTCAATTTAGAGAAAGCGAAAGTCATCCGAGCTAATGCAGCAGGTCTCGCTCTTTTCTCGCGACTCGTATTTGAGGGTTAAACATCGAGGGCTGACATGTCGTTCTCTCATTGGTTATCCCGCCCTACCTAGGTATCTACGCTACTGAGTCAGACAGTCAACGCTTTCCAGACCTTGCCGTTCGCCTAACGAGATCAGGATAATCAAGGGTTTGCTGGGTCCGTTTAACTCGACGGAACAAGCCCATACCGGCCCTAAGATGCACGAAGAGCCTCCTGTCACAGCCTCCGGGGTCCTTGGGGTCGCGCTCGCCTCGGTCTCGGATGCCGAGAGAAACGCGAGATTGGACACCTCAGGCAGAAACGAAAATGCAAACCCCCCTGAAGCTGCGCAGCTGTGTAGTATGCCGAAGCCGGAAAGTCCGCTGCGACAAGCGAGCACCTTGTTCCAATTGCCGTCGCGCAAATATCGCGTGTGTGCGTCCACCAACAGACCGTCCACCAAGATGGGCCCGCCATCTCGACCGCCTCGACAGCGCGGTATCCAATTTACAGGCCTCCCAGGAACCTGAACCATTGACAGAAGATGTGATGGAGAGACTTCACAACCTTGAAAGCCTGGTTCAAGGGCTACGCGTTCAGCTGGAACAGGCTAAATCAGCAGCTAACTCTGCCGGGGGATCATCCAGGGTCGGTTCGCCCGAAAGCTCCGCACATGACCGACAGTCGAACCCGTCTTCCATTAATACTACTAATGTGCAAAATAAGTTTGGGAGACTGGTGCTTCAGGATTCCAACCGAAGCCGCTACGTTAGCAGTGGCTTCTGGTCTCGGGTCAATGACGAGGTATGCTGCCTTGGGTTGTGTGCATTGCTTCATCGAATGAATGGCTAGCTAATTTCTATTGTAGCTTGATGGCCTCAAAGCAGATACTCGTGGTCTTTCATTAGGAGAATCTGATACCTCGGATGACGAGGCATCGCCGGGGATGACCACTTCCACGCAAGAACTTGAACGGACTCCCGCTGAGCGTCACGGATTCTTGTTTGCGCACAATTTAAGTCCCTTTTCTCCTAATTTAACCGATCTTCATCCACTTCCTTCTCAAATTCCGTTCCTCCTAGATGTGTTCTCCGAGAATGTGAACATCATCTTTCAAATCGTTCATATTCCCACCATCAAGGGTATGGTTCGCGATTGGCGCGGCCGTGAAATGAAGGGACTCACACCGGCCAATGAAGCTTTGATGTTCGCCATATACTACGCTGCCATCACCTCGATGGAAGAAGAAGATGTAAGCCAAATCCTTAGATGTTCAACTTTCTCACAGATCCAAACAAGCGGGGTTCAGGCTCACGTCTTGGTATATCTAGATATTACTCAATTTCGGAACCACCAAAGCCGAGCTTAACCTCAAATATCGCCAAGGCCTCGAACATGCTCTTGCAAGAGCCGACTTTCTGAATGTACCAGACTTCGTTCTTGTGCAGGCGTTTGCAATATTCCTTACTCTTGCTCGCCGACATGACAGTCCGAGGTTCGTGTGGATGATGACGGGGCTGCTTATCCGAATGGGCCAAGCTCTGGGACTACATCGTGATGGAACACATTTTGATTATCTCAGCCCATTTGAGATTGAAATGCGACGAAGAGTCTGGTGGACCCTGTGCATATTGGATGTGAGAGCATCCGAGGACCAAGGGACCGATTACACAATCACAAAAGCGAGCTTCGATACTAAAATCCCTCTTAACCTAAACGACACCGACCTTGACCCCGGATCAAAGCGAACGCTTCAACCTCGCGATGCCCTGAGTGATATGTCCGTTGCGCGAGTCTCCTTCGGTATGTGTGAAGTCACGCGGCAGATGATGGCTCATGGGTTCAAAGACGAAGCACCGAGTCTAGAAGAGCAAAGTCGATCGTTGCAACAGATATACGAAGGTCTTGAACGTGACTTTCTTCAATACTCAATCGAGTCCGGGAACATTAGATACTGGGTGATAGTTACGGTCGCTCGGCTTCTTCTGGCCAAGATGACTCTGCTTATCTACCTGCCTCTGTTGTTCTCCGCCCCAAATGAAGACTTCTCGGAAGAGCTGCGGACAAAACTATTAGTTTCGTGTATCGAGGTCGCCGAGTACAATCATGCCCTGAACAACGAACACGCATGTAGACATTGGCGCTGGGTTTTCCAGACCTATACCCATTGGTGCTCCATTGTCTACATGATGCTAGAGATCTCTCGACGCCCGTGGTCGCCTCTTTCTGAACGGGCCTGGGTAGCTCTTCATAGTCCCTGGTTAATACCTAATCAGTCACACTTGGAACGAGATCTACGCATCTGGATTCCACTCCGAAAGCTGATGACCCAGGCTAGGAAGTACCGCGATATAGAGTTCAGCCGGCTGAGAAACGACTCTCAAGCTGTCCAACAGCTTGAACAGGGCTATGGTGTTACCCCACTCCCGTCGAGTACTGGGCCATTTCCACCTGGTTCAAATTCTGCAGATCTATTCCTTGACCAATGGCGCCAGCTGGTGGCATACTCACTCGCCCCCGGTTCCGCCGTCCCGAATCCGCTGAATCCACCGATGCACATTGCAGGTACAACGCAGTCAAGTGTGAATCCTGGTCGTGGTTTATCTCAAAAGGAACTCTACCCATATTTCACTGGCGAGCCAGAGTATCTCGCTACACAGGAACGGCAATTCGGGTACGAAATGTCAAGCATTGAATCTACAGACGTCGATTCAGGCGTGGCGCCTAATCCAGGAATCAGATTTGGACTCCAAAATTCAACCGTTTCATCACACAACCAGTTCTCAATGGAACCGGAAACTCAATTCGACGTTCAACTTGCCACCCCAGCCGTTGTTGTACCTTGGCTGTGGTCTGAGGAGGGCATATCAACCGAGTTCACCTCCGAAGACCAAGCCGATAGCAACATGGGCATGGACGAGGAGGTGAATTGGTACAATTGGGCCGCGTCCGCGAAGAATATGGAATGTGATGGGGGTACCTATAGCAGTAGACCGCGTTAGTCTACAACATAGTATATTAGAGAATTTATAATTAGGATACCACTACAATGCCTTTTGGATGTCTTCGAATGTATCATATTTTTGGAATACTTAATGGCGAATTAGAGAACATCGCCTGGGCAGAGGTTGTGGTCTGCATGTAGGAAGCGGTTCTCCAATATTGTGACCGACCAATTCCTTTCCAACTCTTTAATTGAGCTTTGAATCCCGCAACGGGGGGATGCCAGTATCCAAAGAAGACTCGGGTGTCCCCGGGTGCATTGATTCTGACATTTTTCCTCCCTCGAATATGGAGTGATGACTGGCGACATGGTGCATCCCATTTAGATGGTCCGTTGGATACTCTGGTTAATATATATCTCTGTTCACTTCTCAAAAAAAAAAAAAAAAAAATGAACTCCCCTAGTCTGACTATTAGTCACAAGAACCATCAAGCATCTGCATAATGCAGCATCAACACATAATTGTATGGTATTCTTGGCATGAAACCAAGGGAAGACATCCCCCCCAATCCAAATTGTACACTCAATCATGGACAGACTGGCAGTGTCTCATTCATAAGTACCTAGGTAAGTTTCCTAACGGTGAACGTTGATTCAGTATCGACATTTTATTTCTATAGATGTATTCTAATATTTTACCACAGCATCATCATTGTAAAATGGACCCAGGGAGACAGAAAAAAAAAAAAAAAAACGAAAAAGAAAAAGCAATGAAATCCACAAAGTACGAGAACATCAAACCAGATTATTTGCCAACAATATTGGAAAGACTATCACGCCACGACTTGGGCCGTCTGTAGTGGAGCATGCAACTCCAGCCTATTGCCAATAGGCGAGTCTGAAATGGGTGCGTGAGCACTAGTACTATCCACTGGTCCACCCAAGGCATGAAGGACTTGATCTTTAGTGGCATCACCAAGTCCAGCAGACTTCAAGGTCCTTCCGTGCTCAAAGTAGTCAAAGCCGCTAACAACTGCGGCCATTTCGATAAGTGCTCTGATGGTTGGCGAAGCCAAACCACACTTCAGACCAAGCTCGTACCAGGGTACCAAGCCATAGAGAACATCTTCCAATAAATAGCGATGATTGAGAGAGGACGGGGAGCTCTTGGTTTTGTTGTGTACCACGGAGCCTGAAGCAAAGTCGTGGTAGTCCGAGTATTCCCGATCATTGTTATAGTTCTGGTTCATGTACGCCGTGATAGGTGTGATCTTGAGCCCATATGCATCGGAAATTGCCAGGCGCTCCTTGTCCACCTTTTCAGTCACACGGGAGACAGCGGGCGACATTCCCTGGGCATAGAAGTAGAAATCGCCCTTGGTAGCCTCAATCCAGCCCGCATTCATGAGTGCCGCAGGGCAATGCACGACTGGGTTGACATTGTTCAGCCCAACCTCGAGCAGATTCTGACACCACACTAGCTTCTGAGAAAAAAATCACCTCTACCTTGTGTCGGAGGCCGAGCTCCGCCTGTGGGTCAAGTCGCTCGACCTGTGTGGTGTTCGGTGGCTCGGCCCAGATTGACAGAGACTTCTTGCAACCCTTAACGAATACCGTGTCACCCTGGATGCGAGTGGCGTAAGGGGAGATGTCAGTCTCGAGGATTGCATGGGCGTTGATCTTCGAGCGGGCGGAGAGGTAGAAGAAATTGCCCACGTTGATGATGAGGGTATGGTTTCGCAGGTCGAATTGACTCAGCAACGTCAGGATGGTGTCTTGTCCATATGAGGGGACTGTGGTCACGATGAAAGGAGAGTGTCGAATGGCAATATAGAGGTCACTGGTTGTTTTGATTTGGAACTTCCCACTGATCTCTCCAGCTGCGTTCAACCAGCCATTGTTCTTTTCAATCATATCCGTCCCGCCACGATGATCGGGATGAGCGTATAGCATGACTGACTTTCCACGGCTTGCTAAATCGGCCGCAAAGGCGCAGCCACATGGCCCTGCGCCGATGATAGTGACTGTTGGCACGGAGTCAAGGTTTTCAGTAGCCATGATGTTGGTCTGGACCTTGTGTTGAGGGTATCGTTGGTGTTGACTCAGAGAAAAGAAAGGCTTTCAGTTGGTTTGATTGAATGAATAGATTGATGCGAGGGAACCTGTCCATTTAAATATCGCTCGCTCAAGTGAACAACGGATCTGCACGAAGTATACGTTATATCCTATACGTTCTGGCTCTCCCGAGAGGGCAAGATTCACATGTATCGGATGTAATTGTATCCCGTCTCTCCTCTGCTCCTCTGCGTCGTATACCACCCGCTCAGTGATCATCCATGGGAAGTCTCTTCAGCTTGCGTCATGTCAATGCTATAGTTCATGTTTTAACGAGGACCATGTGCACAATGTACTCCGTACAGTGGACAGAGAACGATATGCGATGATGCGATGATGTGATGATATGATTTGATATAATTGACGAATGTGGATCTTCACGAGCATCTTGTCTAATTTGAGTTGGGACAAGCCTTCAGCTCAGGGGCTTAATTGGACACGAAGGTGAATTCATTACACAAGAGAAATTGTAGATCACCACATAATTGAGGCTAGAAGGCTAATTATTCCGTAAGCACATCACCATTGAAGATCAGGGATGCACATTTTGGGATTCATCGTCTGCAGGACCTCGAACATCTATTTCGGTTTGATACTTCATTTTAATGGTACTCGTGCATATCAGGCACGATCTGATAAATGATTGGAACGGGGCAACAAGCATCCGAGCATGTGGGCCGTTGTGGATCAATAAAAATGTTATGACCAATAGGAGGAACCCCTTAGCGCCATGTGAGCTTGTTCTAAAGGTTCCATGATGACGACCCTGCAGATCTCCAGGCCCAGGGGGTTCCCGAATATCAACCCGGTGCTAGTCAAGTTCTAGGGAAACTCGATACCTCCGTTGCCTCCCGACCCGAAAACGCCTCGGTATTGGCAAAGTTACGTGTTCCCGAAAACAGTACGACTCGATAATTGTTTGGCGCTTCGATGGATCAATTTTGAGTAGTCGATCATTGTGTTCGAGACTTTCAATCACACCATCCAGATATTTTCGACTTTCACAGTGGAACCCTTCTCCTGATTTGACGTCACCGCATTCTGTGGCCTTTTTGATGTTGCCTGTTGGATGAGTTGTTCATTGTGATTAATCGATGAAAAAGGGGACGGGGAGAAGCTCATACTTGCCAAATAATCCAATTTATTTAGGTCTATCCCAACATTTCGGTACATGCCCCAACGACCGGAACAATAATGAATTCGGAAATCACACTTGCAGAGCCTGTGCCTCAACCGTACAGCTCCTTTAGCACCGCCAAAAAAAAGATACATCGTTGCTACGGCTGCTGGAGCCGGTCTATTTTCCTCCTTGTCGGCCCAAATTTATTTCCCAGCTCTGAACACGCTGGCTAGTGACCTCAATGTATCAGCATCCATGATCAACCTGACGGTGACGAGTTACATGGTAAGGATGCCCCATTTGACGCAAATGTCATAGCATATGTTAACGGATGGGGATAACTATACTAGATTTTCCAAGGTATTGCGCCCATGTTTATCGGCGACTTTGCAGACAGAACAGGTCGTCGACCAGCCTACATCATTTGTTTTGTGATTTACATCGCATCAAACATCGGACTGGCTTTACAGGACAGCTATGGTGCTCTGATCGGGTTGCGATGTTTGCAGAGTTCCGGGATCAGCAGTAGTGTGGCGCTCTCCGCGGCTACTGTTGCCGACATCAGCACGAAACAGGAACGAGGATCGATGATGGGCTTTGTGATGGCTGGCAATTTTATGGGGCCCGCCATTGGTCCGATTATCGGAGGTCTTTTAGCACAATATCTGGGCTGGCGATCCATCTTCTGGTTCCTAACCATCGCCTCCGGTATATTCTTACTACCTCTCCTCCTCTTTCTCCCCGAAACAGCCAGAAACGTTGTTGGTGATGGATCAACTCCTGCGCAGCCATGGAATCGGCCCTTGATTCACTGCTTCTCTCGCCGGAATGGGAAAAGGCAGGATCTGTCCGACAAGGATAGTGTTGATCGACCTGACAGCAGCGACTCGACAAAGAAAGTCATCGAGCACAAACTCCAGTTCCCCAACCCCCTGAAGCCTTTGATACTTGTGTTCCATCCAAACTCAATTATCATTCTCTTGGTAACAGGAATTATCATGGGTGGAAACATGACAGTTCTCTCGTCCATCACGGAGATCTACACAGCGCAGTATGGCCTGAACGAGCTTGAGATTGGTCTATGCTATATCTCGCTAGGTACTGGGTCTATCGTGGCCTCGGTTGTGACAGGGCGCTTGTTGGATTGGAACTACCGACGCATGGCTGCCAACAAAGCCACCAATTCTACTGCCGCTGAACAAGCCACAGCCGAAGATTCTATCTCTGTCGAGAAGGCCCGGAGTATGATTACTATTCCCCTCGTTGTCCTCGGTAGTGTCACTGTGCTCGCATTTGGCTGGGTCTTGAAGTACGGGGCGCCTCTTGCGGCTCCAGAGGTGCTTCTGTTTTTCGTTGGCGTAGGGCAGACTGGTGGTTTCATCTCTACCTCTACCCTGCTGGTCGATCTGCACACCGCTAACCCGGCTGCTGCTACCGCTGCCAACAACATGGTGCGGTCTTTCTTCTCTGCCGCGGCCTCAGCTGCCATCGACCCTATGCTGACAGCAATGGGTCGTGGATGGACATTTACGCTGGTGGCATTCATCTTGCTAGCGACGATCCCATTCTTGTTGTTGCTCTGTGGGCTAGGGCGCCAAAAGAAAGAATTACCGGAGAGATCGGAGAACTGATAATGTTCATCAGCTGGCGCATTACCGGCATAAATATACCTCCTAACCCTAACCCTAATCCCTAATCCCTAAGTCGTCCTGGGTCATCTTCCAGGGGAAGATCACCTTCATTTATCGGGAATCCAATGGCAACACGGTAGCATTGAAAAATTTCCGGAAAACCTTTCTTCGTTATCAGACCAAGACCTTTGTGGACGTCGTCCCCTTCATTTCATTCAGCTTCGTCTCCTTCCCCTTCCTTTCGATAATGGTAGCACGCATTTGGATCTGAAAAGAGCCGAAAACATCGCGGACAGATATATTCCAAGCCCGTTTTCACCAGAGCTTGCATGAAAAAATTGCGAGTCGCCTTTCCACGTCAGACATCTTGAAGCAAAGTGAATAGGAGCAACCAGAGGAATATAGTTGTTCTAAATAGGAAATATATAGCTGTTAGTTTGACGACGGTTCATTCACTCTTTATAGGTGAGGCCGGCTCGCTAACGCATATTTATGGATCTAAAGACATTATGAAATGCACTTGCCGAATAGAACCCGCATCACTACCTCCTTTACACAGTTTTGTAATAGGAAATGATGTCGAGTACTATAGTTACATATGTATAGTAGAAATTACCATGTCAATACAGCTCGGAAAATCAATGGACCGATATGATAACGATACCATACAAAAGTACATACATTGCTTATCATCGATATCCGCACCCGTGGACAGATTGGAAAAACAGCGGACTTTGTCAAATTTAGTTAGAGATTTTTACAGGTGTGAATTTCACATACATTGTCGTACACGTCTATTTTCTGTCAGTCACAGTCACACACTGGTCACTCAGTATTTATAGAAAATCTTCCGGAGCCCAAATGAGCTTAGGAGTGTGGGTACCATGGCTTTGGTATCCATATTAGTCCTCGGCGGTGGATAGGCAAGTTTATGCTGAACTCGAAGGGTCCTCTACTCTTTTTAAAGAATAAGACTAGAATAATTCCTTCCAACAAAACATTCTCTTTTCTCTTTACCAGACCATATTTTCTCAGAACTGTTTTATTATCTCCGACAATGTCTAAATTACCTAACGATAGTCCTCCGCAATACGAATCACACCATCAAAGCCAAGATAATATACTTATCACTGTCATTCAGAATGAAAGACGCCGCCGGGAATTGGGGCGAAAAATGGGGGATATTGATTCTAGATTCGAAAAGTTTTTGGATAACTCATTTCAAGGCGACTTGACATGCCCAAAAGGTTTGGAGTGTGTACTTCGAGGGGGCCGAGTACTTGATGAAATGGCAGACTTATTCAGAGAGGTTGCGAATATACTCGAGGAAAGAATATCACACGACCAGAACGAACTCTATGATGCCATGAAAAAGCTTTCTGATACCGAGCTTGATCGCGTCTTTGCTTCTTCAAAGTTGGGCACAACATCGCATGGGCAACCTGAGCTGACTTGGAACCACAAAAACAATATAGACGGCCATGGGACCTTCAAATACAAGTCATCGAGGGCACGGATGTTTTTCCACGCTATCCAGGGGGTATGGAAACATCTCAAGGGCCCGCCAGTCTGAGACTCTTGGGATCGGCAGCTTCCTGCGAGTCGCTTTTGTTTCTCTATGAGAGTCCTGACGAGGCATTATAAAGAGGGAAAAATAGCATATTGGTATTTGCTTCTGTGATGTTTGTATCTTTCTTTATACCAATACCAAACATCTACACTTTGCTATATATTTCACCGTATTCTACAACAGCGAGAAAGAGGCTTGACGTTGTTCATTACCCTTAAGGAATTGCTAGTAATATAATCCATCGGACATGAAGTAGTTGCAACCTTGACTAAGCCCTTACTATCTTACTAGATAGTTCACTAGCCCAATACCTTTCTACCAGGTTGCTTCATCTGTAGTAAATCTTCTAAGGCTAGGGGTTCTGGAGTCGCGTCAAACTTATCACTAGGCACCGTATATACTACTTATTGTGCCACAAATGTAAATGACTACAAGACTCACCTTTCATGTAATTACAGAACCCACCTTCGAGATAAGAAACTTTTACGGCGAACGGTGAGATCTACGGATTAGCACGAGAAGAAAAGCCAAGAAAGCCAGACAGTGCTCGCGAGCTACGCAAGCACACAGAGCAAGAAAGCGATATATAATGAAAAAAAAAAATACAGAAGGAAAAAAAAACATAAGGAACAAAATAAGAACAAAAACTTTGTTTGTCACATATCCAGTTTTCCCTTCATCTCACCTCGCTGAGGTTCTCGGAGAGAAGCAAAACTGGTGAAACGCCCATAGGAACGCCTTGGTGCCAGAGGGGTTCACTCCTACCCGAATTTGCCCTTGACCCAGCGCCTAAGGCCCCGGGTAACACAGCCGGATTGATAGGCAGTGTTAACAGCGGCCTGAGCTTCGGTGGCCAGGGCGCGAGACGAAGAAGGGGGAGGGGGAGGACCAGGGTGACCGGGGAGACGAAAAGACCGGCAGGAGGGAGGCCGGATAGGGGATATATATACATATATATATATGTGCACGCGGGCAGTCGATACCCAAAGGGTATCGGTTAGTAGTCAAAGGCCAACAAGGCAGGGGAAGCGGCGCGCGAGTCGGGGAGGGGGGGATAAGGGAGACAACCTAACGGAGCGGGCCTGTAGAGACAGAGCCGGGATATCAGCCTCCTTGGCCAGCTCCACTATGACCGGGAGTGGGCGGGGTATGTCGCCTGTAATATAATATTTTGTTAGCACTGACGATATAGTTAGGTACTATGAAGGGTAAAGAGAAGGCTCCTGGGCCTAGCCTACCAGCACGTCTACTCCGCGCCCACTCCCAGTCCATGGTGGCTTGCGGATCAAAAGCCGTCGTAAGTTCGTAGAGGCTATATCACAAGATGTCAGCATTGTTCAGAAAAAGATTCTTATCTGAGATTTTGTAGTTCACTTACGGGATGCCCTCTTCCGCCGTCTCTCTGTCCCTCTTTTCCTTCTTTGTTTTGATGAAGAGGAGGAGGGCGCCCAAGGCAAGGCCTTAGAGTCTCCCCATATCAACGCCGTTCAGGGTACCAATGCTTGCTACCTGCTTCCCGTATATAGCGGACACCACGGACACCACGGACAAGGCGCCATTGGTTTGTAAGAGCTGGTGAACCAGGAGACTCCCAGCCTTCGGTAGGCTGAAGCCGGCCACCGTGCCGATCCCGATATACCCGCCGGGGATAAAATCCCCCGGGGGGCTTGGTGGTCGTGGTGGCGGTGGGGGTGGCGGTGGGGGTGGCAGTGGTTACGGGCGATTAAATATGCCACCAGACACATAACTCCGCATTATAATACAATTCAGTTCAGATTCAGTTCAGATTCAGTTCAGATTCAGTTCAGATTCAGTTCAGATTCAGTTCAGATTCAGTTCAGATTCAGTTCAGATTCACTTCAGATTTAAGATAGTAAGAATTCAAGAGTTAAGAGTTAAGAGTTAGGAGTATAAAAAGCTCGGTTTTTTAAAAATTAATATAGTATTCATTTATAAAAATACCATATAAAGTAACTATAGATTCAACATGGTACTTGTGAAGTGAGAGTAGATCTAAATTATTGCCTGGCAATATGAACCAATGAGAGAGTTATGTGTCTGGCGGCATACTTAGTCGCCTGTACACCAGGGACAAGTACAGTTATTTGGACTGTAGTAGACATTTCGCGAGCGTTGGAGAAGAGAATATGTCTGAAGTCTACGAGACAATATGCTGTCACGTCTACTAAGCAGGGACAGGAGCAGGGTCGCGCCTTCCTTTATGGGAAGCCATTACTAACCTATGAGCTGGTAGGTCGCTCCATAGACTGTTCCATGAATCTGGAAAGAATTGCAGCACGGCTTTCGGCCTCTTCAACAGTGGACTTGTCTTTGAACACAGAGTCCATCTGCTCCAGAGTACGACCGGCGGTCTCAGGCACGAGGAAATATACCCATATTCCCGATAGAGCGCTGAAACAGCAAAAGAAAACATAGGTACCAAAGCCAATGTTCTGGAGCATCGGAGGTGTAATCAATCCCTAAAAACGAATTAATAAACTGGCTCCCCCTTTCAGTATACTGTTAGTACTCACAATAATAAAGTTGTTGCCCCAATTGGACATGGTGCCAAAGGCGCATCCTTTGGCACGTAGGGAAGAAGGGAAGATCTCCGCAGGCATTGCCCACGGGATAGGACCCCAGCTGGCTCCGAACGACAACATAAAGAAAAGAATCAAAGCCACGCTGGCCCAGCCGGGGGCAGTATTATTAGTCCATTTTCCATTGTATTTTCCAACCAGAATGGAAATGATGAAATGCGCAAGGAACATGCAAAACGCGCCACCCAGAAGAAGCTTGCGACGGCCGAAGCGGTCTATACCCCAAAGAGACCAGACACAGGCGACAACTTGGCAAATGTTCATCACACCTGACATGGTAAGTTGCATCTCGTAGTCTAGACCCATTGTTTCGAATAGGGTCGGCGAGTAATACTGGATACGTCAACAGTTAGAAAGGGTTCTAGTAACTTCATGCAATGGGGTGTAATCTCACAATGAGAGCGTTAATGCCAACAAACTGTTGGAAGAACATCAGGCCCACAGCTACCTGGGTGCGTTTATAGATGGGCATTTTCCAACAATCAACATACAACGCCAATTGTAGCTTGATGGTATTCCACAACCCAGGGCTAGTTAGATTGGGGTGTTTCTTTTCGGATGCGTTCTTGCAAATTGTGCATTCAGCTCGAATTTCGCACCATTCCCGCAGAACTCGCTCGTCGCTGGTGGGTAATTCACGAATCTTGGCAAGTGTCCGAAGAGCCTCTTCATCTCGGCCACGCTGACACAGCCACCTAGGAGAATAAGGTAACATGAAAACACCAGCGACCATGAAGAGAGCTGGGATCATCTGGATAAGGAATGGAAGACGCCATGACCAGTGTCCTGGAATATGGCGTGTGCCATAGGTGATATAGAAGGCGATGACAATGCCAGTGACAATGCTCAGTTCCTGTAGAACCAGCAGAGTACCTCGAATCTCAGGAGGAGCAATCTCCGAGATGTAAAGTGGGGCGACCATCGCAAGCCTGTTTAAAGTTAGAATAGGGGCCAAGATCGACGGCAAAGATCGACGGAAATTGATTTCCGGCCTTACATTCCCACGCCAACGCCTCCTACAAAGCGTGCGACGGTCATCATAGCAAAGGAGACCGCTCCAGTCTGTAGGGCGGCACCAATGAGGAAGATACAGCCAGCAGTCAGTATGCTCCATTTGCGGGATATCTTGTCGGCAATCCAGCCCTGGTTTAGAGCACCTGCGACTTATTAGCCCCGTCCTTAATATGATGACGTGTTTGACAGTAGTTACCAATGAAAGCCCCCAACTCAAGAATAGCTGTCATAAGGCCCTTTTTGAATCCAGCTCCCGGGGCACTTGGGGAGACATCAGGAAACTGCTCAAGGAACTGAGGCATCACAAGCGTAATCGAGACCACACCCTGGTCATAACCGAAGAGGATACCTCCCATGGTAGCGAAGAGTGCACACAAGAATACATATTTGGAAGAGAACAGTCCTTGAATTCCGCTCTTGCTGTAGCTTCGACGCACCTGCCCGTCTGGAGAATGATTGTGTTCATCGGCGGACTCGGTGGGTCCTCGGGGGAGAATCACCCCTATTTGGGCATTGTTCAAAGACGCACTCTCCATATGAGTAGAAGTGTCAGTGTCATTGTCAGACAGGCTCTTCTTCTCCATATTGTGTAAATTTTGGAAACAGGCGTAATGCTATAGGCTAAGTGAACCTCGTGGGTAAATTTAGTGGAAACCTGGGGAATCCGGGGATGTTATTTAACTTGACTAGTTTACATGCGGGGTACATGCAAGGGACTCCATAAGTCTCTATAGGAGTTTAGGAGTCTAGGGATCGATCTGTGAGCCTGGGATTCATTGCAAGATTTGGCCACGAATGCCGATTTAATGCCCAGCTTTGGCCAAGGCAGGGAATATGAATCCGAGGCTTGGGAAGCCTTGGAACAAGTAGGAGTCTTTTTATTTCCTGAAACATCCGGCATAATCGTCCACAATCTGGGTGTACGATTCGCCGGTATGTTATCTGGTTTAAATATGCCTCAACTTGGCAGCAAGAGGAAGATTGCCTCCCTGGAATTCGAATTGCGAATATCGGCTATGTCCTGAAAATGACGTTTTGAGTTTGACCCCACGAATCCTAAAGATTCAATAGCCTCCTGCTAAATTGTGCTCCGTAGTTGTAACGGCTTTTACCTTGACAGTCCAGTCCGAGGTTCCATAGTTTATGCCATAGATGGAGCCAAGCCCTTTTGCCTCGACAAGGCAGAAAGCCAAACAGTGGATGTAGAGTAAACGGATAAAAGGATATATTTATGTTCGTAGTGTTTGACGAGGCATTCAAATATATATTATTTTAGTCAAACATGAGCTTTGCTTAGAAACGACAGTAGGAAACCACCGAGACAAGTCATACGCTATACACTTTCGCACATATGTAACCTGCAAATCTAATTACCATGTGCAATTCCCTAGATCCCAAAAAGAAAAGCATTCTCAAACATTCCACCGAACTCCAAATTATAGAAATAGTCAATCCGGCCCAAACGATTCAAACCTCTGTCTCTGCCTGATGCATCCTCACAGTCACCGGATCAGCAGGACAAGAAGTAAGCGAAACACCAAAACGAATCTCCCTCTCAGAGTTCACATCCTGAATCTTATCAAACCTTTGCAATAGTCTTACTAGCACATAACTAGCCCTCATTAAAGCAAACTGTTGACCAATGCATGTTCTGGGTCCCCTATTAAACGGAATATATTCCCAGGTGACGTTACGGCCGATCCATCGGTCCGGGTTGAAGATTTCGGCATCCTCGCCCCAGATATCCTTTCGACGGTGTAGGACATAAGTGCTGTACATGACTGTGCGGCCCTTGCGGACATAAATCGGGGAGGTACCGTCTTTCCCGCCACCACAAGGGAGTGTAGTATCATTTGCCGCGCAACGGCGATTGAACGGTACGATCGGGTAGAGACGAAGAGTTTCTTTGAGAAAATGTTGGAGGTACTGGCATGATTTCAAAGATGCAAAGTCCATGTTTCGTGGTTGATCGTAAGTACCGAACTGCTCGAGGATATCGTTTCGAAGTCTTGCGAAGACGTCCGGGTGTCGTGCAAGAAGGAGGATCGACCAGCTCAGTAGAGAAGCCGTTGTGTCACGGCCTGCTAGGAGGACGTTTAAAGATTCATCACGCAACTTAACTGGGTCCCTTGTAGTACTAGCCAGAGCTTTCAGGAAGATATACTGTGATGAAACCTTTTCGATGTCCTTGGGTTTGTCTTCCTGCTGCTCCGCCTGCCTCAGAGCAGAGTGAACATACTTGTCCACAAAGGCGTGTACAATGCTGATGCACTTCCGAAACTCCTGATTGTTGATGACCCAGTAGAGCCGCTCGAACCGGAGTCGCTCCGCAAGGTACCACATGCACCGGTCAAACCCATAGAGGAAAGTATCATCAGAGGCTTGTCCCGCTTCCTTTTGCATAGCAGCAATCTGGCTGTCGCAGCTTTCACCGAAGAGAAACTCTGTGGCCGAGTCTAGGGTAAGACGAAAAAAGATGGCTTGCATGTCCACCGCAGAGGACCAGCCATCAGATAGCATCGGAATGGCACGCAAGGCGTTGTGAACATGACATTCTTCTCTGTGAAGATTGCTCATCTGATCTCGCGTAAACTGAGGCCGTAACAGTGACCGGGAACGCGACCAACTTTCGCCATCAGTAGTAAACTAAGTCCAGTCAGTCAACCTCTCCACCGTTCTCAGAGAAAAGAAAAAAAAAAAAAAAAACTACTTCCGATGCGGGAAAAAGAACTCACGATTCCATGGCCAACAACAGGATCAGCTACGTTACGACGTGTATCACCCAAGCCGAAATCCTTGAACTGAGTGGCCAGCATAGCCTGTATATTCTTAGGATCGGCTGTGAACAGGTTCTGCCGACCAGCCTGACACATACGAAAGGTAGAAACGTATCTGTCATGCTGACGGGATAGAAACGCCATCCGCCTCTCTGCTAGTTGTGGGAGCAGCTTTTCTCTTGCTGCTTCAAGTGTCTCGAGGAGGATGGAAATACCGAAAGGGTCCTGGCCGGGATAGACAGGGGGTTCTCCACAGCCTATCCTGCGAGCTTTCTGGGCATGATGCCAGGTAAAATAGCAGGATAGAAGCAGACGTCCTGCAACAGTGAGTACCACAAGGGCTGGGACTAACCAGCTTTGCATGAGGAGGTTGTTAAGCGTTGTGGTACCAGTAGAGGCGCTGCGATACGCCTTTGACTCGGACATGGTGTGAGGGATGAAGTAGAAGAATTGGAGAATAGTAATAATCTTATCTGGTAATGTTTCAGCGTATGAAGGACCAAAAAACATTGGGGAAAGTAGGAAGAATGACACCGGCGAGTGAATTCACCAGTATGTTGTCGCAATATTAATATAACAACACAAATCTCTTAATAATTATTAAGAAATACGAAGATGTTATACTTCTATAGTAAATCAACCATAGTAGATTCTGAATTTAGCATACATGGACAACAGACCTATGATCCCTGCAAGATCTTAGATGCCTTACAGCCCCCAACTACACTGAGCGGTACGTTATTCCTAATACGGTATTCACTACCAACCTTGGCCTCCAACTTAGCGTAGCCAGCGTTTCTCTCGGCGTGCTGATCATGACTATGTACTTGAGGCTGTAAAGTGCTTATACGGTGCCACGTATCCATCGCTTGGCAGATGGGACATCGACTCGGTCGATTAGAAATTGGGCTGACGTGATACGAATTATATTTCTTTTACGACCACAACACTGGATAATATGTCTTTAAGAGCGGGTCTGGCCATGGTAGAAGTGGTAATAAGTGGGTTCAGATCTAGAATAGATTCTGACTAGTACAAAGAACGAGATACTCGGTATCCTGGACCATCTTGCATTAGCCCTGCAATTAGGAGGTCATATATCAAATACATTATGCGGCTCCCCATCGGGCGAGGATGGAGCACACCTCTTCCATGATTCATGTCCCGCATCCCTTGGGGTCTATAAGAGTCATACCTACCTATAACAACTACCCTTTCCTTAGGCCTAATACCTTTTGCTGGCGTGTATTGACTCCTTAATCGCCAAGGTCTGTATCCAGCGTCAACCTCAATATGTCATCTTCAGAAAAGGACGAGAGTTCATTGTCGCTAGAGACCCATCCTCGCAGCCATATCCCCGACTGGAAATGGAAGGGAACTCTTGCAGTCCTTGTTCTGACGACCCTCATTAATGGTCGGTTGAGCCTATATGTCATTCCACCACCTGAATTCCAAATCATCGTTCTGACCAAGTCATTGTTTTAGGTTATGATGTGAGCAATGTGGCCAACATCCAACCCGCCCTTTACAAGGCCTTCGGCAACATTACGCTTCTGCCATGGATCAGCCTGTCCTTCAGCCTCGCTGTTTTTGCTGTCCTATCCTTCTCCCGGAAGATCTTGTATTGCGTTGACATGAAATGGATCTATATCGCTAGCCTTGTAATATTTATGGCTGGAGCTGCTGTCGCTGGCGCAGCCCCCAATCTCCCTACGGTGATTGTTGGACGGGTCATCATGGGTGTGGGTGGTGCTGTTGTGTACCAAAGGTATGTTTCAGTCTATCTCTGATGTTGTTAAGCTCATAGAGCTCACAGTAACTAGCAACTTGACATTTGTCGCCGTCTTCGCTACCCCCGATGAGACACCTCGTCTATTCGGTCTTCTTAGCGCAATATGGGCCGTGGGTCTCGTCATTGGCGGTCCTATCGGCTCTGCTCTCGCCTCAAACAAACACACCACCTGGCGGTGGGCTTTCTACATGAACCTTCCCTGGGTGGGTCTGAGTCTTGCGGGTGCCATCATCTGCCTCCCTCGCAAATACCTAGGGCCAGAAATCCCGTTAGTTTCTCGATTGATGGCGATTGACCCCATCGGCATTGCGTTCAACATGGCCGCCCCAGTACTATTTGCCCTGGCATTGGAGTTCTCCGGCCCTGTCTGGGACTGGGGCTCTGGTGCGTCTATCGCGACCTGGGTGGTTTTCGGGGTGGTCCTGGTTGGATGGATCATCCAACAATACTGGTGCATTGGCACGACTTCTGAGCAACGCGCTATCCCGCTTCACTTGCTTGGTCGGGTTGACCTGCTTCCGCTTTGGATCGCGTCTGGATGTGCAGGCGCATCGTACGCCATCACACTCTACTACACACCGCTCTTCTTCGCCTTCGCTCGCGGCCACAGCGCCATGGAGCAAACTGTCCGTCTTCTTCCTTTCGTTCTGGTTTTCATCGCCGTGGTCATCCTAGTCGGAGTGTCTCTCCCGGTCTTTGGCCGCTACAACCTGATCTACATCGTTGCAGGTATTGCGACCATCACGGGGGCTGGCGCCATGGCTGGCACACTGAGTCCTCTTGTCTCCGAATCCCAGGTGTTAGGCCTGGAAGCACTTATTGGAGTTGGTCTTGGCTGTTCTTTCCAGCACGGCGTGGGTGTCTCGAATGTGATAAACAAGACCCCGCGCGACCGTGTCGACAGCGCGGTCATGTTCAATATGGCACAGATGGGCGGCATTGCAATTGCTCTAGCGATTGCGGGCTCGATTTTCCAAAATGTGGGGTACAACCTGTTGACAGACGCCATTGGGGATAACGGGTACTCGGAAAAAGAACTGCGTGAGGCGCTCGCCGGGGTATCGTCAGCAGTGTGGCAGACCGGCAATCCCGAAGTTCTTTCTCGTGGTGTTGAGGCCGTGGCCACAGTGATTGGCCGGGAGTTTTATTTAGTGGTGGCCGGCGGTGCTATCTGTCTCGTCTGCGGGTTGGTGATGAGATGGGAACGATTGGACTATGGCAGGAATAAGAGCAAGGATGTCGAGGCGTGACCGCTTCTCACAATAATATTTATTTTTAACAACCACTCGAGTCCCGTGAAGCGAAGATTTGGTATGCCTTAATCGAATTAGGTCGAATGATGCGCACACCCATGCCAAGTATGCCAAGTATGCCAAGCGACAGATACTATACTCGGATCATTGGCCAACAGTTAGCATGTCTCCTGCGATAGGGCCAAGGCGGAATGGCCCTAAATTTTGCGGCTGGTAGAAATACACTGCTTGCATTCCGGTCTCATCTCGTCTCAACGTACTTTCTGAGTCCTATTGATAGTGGTTTAGTCAGAGCTGGTCGTCAAGCACTGCTTGAAGGGGGATAGCGACTTGTATTGCACCCAGTTCTACCTTTTGTACGGAGGCTCGTTTAACTTAGGTGTTTGTGACTCGTGGCTGGCTACCATCGGCCTTGTACGCTGTAGGAGGCGCCAGAATAATGGCCGACCTCACAGTAGGATGATGTTTCCTAATGGTTCTTCCGAGTGAGGTGAGGTACCAGGATGGAGACAAGAACCTCCACCGCGCGTATATTGCAGTTTCTACGGAGTAGATGACGGCGCGAGGACCGTGCGAACCTTGGAAAGAGCGGTGGGGAAGGCGGGTGTGGGGGGCGGAGATAAAGTCTTTCGGATTATAGTTTTCCCGGTCCGACTCGCCTTCCTATTAAGGCACTTGCGCCTAGAAGCCAAGGAAACTTCCAAGGTTCCTTCAAAATCTCACATCAGAAGCCCGTTTTGGGCGCTAATGGAAATAGGGAGAACAAGCGTTGGAGTTGGGCGCAACATCAGGACTGGGGGATGACTAGCAATACTTGGCGGGTGCAGAATAGTGGTGTTCCAGGGACCTAAGGGCTGTAGCCTGTGGGCAGTCAAGCGGCGGCTTGACGTCCAACGTTACGGGTGGAAAAGCAGCCGTTTCTAGTATCGAAAGCGGTCATTCTCGGCATCAACCCTGCACGTCTTCATATTTTAGATGTAAAAGAGAAGAAAAATAAAATAGTCGGAGGGATTTGCTTGCATCTCCAGTCACATAATCCAACCCTTCTTTTAAGTTCTCAAAATCCGACAAATAGTCCCTCATAGTCTCAATAATATACTTAACACGAACTGGAAATTGATTGCGCTGGAACTAGTACTTCAGTTGGAAATAGACAGCTGCTATATACAACATAAAAAATAACAGGAAATCAAGACCTCTACCGCCAGAGCATCTTCTTGCGCCCAACAAGCATATTGTGAAGTGAAATCTTGGGTAATATCCATGATTCAAACCCTGAAAATGCCGACAAATCATCAAAGTTGAAGACTTATTCCAAGGTACCTTCTCCGACACAGCGCTTCAGGGGGTAAGTGTCTCCCAAGCAAGTGGTAACAACACCCTTAACCCAGGACAAGGAGTTGGGTCCATACTTGTAAGTATCCTGGGTGAAAGAATCAGCCTGGAAGTGTTCATATTGTCCACTTCCGGGCTGTCCACTGAATACGTATCCGCTTCTGCGATTGGTCAAAGGATTGCTAACAATCGCACCCCACTTGTTCTTCGGGATCGTCATGGTGACCGTGCCGGTAAGAGTAGCAGTTTCGGTCCACTGGTAGGTGACGGTGGTACCGACACTAAGGAACGCTTCCACGGTGGCGGTAAACGTGGAGGCAACCGAGATGCTGTTTGCGATGGATTGACCCGATGCCATGGCAGCAGTGGCATCAGCTTCGTTGGCATGCACAATGGTCGACATTGACATGTCCCAGCCGAGGAATTTCTGGTCAGGCAGAGGGATGATTAATTGGGTACCAGCGCGCTTGCTCAGACGTCTCGAGGGGGCGGAATCATCGGATCCAGTCTGAATGAACTTCGGGGGAGAATCGGCAGGTGGAGACAGAGAGACTCCAGGTAGATTGGCAGCTAGGTCTCTCTTGTTGATAGTCTGTGTGCTGCCATCTTCCAGAAGAAGAACAGCCGCTTCGGTTGTATCGGTCGGCAGGGCAGAAACGAATGCACTGTTGGCACAGAGAGAAGCAAGGAAGACAAAGTCGATCTTCATGATGTCCAACAAGGAGGGTTTTGGTAAAGGTCCGTAGGTATTGACCGAGAATGGGTCTTGAGGGAAGTGATATCGCAAATTCAGCGACGGAAAGAACACGCTATTTAGAGTCCATCGGGGAAGGCAGCGGGTTTTCCAAGAGCCCGGGAAGGATGGTATACTTTGTCAAACTAGACGAAACCATCATACTGATCCATATTACCACAGCAGATCTTCAACATACCATCACCATAGAAGCTCAGCATATTCACACAAGAACCCACCTTGTTTCAGTTGTATACTTCCGAGGAATAGCCGGGGATCTACCGATGATGATGGTATGAAGCCATGATGGGGAGATACTGCGACAGGTTAATCAATTTGAGTTCCTGCAGGAGCTCTGGAGGATGATGTATGTAGATCATGGGGTGTGTACGGGTGATCCTACTGGTCAAATGCATGATCCTGAAGAAAACCACGGGGCAATTGGGACCTGGGGCGTGTAACGGCTGTGGGGCAAATTTACTGATCCCGTTAAGGGGTTGTGAGACGCCGTGGGGGCCAAATACAGACCCAGCTCAACCGGAGGATTCCGTACGGAGTACAACATAGTAGAAACGCTAGTTGATGCGAGTAAATAGCCACTAGAAATCAAGATGGGAACCCGTCAATCATCTCGTAGATCCGCACCGCGAACCCTGACAGTTGCCACGTGCTGATAGTCAAGAACCAAGAACCTAAATGACTAGCTAAACTCTAAATTTGTTCCTAATCAGCTCCATAGTGCCCCCACGTAGGTTTTGTTGTGAGACACATTGCGCATTCAGGGACCTTCCAGAATGACAAGAGTGATCATAAAGCAACAGACAGGCAATCAGGGAAATGCATTACGGAAATGCAGATTAAAGATCATCGTTCCGATGGGGATTGCTCGGAAATTATGTCTTATGTTGTCTCATTTCAACAATGGGGATCTGTATGATCTGACGTGCGGAGAGACAGCTAAACTCAATTTAGAAGGACTATCAAGTTCCTTTTAACGTACCGCTTCTCTGGCTTTTCGAGCATCATTTAAATCTACGTCTGCCACCCAATCCTCGAAAGCCAGCTTGATAATTACCTCCCATACCATTACCATCAAGATGAAGTCCATTTCACTTATTATCGCAGCTCTTGCTGTTGGGTAAGACCTCCAAATTGACATCATTGATACAGACACTGATTTTTTGCAGTGCTTTCGCCGACCTGCACACTCAAGGTGTTTGCATCGATACCCCTGCCAAAGAAGTGGTAAGTACAACATGAAAGTTTATACCCATAGGAAATGCAATTCTAACTACATTATAGGCGGTATACAATAAAGCCGCGACTGAAAAGGCATGCGCTGCCTATAAGAGCCGAAACACTGGTAGCAATCAATGGGATACATGCCCCGATTGCACACTTCTGAACGAGAAGGACCTCCTATACTATTGCGAGTCCAAGGGAAAGCACATCGGAGGTGATGAGCTAAACTATTACTGCACCGAAAACGGTGCCGGAGACAGTGTTGCTTGGTGAAGAGGCTGAGCATAGTGGCCGGAATTGAGGAAAGATATCACTTGGTGCACTTTGTACTTAACCGATACGAGCTGAATTTATAAAGCTGGTGCTGCGCTTTTGGGCCCATGCTATATGTGTGCACTTTTTGGTATCCCGTTGACACTGCTCCATATGCTGTTTTTAGTAATGTAGCTCCTGCTAATCTGGCTCCGAGTAAATGCTGTTGACGATTACATTTATGGTTATGCAAATTATCATGAAAGCTCAGATTGGGGTAAAATGCTTCCACCCGTTACAACTATGAAACGTGGGCTGTCTCAGCTTTTTGGAGGATGCCTACGCTAAGTTGCACCATCCAGGCAGCATGTTCACAGATGTTCTAATGTGAAACTACAGATGGAATGTAAATGGAGAAATCATGCAGTCAGATTCGGTATGTGGAAAGTGGACGGAGAGAGAGAAGAGAGAAGGGGAGAGAGAAGAGAGAAGGGGAGAGAGAGAGAAACCATCTACTACCTACCTAGGTACCTAGGTACACATAGATGTGGATCTGTCCCATGTGGGTCCTGGGCCTCAGGCACCCAACATGTTCCCTTTCTTGACATGGCGCTGTAGTCAGGTCAAGGCTACCAATCCTGAATGAAGTAACATACCAGGTAAATGAAGATGGTTCTATTACTTTTGAATAAAGCGAAACTTACAATTGACAGTCTAACCAACTCAATCACTTCTCGGTCATACTACCCTCGGTCTTCACCGGATACAGCCACTTCAAGTCAAATCCATTATTCCATCCCTCGTCTCCCATACCCGGCATTTACCGTTTGTCCAGGCGCGTAATGAGATCCAAGACCCTATGAATCCTTTCCTATCGACCTCCCTACCAAGCTACCACCGCGCTCTCTGACTCTGCATCACCTGCAAGACCCCTAGCAATACCAGTACAGAGGCTGCAGATGATTGCAAAGGCCCGGTGGGCTTGGTTCATTACGACCACAGGGAGGTTGCACTACCCTCGCCGTAGTTTTCATGGAGACTTGGGTGGTGGGTATATCTATTGTTACGCTAAGGTGTTGGAGAACTGTGGCTCGATATCTTGGTAGAGTACCATGCGAACTCGAGAGTGCGTACCATCTGCGCTTAGTGGGTACGCTGCCCCCCCCCACAACCTGTTCTCCCGTTGACAAGGGCTCAAGTGCCACCCGGGACTGTTTCGGACCGACTGTTTACCTTGGATGGTGGGAATGCGAGCTTGCGCCGTACTAGACGATAGCTCCCTAATCACGACGTGGTGGTAAACACGCACGCCGGTGTAGCCATAGCCCGAGCGGTTTCCGACCTCGTATTCGATCCGCTGTACGAGAGTGGGGGTCATAGAGCTCCTAGCTTTCGGGCTGGATGCGGGCGAAAGCACCTAGTTAACTTGTCGAGGGTTACCGGTACGTTTGCGGACGTAGGGATAACATTGAAGAATAAGGCGATTGATACAAAGTATAGAAGCAATTTAACTTTATTATGTCCACAAAAAAAAAACTGCGCCCGTTTCATGGCCGCGGTACTATTTTAGGTGCTGACCCGCGCACGAAGTTGTTGATCTACTTTGACTGTGAAGAGATATCTTCCAAAGCCATGATGCCCCCCTTGCCAGAATACCACGATCCCAAATGGTGTCATCACGTAATTTTCGCTTTTGGTTCCCCAGGAATGTTGATTGATCGTTGCACAGACTTGTATATGGGTTTCGCCAGTCCAAATCAGCGCGCATTCCACAATTGGTCCAGCGATCACGAGTAACACATCCACAGGAAGTCAATCACTGCTACTTAATCTACGGATCAAATTCATCCCCATAATTCACGTACCATTTCCCCCTCGTCAGGTCGGAAGTTTTTGCGGCTCCGGAAGAAATGGAAGAGGAAAGATGCAACCAGCTGTTTCATCGTGCGAAGACCCTTCTCGAATGTCCCGCGAACGACTATTTTTTTCCGGGTCAGAAAATTTGACAAAGATGAACAATTATGGTCGATTCTGACTTACAAGGAGTACCGTTCATTGTTATATAATGCCTAGCAGATCCTCTGCTGTTCTTCTTTATCACGACTAGAGCCGAAACCGACTGCTTTCAGAAGCATCTCGCTAAAATAGCATTCTTGAAAGAATAGACTAGCGAATTCCAATAGTCTCGGATAAAATCCTACTAATGCCTAGTCTAGTAAGTAGACACGGCCATCATCTAACCAGATGATATTTCGGGGGGCTATATCTAAATAACAGAGTACTAGTGGAGTAGGATCAAAATAAACCTTACTATCTCCGGGAAAAAGCCGGCTGTTAAACCATTCTTCTACTTACTAAACATTGCTAATAGTCAGATAATTTGTATCTAGCTAGAGCAAGCCAATTGAAGGGCTACCACATAGGCTACTAGCCCTATCGGCGGTAATAGAACGAAAATACTTAAGAATGTAGGCGACTCTTTAAATATAAGAGTCTGAAAGAGGATCGATAATTTTGCCCTAAATAAAATCTGATATTATATAGCCCCAACCCTCATCGTCCATAAAGATTTATGAACCCTAGGGACTATAACGATATCTGGATCAATTATGCTATATGCTTTTTGCTGATTCTTTGCCTCATGGGAGGAGACAAACGGGCCGAACTTGACTACCAAGTCACAATCTGGTAGCTTAACGACTTGGTTACCAGACCTCAAGCCTCTAGTAAGCTGATCCTCTGGACAAGAACGGCAATAGTCAATGATCGACTGGTGATTGTCTAATTGAACAGACATGGTGGCATCAGGCATTAACTAGAAGGCGGGGTGGGGTAAAGAAAAGGAGAGCATGATCTACCGCTTCGGATAATAGATAATCCGATGTGTCCCCTCCGCCCTTAGATGTTCTGGGCCGCACGCGCGCTACACTGACAGGGCCAGCGAGAGCGACGTAGTTGTACTGCCTTCCCTCCTCCATTCCTAACCAATTTGAATTTAAGAAATATGGTGAATCTGAAAACCAAGTTCTAGCAGATGCCCGGCCTATTAGTCATATAAGAGTTGTGGTTCGACATGTCGCTGATACAATTTACCGAAATTTCCGTCATCAATATCAGTTCTCTGGGGGAGGATCTGGCTATCGCTTTTGGGTGGGAGTATAGCTCTACTTAAAATTAATAAATCATCGCCATTAATACAATAATATGAATATAGTCGCACCACCGTGTGAAAGCCGTCAATATATTGCCGCGGGAACAGCAAATGACTTGCGGCGACACCTACAACACCTGTACCGCAGGGACAGGGGTCCTTTGCAAGTAAACCGGGTCCAGGGGCCATTTATTACTCCTTAACAATGGTATTTTATGCATCTTAGCTCAATGCATAAAGACAATGGCATATTCAAAGCCGGGCTCACATACTCAGGATAACCGGCATAATTTGAAATATACAAATCTCTCCGATGTCTATTTTACAATTTAGTGTTATTCCCACATGACAATTGTTGGAGGACGGGCTATTAAGGAGGGTAGAAAGCAGAAGAAGAATATTGTCTATTCAAACTAGCAATCCAGGGTTTATATACCCTGGTAAAATCATCCGAAGAAGGCTCAGTCTGCTAGCAAACAAGCATACTTTGGATGATGCTCCAACAACAATGAGCGCTTCCGAGAATGCCAGAGGTGAACTACTCAAGTTTCTTTCTAGGCCCCTCTACTAGGCCGTTTCTGGGTACAACATACTTCGCCCAATAAGGGTTGGGCCGCACGGGAAACTATGTACCCGTCAGTAGTTCAATGCAAATTCACTGATGTAAGTATCCTTCGTATAGGACCACAATACAAAAGGGACTTCGAATCAAAGTTTCTCATAACTTATATTTCTTAACGACGAGATATGATATTCAGAAGATAACTTGATGTTAAGAAGCAGGTCTACTTCGTGAGTTCCAAAAAAAAAAAAGCCAAGACGTGTTTTCCTACTAGAAGATGAAATGCACTATTGAGGAGCCCTCGACCATCACCGTTCTCTTTGTGGCAATCTCTCATACTCTAATCCGGATGCCATATATTGAATACATTCTGAAGTTACGTTCATTTTTTATCTATACAATACTGCGGTGGAGAATATGACGTTGAAGGAATTTCGATCAAAAGTACCTTTCGTACGGTAGTACCACACAAAAGGTACATATATGAAGAAATTTGCACTAAACTGGCTGGTCTTTAAATTGGGATTTAATGAAGAGAGCGCATATGCCAGAAAAAAAATCCCTCACCCCGCATCTCAACTAAGAAAATGGATCGGATCCATGCGGGATTCAATCCTGGAGTGACCCCAATTTCCTTGAAACAGGATTAGAAGCCGATCCGCCAAGACCCGGGGTTTTGGCTGACAATCGGGCCCCGGGGCATGCCATGGCTGACTCTCCCGAGATCGGGCGACGAGAGCTGATAGGTGAGAATCTCGCTTCCAGAAAATTCTAGCGCTTGTCTTGTGATATAAAGTTAAAGCGCCACAGTCGGATTTTAGTTTATGCACTATTACTTTAATTTTTCAAGTTCTCGTGCGAACTGGTTCATTTAGAGACAAATTGTATGATCTGGGGTTGAAATTTGGGGTAAATCCAGTCTAAGGACAGTACATAAAACCTTGACTAAAAGATTCTAAAAACGTTATCACTGAGGCGAGATATTGGGGGTTACATGCGCATCCGGGGGGCTTTTCAAAGCCGGGCCGGGTTCGCCGGGCCGGTAAAATGTGTGGCCTGGATGCATACCGCGTACGGGGTTGGCTCGCCAGACGCCGAATACCCCACAAATGTGGGCGGGCGCTCCGGTGAAGACACGCTTAGGTAAGCATCCCACGGTTTCGCTAGCCAAACCCATGAACGCATTTTTCAATGCCATCTTCAAAGTTGCAACCTCATTGGCATTTTACCCCGGACACCCCCCCAGAGTGTGTTTGAGCGAGTTCGTCATTAGGCAACAATTGCCCCTTCCCAGACTCACGAGCATCTCTCAGTACTACAACATATATATCTGGTAATAGAAGATTCTATTAACCTTTATAATTTCGGACGCCAAGGAAAAAAGCCCGTGGCCAACCATTGATTTTTGGGCCTCCACAAGCAATTTTCGGCGCTTTTCTCCTCTCGCCCTGGACGTTTTCTTTTCTTCACTTTTCCATATCATATACTATTCAACAATATGAGCGTCCCTGAAGCACCTCGTCCTATTCAGGACTACGAAGTATACAATGAGTCAACCGACATGGAGAAGAAGGCCTATCCGGTAGAGCCTACAGATGATCCCTTTGGAAACGAAGAATCCGGGGAAGTGAAATATCGTATCATGCCATGGTGGTCAGTATCTCACTCTGTTTACTGTTTTTGTTGCACTGAAACGCAAAGTTCTGACTTTTATACAGGCAAGCTGGAACATGTGAGAGCTCATCATTAACCCCAGTCAACAGCATCCCCTTTCTAACACTGTTCATCTAGTGATGGTCGCTGAAAACATCTCGCTCGGTATCCTATCTCTTCCGTCCGCAGTAGCAACCCTTGGCATTGTCCCGTAAGGAAATGTCTGCCTCCATGATACAGGAACAAAACTGACCACCTCCCAGGGCATTCCTCATTATTATGTTTTTGTCCGGCATCTCGTGGTACACTGGATACACCATGGGCCAGTTCAAGAAGCGTTATCCCCAGGTCCACAGCATGGGCGATGCTGGTGAGCTTCTTCTAGGCCCCATCGGACGTGAGATTTTCTTCGTCGGCCAGCTTATGTTCATCATCTTCTTGATGGCCAGTCACATTCTCACCTTCTCGGTGTTGTTCAACACTATCACGAACCACGGTACCTGTACCATTGTCTTCGGAGTTGTCGGCTTGATCGTCAGCTGTCTTGCCGCCCTCCCACGCACAGCAGAGAAAGTCTTCTGGATGTCTACCATCTCCGCCATCAGTATCCTGGTCGCCACCATCGTCACCATGGTTGCCATCGGTGTTCAGGCGCCCGCTAATGTTCAGAACGATATCGTCACCACCCCGACCTTCCAGGAAGGTTTCTTGGCTGTCACCAACATCGTCTTCGCCTTCATTGCCCACGTCTCTTTCTTCGGTATCATGTCCGAGATGCAGGATCCCCGCGATTTCCCCAAGGCTCTCGCTATGCTTCAGATTGTCGATACTACTATGTACGTTGTAACCGCCATGGTCATCTACTGCTATGCGGGCCCGGATGTCGCATCTCCCGCTCTCTCGTCAGCTGGACCTATGATGAAGAAGGTTGCCTACGGCCTGGCCATCCCAACGGTGTGTTACCTGTCTCCTTGCGATTAATTTATGACTCTGTTCTAATTTTTTAATAGGTCATTGTTGCTGGTGTTGTTTTCGGCCATGTTGCTTGCAAGTACATCTATGTTCGAATCTTCCGCGGCGAGCGCTCGCACCACATGCACCAGAAGACTTTCCTGGCTACGGGTACATGGGTCGCGATCGGTCTGAGTACCTGGACTGTTGCATGGGTCATTGCCGAGTCCATTCCGGTGTTCAACGAGTTGCTGAGTTTGATTGTATGTTTTCTAACCCTTTGTTACCGTGCGTCTACTAATTCGTTTTTCAGAGTGCCCTCTTTGGAAGCTGGTTTAGCTGTAAGTCAACTTTTGAAACTAAAATCTTGATGCAAAATGGATTACTGACCGAGAACAGACGGCCTCCCTGCCATTTTCTGGCTCATGATGAACAAGGGCAACTGGTTCTCGTCAATCAAAAAGACCACCCTGACCATTATCAACGTGATCATTCTTGGAATTGCTTGTACTATTGTATGTTTTGCCTCCCTGCAAGATTCAGAATTTTTAACTGACAAGACAAGTGTGGATTGGGACTCTATGTCTCGGGCGTGGCTATCAACGAGAGCTCGTCCAAGGCAAGCTGGACCTGTGCCAACAACGCCACCTAAACGTGATTATTACGGTGAACATTTAAAACGTCTCCAGTGTTAGAAATGGTTGTTTTATAGATTTGCTTTGGTAAGTATGGATTGACATATATGGTATGAATTGGCTGGGCCATTGTAAATAGACTGCTGTTTAATTGTACTCGTATACCTAGCATGCTGCAGGTGTTGTTTGATATTTAAAGGATGTTTATTACTTAAATTGCAATCTGAATTCTCGACATAATTTCATATTCTTTCCTGTACAAATTGAGCTATAAAGTCTGTCCTCTAATTATTCCGCTCAAAACTACTATGAGCAAGTGATGTCATCACTAAATGGTACACAATTATACAAATCATGATTTTCCACCATGGGGAGGCTTGCCATTTCACTTCGTCTCCGACAATCCAAGGCATTCTGCCATGTTGAAGAAGATGTCAATCGAGCTATACACACCTCCAAACAGCTCCTGACACGGACCGCGCGCAAAGACAGGCACATCGGTCAACGAGTGAACACCCTGCGCCGAATCAAGGGGGAGGTTTCCATCGACCATGAAACCAGTAACCGCATCCTTGTAGTTGGCAACATATTCCTTCTTCTTATTCTCCACAGCAGGTTCGCGGGGACCCTCGCTGTGAACCCGGTAATCCTCACGGTGGTCAGGGAAGGCACCAACACCGGAGTGCAGGGTGTATCTCGGGTCCCATTGGGCAGGGAAGTGGACGCCCTCGGAATACCGCAAAGAGTTAGATCCAGCGACGGTGTACTGCGACAAGCCGGAGTTTTCATAATATCCGACCGCATTGCGCTTGCTGCGGTCATCTTCCTGAGCCTCCATGTACTCGGTGTCGACCGAGCCGGTGACGTCGAAGCCGTGGCCGTGATCGGCTGTGACAACAATGAGGGTGTCTTCAAGCTGGCCCAATTCCTCAAGTTTCTCGATTGTTGCGCGCACGGTATCGTCGAGTTCGAGCAGCTCGCCCAGGGCGCGATCGTAATCCAGACTGTGCATCTGTTTGTCGATGCTGGCGGCCTCAGACATAAGGAACCAGCCATCCTTGCGGTGGCGCTTGTCGAGCACGTCGATCGCCTTGAGGGTCATGTCCTTGAGTCCGGGGAGATCATCTGCGTCGCGCTTCGAACCATCGGGGTAGTTGCTCTGGTTGTAAAGGTTGGACTGGTAGACGTTGCGATCAAGCCAAGTAGCGAGGTTGGATTGCTGGAAAACACCGAGCAGCTTCTCGTCATTTGACGCGCTGTTCAGAGCAGTGTTGTTCCAGGCAACGTTGTAACCCTTCTCTGCGAAGAGCTTGTAGTAATCACGGGTTTCCTCGCTCTCGATGAAGTCCTCTGCACCAGCACCGAGGAGCACATCGGGCCCATTCCAGTTTGCCCACTCGTTGTCGGTCAGACCTTCGTAGTATGAGCCGATGACATGGTCGTATTCTCCACGGTCGCTAGTGTGAGCAGACAATCCGGCAGGGGTAGCATCTGCCAAGAATGCAGTTGACACAATGCCAACACCGGACTTCGGGTGCTGACGGCGGAAGATTTCTGCGATTGTCTCGAATTTCGGATCATCAAAGACGTCGCTGGAGGAGTCGACATAGACACCCAAAGCATTGACGGTAGTCTTGTGACCAGTGTAAAGGGCCGTGGCGGAGTTGGCCGAATCGGTGATGAACGAGTCCATGGAGTGTGTCATCTGGTGTCCCAGCACAGGGAACTTGTCCATTGCCATCTTCGTCTGGTATTTGCCGTTGATGCTGCGGTGGGCAATGAGACGTGCCGCAGTGATCATGTTGGTTGTCATGCCGTCTCCAACGAACATGACGACATTCTTCGCGCGTCGCTTGGTGGGGAGATCGCGAACAAGCCAGTTCGCGACGGTCTTTTGTTCCCCGTAATATGTCAGAGTAGCCTCGTATTCGCCGGGCTCATAAAGGGCGATTCTTCTGTAGATCTTCGAAGTCACATTCACGAGGGAAGGTTTGTCAGCGTCCTCGGCGAAGCGGTCTGTTTCTATTAGCTTTTATGCTCCCCAAGAAGTGGATGGTGGGAAGCTATTACCTTCAAACCATGTGAAGTCCCACCTCTCTAGCTCAGGTTCATCAATCTTGAAGTATTCCGTTGCAGTGACAGGAGCACTGTCCTTGCCCTTTCCATTGGCCTTCTTGGCAATGGTGAAGGTAAAGTTTTCGTCTGGCTCTCCGACACGAGCTTCAGAACCATTGACAGGGGAGTGTACCTCCAGGCGGATGTCGAAGTATTGACCGGCTAGGAAGTCAACCCTGGATAGAGTAATTAGAAGCTAGGAATCAGGCGCAGTTGAAACATTACATACTGATCCGGCGGGAAGATACATCCCAAGTCAGGACAACCACCCAGGCGCTGGAAAGTCTGGGCAGCTGTGAACGCGACAAAACATGCCAGCGCAGAGATTGAAGAGGCGCGCATATTGATAAGCCGATTGTGATGAAAGGAGTTACATTTAGAGCGAAAGCACCTTCGTTAAGTACAGGGAGCTTTGGAACTAATTGCAAGCGAGCATCCTGCCAAGAGCCCTTCTGCCAAGATAACCAATGGTGGTATCGAGACACAAATCTCCGAAATATCCCAGTGCTTCGAGACAGTTGTTTGGCTCCCTATAACATGGGAACGAATAAGAAACAAGCCAGATTTGCACGTGCGTAATCCAGGAGTTTACCTAGGAGGCTTGAACCTCCTTGCCAAGTCAAGGGAACGGAATGCCAAGCCAGTCCAGCCAACCCCAGTCATTCGCCAAGCCACCTTGGCTTGGCGGGCCATTGCACGTGGGATGGATGAGAGATGGGGTGGAATGACGTTTGTTCTGCTCGAGGCTGTTTTATGTACACACGTGAATGCTTTTCCATAGCTGCCTATTATGGAAGGAAGGAACGCAGAGGTATACCAAGGCTTTAGCCAGTTCTATACCTCTCCGGCGGGATTCCGATGCCGAGATTAGGTAGCTGTAAGCGTTCGGTTGAAATGTCCAATGTGAAACGAAAGAAATAAACGATATATCAACTCAAATAAATGAACCAACATCTGATGTCGTATATGAATGGAATTGTTTTTAGTCCGATGACTCGTACCGACGGCAATATATTCTAACACATTCACCCTAGACTCCTTCGGTTATATAACATTTCCTCTCAATCTTATAGCCCCAGAGCTTTGCCAATCCTATCCAGTTCTGTGCTGGGATCGGGATTTGTTGCAAACCATTCTTGTTCAATGAGAGTTACGTGACTTGGGCTCCTGCAGCGGGCCTGGATGCCGGCGATTTGTGGCCCTTCATCAACCAAACTTGGTGGCCGTCCGAGATTCTCAATGATTTTGTTGTCATCAAAGTCAAATGCCCACACCATTGAAGCAATCGCAATGCTAAGTGAGTCCATTGAAATAGACTGACCAGGACATGCCCTTTTCCCAAATCCAAAAATGAAAGGACTAGGCAGGGTCGGATTCTCCAACCATCTTTCTGGCTTGAAAGACATTGGGTCCTCATAAATAGATTCATCCATGTTCAGAGCCCATTGATTTGAGAAAATGAGGGCACCTTCGGGGATTCGATAGCCCATATACTCGTCCTCACAACTCACAGCATGAGGAACGCTTAGGGGCAGTGGAGCCCTGAGTCGTAGACACTCCTTCACAAAAGATTGAAGGCAGGGCAGACCTTCTAAGTCATCAAATGTCGGAAGTCTCTCAGTGCCAACCACTCTGTCGACTTCAGCTTGAAGCTTGCACACTTCTTGAGGATGTGATGCAACCATTTTTATAACGATAGCCAGGATCATAGGCGTTGTGATAGAGGCGGCAAATTCAATCTCGCCCATAGATACGCAGAAGGCCTCCCATGTTGACTCCTCACTATGAAGCTGGCGAAAAGCGCGGGCCATATTCCATGAAGGTCTTTGGAGGGCAGATTCTAAATTTTTCTCAACGTGCTGTATAAGACTTCGTGAAAGAGGCTTTGCCTTCTTTGCAAGATATTTTGAAACCCCAGGCAGATGCTGTATGAATGGTAATACGTCGACAAGCACATTCTGAGGACGTGCAAGGCTTTTCATGTCGTTTAGAAGAAGCGACAGCTGCTGGACATCAGTCTGTCTCAGAGACCCTATGTCTGTACCATAGAGAAGGGTAGAAGTCAAGTTTTGCGCATATGCAGCAAAGCATGCATTAAGGTCACCTCGCTCGAGCATGGTGAAGAGCAAGTACCGAGCAGTAAGACACTCAACCGGCCGATGAAATTGCGAATTTCGTGGGCTCATAACCATCATTCTCTCGCTGTTCAAGGCTCGCCATTGTTGATCGTACTGTAGGAAGGCCGGGAAGAGGGATTTGAAGATGTATTTATTGAAGAAAATCATTTCAGGTCGGCTACTGAAATTACGTGCTTTCCTAACAAATAACGCGTTTATGGTGCTTCTGTTTCCCAGCACGATGATCACTCGTGTGCCTAACCGGAGGCTCAGTATAGGTCCGTACTCAAGACTCCATTTTTGGATTCTTTCACACTCGGTAAGGTGCGGGAATCGGAGGATGTCCCCGATGAGTTGGAAACTATTGGGACCGGGTGGTAGTAGGCGACTTTGAGGCTTCAAAAGCCATACACAACATGTTATTATCGCCAATGTCGAAACAAACAAGACAAAATAACCCATTTCAGTTGACTTTGAGTTTGTTGATTTCCCCAACTCTTAAATGATGAGAAATTCTTTGTGTGAAAGTTTGATAGAGATCCTACGGGGTTGCAATAAGGAGGAACAACACTATGGGATTCTCGGAATGGTAGAGATGGACGGAGAGAAGGAGAGAAGGAGAGAGAGAGAGAGAGAGAGACTATCTACTGCATAAAGTGGATCTGTCCCATGTGGGTCCAGGGCCTCAGGCACCCAGGCACCCAGGCACCCAGGCACCCAACAAAGTTAGGTGGCTAGGCTGAATATGCATTCCGAACCACATTTTCAGAAAAATGGAAGTCAATGAATGATTGCTAGAGGTCATAATGTGGACATTGATCGCCAACGAGCGTCATACATGAAGATGCAAGAAGCGGTGAGCTAACACGTCTCATATGTTCATAATACATAAGCTCCACAATTACAGATGCACCTGGAGCATAGTTAACTCAGGGCATTCAGCATTTAAACCGCTCGGATTAGCCTCCACTCCTTCATTGATCTAGGGAGAGGCTATAAAAGCAAGCATGGAGTCCAAGGGGTTCAAAGTCATCATCGTCGGTGGATCTATCGCTGGACTTACCCTAGCCCATAGTCTCAGCAAAATTGGCATCGACTATGTGGTCTTGGAAAAGCGAGCTCAAGTCGCCTCCCAGGAGGGTGCTTCCATCCTCATCCAACCTCATGGGGGTCGCATACTGGAGCAGCTAGAGCTTTTCAAGACAGTCGAACAGTCAAGCGAACCACTAAATACTACTCATGTTCACTTTCCCGATGGGTTTGAGCACACCAATACCTCTCCGGGGATATTTAATGACAGGTATACCTCGCTCTATCCTTCAAGTACACCTAAGCTAATAGTACCAGATTTGGGCTTCCTCTTGCCTTTTGGAACGACAAAAGCTGTTACAGATTCTCTTTGACAGTCTACCTGACAAATCCAAGATATTATGCGGTGAAAAGGTCACCCAGATTGAGGATCGCGAGGAAACCATGACTGTCCACACAGAAGATGGCCATACCTATAAAGGTGATCTGGTGGTTGGAGCAGATGGCGTACACAGTCAAGTACGCGCAGAAATGTGGCGACTAGCGGAGGAAATGAAACCAGGCGTCATCTCTGAGGCGGAAAGAAACAGTCAGTTTAATCTCTTCTTCCTAAGGTTTCCTGGCGGGGTAATTACTGACTCAGTATTGTAAGCTGATTAGGTATGACGGTGCAGAACGCCTGTGTTTTCGGCGTTTCTAGCGATGTGGTTGGTTTGGCACCTGGACAGCAGGTGTGCAGCTTTAATGACAACAGATCATTTTTAACGTTCACGGGAAAGGATGGACGTGTTTTCTGGTTCTTGGTAAAGAAGTTGGAGCAGAAATACTCGTACAACAACGCTCCCCGATTCACGTCAAAGGACATCGAGCCGATTTGTCACCCGTTTATGAGTGATACAATTATTGAGAACACCCGGTTTAGCGATCTGTGGGCTCGCAAACAGATGTGTTCGATCACAGCTTTGGCGGAGAATGTCTTTCAAACATGGAGCCATCGGCGCATAGTGTGCATCGGAGACAGCATGCACAAGGTATGTTCCTCCTTGAATTCTCTACAGCGAACCATCATCTAAAATATAATATCCAGATGACACCAAATTCAGGGGAGGGGGCAAATTGTGCCATCGAAGATGTTGCAGCGCTAGCCAACCTGCTGAACGAGCATGCGGCTACGAATGCGAGACTTCATAAGCTCTCGACGAAAGAGCTAAGCACTCTGCTTGATGACTATGGTAAAACTCGGTTTGGTCGGATTAGCACGATATATAATGTCTCGCGCCTTGTCGTGCGACTTCATGGCCGGGATACCTTGCCCCTGCGCCTGATTGGACGATACTACATGCCTCGTTCTGGGAAGCTGCCTGTAAATGTGGCTTCCAAAATCATTGCAGGATCTGTGGCATTGGATTTTCTTCCACTGCCCCCTCGGTCAGGTCCGGGTTGGGAGACTTTTAAGCCAAAGGAAAGCAGCCCAAGATGGTGGACTGTGGTGGCTGCAACTTCAACAATACTGATAGTGTCAATATGGCTGTGGAAATTTGTTCTGGAGAAATATAGATGCTAAAACGGAATAAAGATGGAGAAAGAACAAAGAGAATGAGGACACCTTAGCCCACTACAGACCAGTTTGTGATAGCGAAACCGTAGCGCGGCACCAAGTTCAACGCATGTCAATATGACACTGGAAAATAGTTACTCTAGTCAACAGGAAAATTCCTATGTGGCTGGGGGAGGGAGAGAGTTGATTGCTACAAAGGCAGGATCTGCCGACTATCTGGGCTTGATGCCTGAGGCATACACATGGTAGCCTAAGGCCTTAACCACAACAGATACGCAGACTGAAAATGCTGGGGGCTGGTTAATTGCGAATACGTATAACGAAGATTCCGGGATTATTCGTATTCGCATGCTCCTTAAATTGCGTCCTCAATTGATTAGCTTTGCCTGAATTGATTCAGATCATCGAGGTGATCCAATATTTTCCGGCATATAACCCATCTCATGCAGCCAAGAAAGGCATGCATATTGCCTTAATTTTCAATCTCATAGACCATTGCGCCTCGGATTGCAGGTGCTATCATTGGGACATACCACATAGATCCACTATATTATATTTGTGATTTAAAGACCAAAGTGGATCGATCTAGCATGATTACTTCTCATCGTCAAATGATAAGTGATTGTAAATTTCGCATATATAAATAAGTGGAGATTTTCCTGACCTCTCTCACTCGGGGTTTGCTTTCTGGCGATTTTTCAAGAAAAGTTTTCGTTGAATGCCAACACTCAACATATCCAGGGTAACCAATTAGTGTTTGGTAGTCGCTATATTGAAGTATTTCTGCTATGCACTGATGCAATTAGAACGGAACTTGCGGTGAGCATCTCATTCCAGGCTCGATAGGTCTTGTGATAGAAGGCTGGCGCAAATCGGAATAAAACAATGATATCATATCGGTTTTCGATCAAACAAGCCTTCGAACCAATTGTTTAAGTCATGGCAACCATGAACCTTTTAAATTCACAAGAGAGGGTACTCTACCTAATATAGATTATTCTAATTATCCTAGGAGAGTCACAGTGCCGTAGCAAGAAGGGTTAAACATCTGCTATGTTTCCTTCACCCTTGTCCGCTTTGACTCTTACAAATAGAGGACGCTTATTCGGAACCAGGTGGCCATTTCTCTTCGGCCAGTCATGGCTTCTGGAGAGCTCTAACTCCATATCAAAGCTGAACAAAATCCGAGCAAGAATGAGACTGGCTTCAATAATGACGAGACTAGTTTTGATATCTGGTCAGCAACCTCACGTGTGTTGTCTGTGCTGTTTTAGACTCACTTCCTTGCAACACATGTTCGTGGCCCGACCCCAAACGGATGGAAGGACTGACGCGTATCGTCCTTATATTTTGGGTCATCCATCCATCTATCTGGACAAAATCGCTCAGGGTCCCTCCAAAACCTCCCACTGTGCGTGGCAGACCAGTTATGGATTCCAACTGTGGTACCTCCTCCTACAAACTCGCCGCAAATGGACACGCCACAAGCAGGAACTCGACGGGGTAGGGTACCCACAAACGGTGGAGCCATCCGAAGGCTCTCGTTCATACACGCGTGTAGAAACTTCAGATTCTGGACTGCTTCTGCTGAAATATCCTCCGAAGTTGGAAATGCGGTGTGTATCTCATCCCTAAGCCGAGCAAAATACGCGGGGCTTTCCAGTGTGTAGTAAAGAACAGAACCGATATAATCAGGGAGTGTCTCAATTCCGCTGAGAATCACAATCAGGGTATTTCTTTTTATCGTGTCATGATCAATTGTTCCGTCCTTTTGATCATTCGCCATATGGTAGACTGTAGAATAGTGAGTATTGCATCAGTGATTAGGGCCAAGATTGCTTCTCTACCTAGGTCCACACAATTTTCAGCAGCGTCCATTCGCTCCAGGCGCTCTGTAATTGCTGTGCCTAAAGGAGGAATTCTGTTGAATATGGTGAAGATGTCACGGCGAAATATCTGCGAGTTGAAAAGGGACGATAGAGATAGGGGAAGATAAAGAAGTTGTGTAAGGTACTGCAAGACCTTCGCTGTCTTGTGCATGGTGTTCACCAGGGGGTGAGATGAGGACCCTTTATCGATAGCGTGGAAGTTTTGGCCTATGGTGAGCTTCACATGGATATCGAGTATCAGGTTTCCAATCCATGCATCGATATCGATACTTTCATTGTTTTGATTTTCGAGATATACCTTGAGGTTGCGAGTAAAGGATTCAATGTGAGATAATATGATGTCTCCTTTTTGAAGCAGTTGCCCATGTGAAAAGACCCGGACGGCGTTGTTCTTTTGAACTTTATACTCCGCACTCTTAGCGCCCACCTGGTGTAAATTGGTCAGAGAGATATTGTAGTGACGAACTCGTGGTAGCATATACTGACAAGGGTCTCTGAGTCTCCAAAGGCTGTTGCGAAAAAATCACCATCTTTCTCCATCGGGTATGATCCGTTGTTATGGACAACACTACCTTTAATGCCATGGTCCGTCAATACCGGCCCATAAACTTAGCAAGTCTGGAAAGATTGTGTTTTACCATAAATGCCATTCCAAGCTTCAGGATCAATGTATGACAGCTCATCTGGTGCAATCCTCACAACGAGCCCATATTCATCGTGGAGTCTTTTGATCTCATGTTTATGACATCCCTGGAAGACCCTCAAGATGTACCAAATCCTGGATACTTTGGTGTACCATGGACCGGGGAAGTTCCTCAATGGATGAAACCATATATTATACACAGCTTTGGAAGAAAGACATATCTTACCAGGAACATCAGTCAACTGACATATATAGACTAATTCTAACAGGGCCAGCAACAACTCACCAAAACAGCAAACATTACCAGTGCAAGGGAAGTGGAACCCCACATGTGTTGTAGAAGTGCCATTCTTTCAAAAATAATAAGTGTCTATAGATTTACATCCCGAACATCTCGTCAAGCTGGACTTCCGTCTATATATATATTCGCCCTTACCGCTGAACAATCGGCGAAGTTTCATACACCAAACTAATCCCGGTGGGTCGATCTGCATAATGACTAGTATAACCATTTTCGGAATCACTGCCCCAAGGTCACATATAGAGAAGTAGTATCGGCATTGAATAGTGGCGTTTCCTGTGGATGCAATCTACGTTGTATAAATCTCCAGTATGGACCTACCTACGTACCTAGGTGGATATGTGATGTAGGCAGCCCCATGATTAATATGTACAATGTAAGGTCAAGTTTTGTTGGGAAGTGATAAGCGCAATGACTATGCTATAACTACTCTCGGATTGAGAAAATTAAGCCAAAAAAAACTTTGCTTTTTTTTCTAAAAAGAAAATAATTAATTTTGAAATTGAGAAAAATTGACTATTAATATAAACATTCTACATTTCTTATGAGAAAAAGAATATTATATTTAGATGTGTCTCACCAAACTAAAATCTAACACACCCTCTAGTTACTTGAACATGGAATTTTAATCCTTTGGCCATATTGCGCAGGGGCAATCTGCTCTTCTTTAAAAATCTAAGAACGTGCATGATCGGGATCCCTACCTGCATGAACTGAATCTGCCTGCAGCGGGCCGGATACGTTTGTAGTGCTAATTTTGGCAATTTCTGCATTTAATCGGTATGTTCGGACGATGCGGTGTACCTGAAAGCGGAGCATCGGCTGATCAGAGGTGAGTGGAAACTGTATGTGAGTGGAGACATAGATCATCCTTTACCTGAGCTCCCGATTCCAGGAAGCGCACCTATGTTGGTACCCACAAATAATATTATATACGCTAGAATACCAAGTCCTTTAATCCGGAAGGTAGATATAGTGGGATTATCCCGTTGTGGACACGAATGTACAGTACAATGATTTGCCCTGCATCATGACCTGTTACACCAGATCTGAAATATCAGGGCAATATCAACACGGATAGGTTTGGACAACTCGAGAATGTACAGCAGGCTAACAGAAATGTTTTTCTCGTTCAAACGACTTAGGTTAAGTTTGTAAAATTGAGAAAAAAGACATCAACCCCGGTGGTGAGATCAGTGCATGGCTTCGAAAGTAGTCACTTCCCCTCACACCTGGCTGGCTGAACACACAATTGCAGCGACTCATTCACTATCTACTGGGGAATAATTCTTATAAGAGGGGCTAAGAGGTCTGGACGCCACATCCCTTTGATCTAACCTGTTTGATCAACATTCTTATGTGCTTAAATGGTTTCCGTGTCTGGATTGATTACACATTATATCCACTACACTTTGATTCTACAGTACCTGTGCTGCATGATAGTGAAATCAATATGTACACTAGTATATGCGCTGTCATAAAAGATCAGATTCGAAATCGGAGAACATCACACCCTTGCAGATCAACTACATCATAGATACAGACCTCGGGAAAAGCTGGAAAATGATTCGAGGTGATGAAGTCTTAGCAAATAATAGGGGATCGCGACTCAAGCTAACGAAATATGGGCCTTGACTTCGTTTTCGGGTTTTTCTGTTTGTGTTCCTCGCAACTATTTAACCGATGATATTTCCCCATACATACTAAGAGACCCCAACTGATACGACTAAAACCATCTCCCCCTTCATTTTCATCATCCTTTTGAGGATAAGGCAATCATGTTGCCCAGAAGCCAGGACTCTCCAAAACACTTTGTACCTGATTCCATTCCAGTTCCCCCAGAAGCATATGAGAGAGAAGAGTACTTTTGCAAGTTCACTCCTCGCATCCATCGTGATGCTCATCTTGCCGATTCAGGGTGTTGGCAATGTCAGGTGGATCTTCTGGGTTCTCAAGGGACTGCCCATGTTGCAGCGGTTCGGAGTGGAAGCAACAAAAACTACGCTGTTGGTTGTATCAATCCCACCGTTGGTAACTTTACCGCTCTGTGCGCAGTGGAAGCAATTTCTGAGCGCCTTGCTCTAATTTCATACATTGTTGAGTATGCATACGTGCACGATGATCGTAAGAGACTCACTCATCCGCTAAAACCACCAAAGTCCTAAGTAAACTAAAAGACCATAGTCATTGAATACGCCCCGGAGAAACGCGAGTCGGAGGTGAGTATTAACTTTTGATGCACTAGTCTTCCCAGTGCGTCTTCTAACAAGCCACATTTTGCAGCTCAACAAAGCGAACAAGCAACTCACAGAAGGTCTCGAGGAGTATGGAAATGGTCAACTTTCTACGAGAAGCAATGTGAAGAGACAAATGCAAGCTAAGATGGCTACGGAGCTGCTGGAATTTGACCAAGAACAGGGTCAGGTTATTCTCCGTCTCTGGAAGGAGATGTCAAAAGTGTTTGTGAATATTAGAGATCTTGACTTCCATGCATTGGAAGATTATTTCATATTCCGCGTAGTTGACGCAGGATGCGAGTAAGATATCATGGTTTGAGCGAGCCCCAGTGAGAATCTCAGCTAATTGCTCTGAAAAGATGGACCATGGCCTTGATGTGCTTTTCCATGGATTTTTATCTCACGGATGAAGAGACCGCACAGACTTCGAGCATTACCAGTGCCGCATATGATGCTTGGGTTCTGGTGAATGACTACTTTTCCTGGGAAAAAGAGTACAAGAACTACGAAGCCAACGGAAGCACTGGGCAGATTGTTAGTGCAGTCTTTCTTTTCATGAAGTGGCATGACATCGATCCGATCACAGCTAAGAAGATGCTCCGGGGTGAGATTATTGTGCGCGAGGAAAGGTACTGCCAGCTCAAGGCCGATTACCTCGCTCGTGGAAACGTGACAGACAGGATTATCAAATGGTTTAAGTTGCTGGACTTTGTGACAGCTGGAAACTTTGCGTGGAGCATGACCACTGCACGCTACCACGATGACGTTGAAGATGCGTATCCGGGTTTGCGGGCTGTGAATCAGAAAAAGAAAGCCTCTCGTCCTTTCAGCAGCTTAAGCACACCAATCACACCGCTTACGATGAATGCGAAAAAGGAGAATTCTGTGGGATCCGAAACCCCTGATTCTCCGAGCATTGTAGGATCCAGCACGAATGGTGAGGCTAGCACTGCACCCACAAGCCCTGCCTCATGGAATCTCGAGCAGCAAAGTCATGATATCCCCCTTCCTATCTTGGCATTTGAAGAAGTAAGTCCCACAGCCTCCAGATTCCGAAGAGTGTACTAAGCAGAGACTAGATTGTGTTGGAGCCCTATGTTTATCTAAAGTCTCTACCGTCGAAGGGAGTGAGGAACGCAGCAATTGATGGACTTGACGTCTGGTATCAAGTCCCTGAACGATCTGTTCTAATCATTCAAGAGATTGCCGATTTGCTACACAGTTCCTCCCTAATGTATGATTCTATCTGATTCTTCGCTGTTTCAATATACCAGGCCATTGACAAAGATAATCTAGGGTTGATGACATACAGGATAACTCACCGTTAAGACGCGGCTTCCCAGCTACACATATGGTTTTTGGCGTTAGCCAAACAATCAATTCGGCTAACCTTCTACTACTGAAAGCCTTCAAGGCTGCGATAGCACTTTCATCCAATGCTGCCGCTATCTTCACAACCAGACTGTTAGAAGGCCATGTTGGTCAGGGAATGGATCTACACTGGACAAATCAGACGAAGGTTCCAACGGAGCAGGAGTACTTTACTATGATTGACGGTAGTATGTTTGATCAGTCACCTCCCCAGCACTCACTAAAATGCTGATCCTTATTCTATTTCAGAAACCGGCGGTTTGTTTGTTCTTGTTGCCGAATTGATGCGCTCCGAGGCAACGGTGAACAAAGATCTCGATGTCTCACCCCTCATGAAGGCCGTAGGCCGGTTCTTCCAAGTCCGTGATGACTACTTAAACCTTCAGGATGCAGATGTATGATGAACCCCTTTTCTTTCTATAGCGTTGTCCTTTCATCCTTTCACTCTTGTTTTCGTTTTCTTTTTTTTTTTTTTTTTATCAACCACTTAACCATGTGTCGACAGTATACAGAGAAAAAAGGCTTCGCAGAGGATCTAAGCGAAGGCAAGATCTCTCTACCTCTTATCCACACCTTGGCGGAGAAGTCCCAATATCGCGGCCGATTACTCAATATCCTACAGCAGCGCAAAGTTGGGAATTCCCTTTCTCCTGAGCTACGGAAGCTCGCATTGGACGATATTACAGCCGCTGGCGGGCTAGAGTATACAAAGAAAGTCATAGTGGGTTTACAAAAGAGGATGGAAAGAAGCTTGGCACAGTCTGAGGAAAGGGCGGGGGAAAGTAACTGGATTCTACGATTGATGAAGAAGCGGTTGGAGCTTTGAAGTTGGGAGGATTTCATCTTCGTCAACGCCTTTGTCGATCTTTAACCAGTTTTTATTTTTCTCATCACTTTTTACCTTGCGTGATACATTTAGGGTCTGTGGTTGAAAATAAATGGACAATTTTCAGCTATCAAAAATGAGAAAAAGATGAAGAAGAATCGGCAAACGTCCAATTGAAAAGAATCGCGGGTCGGTTTACTAAAAGTTCAGCATTCATTGTACCCCCAGTTGTCTGCTTCAAAAATTTATGAAATCACTATTCTTCTTTATTTAAGGGCATTATCCTAGATTCACAAGGCTGAGTTCACTGTTCTTGATTCCACCCCGGACACTTACACGGATTTTGAACCATTCAAGGTTAACTAGATTCAATTACACCCAAATTGTATGATTTCAAGGCACCTAAACAAATCTAGTTACTGTTGACCATCATCCAATGCATGCATGCATGTTTGCTACAGACTGAGTCTTTGTTCAGATGGTTTTAACAAGGTATATAAACCCCTGCATTTCTAGCTTTAATAGATAATGATTCTTCTTCTACTTTCTTCCCACTGTAGTACTTACTACAACACTTTGGAATAAATATAAATTGTAGTATAGTAGTCGAAAGCAATGACAAACTAGACAAAGAATCGAGTACGTACTATTATCAGGCTCTGGAGATGGCCGCTGGTTAGACAAAGAAACGAATTTTCAAGGGTTATTACAATAACCATAAACTCTTCAGTTGGAACCATCTGAGGATGTTCTGGAAATGTCGATATTATCGGTGTTGTACTAATGGGGGTAACCAATATATCGTACTGGTGTATTCTCATTATAGTAGCTAATGATGTGGCTTGACCTGTCCTCTCTTCAACCTTGACCCTCATTGTTCTCATATTTTATTTTTGGACCCTGCCATTGCTTACCATTTCGACTCTCTTTATTGTCGAGGATAGAAACCATGGATCCCCATCCACCTGGCTCACAAAATTTCAAAGATAATGGAGTGTCCATTTAGCAGTCTTTGAATGCATATATGTTACTATTTAGGTATGACCACACTCTAGTCCAATCAAACAAATAGTATATCTCTTGAAACACTGCATGGTTTAAATTTAGCCGTTTGGTTTCGACGATTCTTTCGAGTCTCTCTCTTTATCCATTGTCTATTGATGGCGCTCAGTGGAAAGGCCAAGTTTAGTACGAGGCGTAGCGTCTATAAGTTCCTAATATCCATCAACTCTGTCTTGATCAACGAAATTTGACACAGAGAAACCTATAATGACCCTTCAAGGCCTTGGATTGACATCACTTTTTTACAGCAACCTTCTTACCAATTCCAATTTGAAGATTCTACCACCTCTCCAATGATATCCCCCACACTCAAATACGGTAGGCGACAAGCCGTTGGCCGACTACTACAGCAATGGATCGAATGTCCAGAAACCGACCTGTCTGTGCAATTATGTCCAATTCTACCTTCTAAGCTGAAATTCAAAGACTTCGAGAAGTCCAAGCAACTTGAAATAGACACGGACACGCCTGCTTATCTTCCACTCCAGATTGAACACGAATTTGGAGACCTCGAAATAATGGGACCAACCGGTGGCGCATGGGAAAAGGTCCACATAGCTGAATCTGACGCTCCACTAAACCCTGAACGCCAGGAGATCAGTACCTGGGAAGGGCTAATTGCGCCCGGGGTATTAATTGTTGAAGAAATAAAGAGAACAAAGGGTGTATATATGTCGGAAGTCTGCCAAGCCATTTACCAGAACCACTTCCCGATTGATACCTTGAAGTATGTCTATATGCTCGATGTTTGCAATAACGATACCCGTTCGTTTGTCAGGGACGAGCTTTATACCGAATATAATGGCCTCGCTTGGCCGGATCAGCAGATACGTGATTGGGTATCTGGAACCCCGGAATTTGAAGCGTTGCTAGGGACCAAACTTGGACAGACTGTGGCACATTTGGTCTTGGGGGCCTTTAAACGTGGAACTCGCCGAATTTCACGGGTCAGAATCTATGATTCGTTTGAAGCCTTGCAATTACAGTTTGCTATTGAAGAGATTGAGCATATTGTTCCGACTTACAACCCGGCTCAAAATCCTTTGGCTCGTAGTACAAGGTCGATATCACGCCGCCTCCGAAACATCGAGTCGAGGAAGCGTAAGGTGGTCTGGGATGAAGAGACTAAAGGAAAGAAAATTCGGATTCAATGATCCCAATCAGTTGGACGTTTATGATTGGGTCAAACTGTGTATCACTGTCCTTGCTATTTGGTATTTTACTCATGTCTGTCTTTGTTCACCATGTCACAATATACATCTAGTGCTTTTATACTTTTCTAACTATACACTCATCTGTTTACATGCTAGGCTTCTTCTGTTATCTCCAAATTGGATACCCCTATAGACCCCTTTAGAATGGCCAAGACTTAACAGACACATTAATTTCGAAAATGGCCAAGCTATAAAAATTCCAGTGAATGCTGATCTTAAATTCATGTACGAAAGATAATTTAGTTGGACCTGGGGGTTATGTGTTCACGGAGTACGGGCGACTATAGGGATCACCGTCACATAACTCTCTCATTGGTTTATGTTGCCTGGCAGTAACTTAGACCTCCCACTTTACAAAAACTAACCTCGAAATTACCTAGGTAGTTACATATGTAGTAGTAATATTGAACCTAGATGATGCCTTATAATGCCTTAGAAAAGATATATAAAGAGACAGCTAGAAAGACAGCTAGAAAGACAGCTAGAAAGACAGCTAGAAAGACAGCTAGAAAGACAGCTAGAAAGACAAGTAGAAAGACCCTACGGAGAACATCCAAAAAAGAAGATCTAGTAAGATGTTAGTATAGTTATATAAAAGAGAAGTTGAAATTAATGTACCTTACCTCAAGAAGGCGGTGATAAAATAGGCTGTAAGGCACTAGTACCTAGCCAATGAGAGAGGTTATGTGACGGTGATCCCTATAGTCGCCCGTAACAGAGGCAACAAGACAGCCTAGGACTGTCCCCTTCCACTTTCAGATTCCCAGCTTCCCATCGATTTATCGATCCCAGATAACTCCCTCTCTCCCTCTCTCTTTTTTATTCCATTTCTGACTTCCCTTTGCTTTTGTGCCCCCTGGAACCTCGAACAATTGGCCGATTTGTCCAAGGTGAGGCTTGCTTCCGCCGAATCGGCGGATGTGCCACCACTATACTCAAAGCTCCCTGCACCGAGACCCAACAACAGAACATCATTTTTCTTTCTGAAATTTGGATCCTCAGGTCGCAATCTTTGCCTGTGCCCGATATTTTCCGATTTGAAACCATCAAGTGTTATGTTTGGGGGTTGCAGTGATCAAATCCTGTAAGTAGCCAATGAACCCTGGGTTTGACAAACATGTCATCTCATGCATCTTACATATCTAGTTTCGATTGCAATATGGACTGTCATCATTACTCCATTCCGCGGTCAAGAGGGGGTCACCATGGCTTATAAGCATGCCTATTACACTGTCTTTCACCCGCGCCCTTTTTCGATATGCATCCATGGAGCAGACTGATTCAGTGGGTTTAGATCTGAACACTCATCAAGAATACTCAAATATATCCAAAGTCGATAATCGGACAAAGAAATAATTCTAACAACACCTCGCAGACTTGTTCTTACCCCCGCTTCTGCTCAGAAAGGCTACGAGGCCTACATGAGCCAACAAAAAGCCTACTCACTATGGCTGAGGATACAACGGCATTCATGTTGGGTAACCCTGCTGAAAAGTTGACCATCTACTTTCCGCCTACTGCCACCCCGCGCTACCAAACTACTTCACCCATCTCGAAGCTCTCTCCGCAGACATAAAACAGCGTGGGAATGCCACCAGTGCGCTATTTCTTGCCTGTGAACTTGACCCCCGAGCCCGATGGCTTCGTCAGTTGCAACAGGCCGTTATAGCCGTACGGTATGCCATCGAGACACGAGGGAAACGACCTTCGGACATTGTTCTTCCAGGGGACTCGGCGGGCGCTCATCTTGCACTTGCACTACTATCACCTCTCGCTCACCAGCATCCTCGAGAGATCGTGCCAAGATTTTCGGTCGATGAATCCCTCAGAGTGGCGATGTTGTTTTCCCCTTGGGTTGACTTCGGAATCAATCACGCGAGCTCCAGGGGAAATGTGGACAGAGACATGATTTCGACCCAAACTTTGAATGGCTAGGTCAAGCTGTGGAGGATGAATACAACTGCCCCGCCAAAGCCCCAGCAGGCTGGTGGGGAGACCTTCCCGTTTCAAGAATCTTTGTTGGCGCGGGAGGAGAGAAAGGCCTGTCGGATCCGATTAGGGAGATGGCCGAGAAGATGAAGGTGAGGCGGTCTTCACAAGATTTATTTCTTCCCTAACAGTTTGTCATCAGCAGCATTAGCATTGTGCCACGAGAATTCCACGTTGAACCAATCACGGACTTCGCTTTGAAGTTTACCCCTGGATTGAAGTTCAAAGCCATGGCTCTATGGTTGAACCAGACCTTCTCGGGGTGAATTGGGAAAAGGAACGATGATGAAGACAGTAAGATTCCTTGCGTTCATTATTTTCACGGTTGTAGATAGGCGGTCAGGCGGCGTTAGCTCGCTCTATCACGTTTGGGGGCTTTGTTTGAGGGGTTGCCACCTGGGCGCCCCGGCTTCCCCTCAAACCTTGATTGCACAACTTATGTGAGATCATTTTCAATTCTGGATTCTTACCACTCGTGTTTTATCTGAATAGTGAGACAATTCCCCCATCCGAGATGCAATCGATCCACGACCCACAGACGCGGTCCGGGGATCCGCCTCGGAAGAAGATCCGAAAGGGGACCCGCAGTTGCTGGCAATGTACAAGAGCCCCTGCATCTAAGCGGATGATTCATCCCTAACAGAATTTTCTACACACATAGGCAAACATCGCAAAGTCCGCTGCAATTTTGCCTCTGATAGCGACCGGAGCTGCAAAGAATGTCTCGCCCGGGGACTTCCATGTCGCAGCCAAGAATTGTCGGAGCCTGAGAATCCCCGCGAGTCGGACCGCGCATATTTGAACGAGCGGATGGCTCGGGTGGAGACGCTGTTGGAAAAGCTTCTGATACGAGTCGACAGTGGGGGCAGTCAACAGCGGGATTCGAACACACTCGTAGATTCAGTGGAAACCAGCCCCGAATCGAGTCCCCCGATCGTCACACCAGCTGCAGACAATGCTCCAATTCTGTCTCTTTTCGACAACAAGGCGGTTCGTGTGATATTTTGTATCAGGGATGTGAAACTCCCGTTAGCTTGTGCTGACTAGTGATTAGCTGGGTTTCCAACGATCAGACACCATTGCATCCGATTTCACATCATATGGCACGACCAACCGCGACTGGGGGAGATTGCGCCGCGAACTGTTAGCCTTGATACCTTCCGAGAAGACATTGAAAATTATATCAGAGGCTAGCAGTAGCTGGTGGGTCATGCGTGTGTACGTATTCGACGACCACGATAAAACATTGCTTTCGTCCTCGGTGCAAGAACTTTCACATAGCCACCCAGCCGCGGTTGGTAAGGCGGTCTTGTGGGTCGCAATGTGTCTCCAACAACTCCCTTCGGGGTTTTATTTGCCCTCTCTCGAGCTTCCCTGTCTACCATGGGTCCTAGTCGAAGAATGCGTCTCCCGTGTTTCCACGCTCGTCTGCTCAGATGACTCTATTGTCAGTTGTATTGAAGGGCTTGAGTGCTTGGTTCTGCAAGTGTTGATCTTTAGTCACGCCGGGAAGCTACGAAGTGCCTGGCTCTGTAATTGTCGGGCTGCCAGCATCGCTCAGCTAATCGGGTTCCACCGTGCTGAACCAGCTCCCAATGAAAGTGCCGAGTATCAACAACGAGCTATAATCATTTGGAGACACATCCTCGCAGTTGACAGGCATTTTGCACTGATCCTTGGAATGCATGGATCTATATCCAATACGGCAATAGATCAATATCAATCCAACCCACGCGACTTTCAAGATTCGCCTCCCCACCATGAATCCGTTATGAACCCGCTTGTTCGGATAGCCGGATCAATCATCGAGCGTAATCAGACCTTTACAGAAGTCACTCCAGCCATGCTGCAGATGACACAGAGCATCGATCTGAAACTTCAAGCGTTCACTCCTCCTTCTTTGGCGTCACCCGAAAGTCTTCCGCCTGGCAAGAGTACCGAACAGTCCTTGTGTTTCCGCGCCCTTCACTTTCGGTCATGGTACTACCAACTAATGGCCTGGTTACACTTGCCTCTTCTCCTAGCGTCAGGGACTGACGCGTCCTATTATTATAATCGGCAAACCTGTCTCCACGCCTGCCGCAACTACATCACCTGCTATATCAATCTCCGACGCACCACCGGCTTTGTCTCGAAGATTCTTGATTTCCAGGCCTTCACTGCAGCAATGACAATCATTATCAATGCTCTCAGGCTATCTAGCACACATGACTTCACCAAAGAGGATTACCTAACTCTCGACCGGGTTGTGGCTATTCTAGAGCAACTATCGAGGAGCGTTCCTCCGGACAAGATTGCAACTCGAGCGTTACACGTTTTGAAGGTTATCAAGGCCGTAGGAATAGGGGCCGAACCCCCGCCACTCGACGAATCTGAAGGAAACCAATACGAGAATGGAAGGCCTACTCGCATCAAGCTGGATATTCCCTATTTCGGCACGATGTACCTCGAACGTCGTGTCATCCTCAATCATTCGACTAGAAATATCACTGCGCTTAGTACGCTGCCGCCAACTATGCCCATCACTACTCTTGGGCAATACTACCCATCATATTCATGGATGGACACGATCCCGGACCTCAGTTATGCAAACGAGCAGGGTGTGCAAACTGCCCCATGGCCGGATACCGGCGTGAGCTTCGTTCCGCCTGCCGAGTGTTGGGCTCTGAACTCTCAGTTCACGTTTCGGCCTACGTTTTTGGCTGATTATGATCTTAATTGGGATTACTGGGATTTGATGTTATGACGGACAGGTCCCTTTTGACACTTCCCATTTTGTATTGGTTTTAAACGAAGTATTCTTGGAATCATTCGACGTACGTTGAACGGTCCTGTTTTTGATAGATATTTTGGTCAGCAACAAGACCACTTTGATTCGTCTTTTGTCAATGCTATTACTTTCTTTCATCCTCTACGTTCCTTTTATCAGAGATTCTTGTACATTATTAATATAAATACTGTCCAGTTGGGATATGAATCATGTCATTATGTGCGTAATATACAGGAGTGATAAGGAAATGAACGTCAAACTATACAGGTATATATCGCAGAGGGGACCACCAAGAACCATCTCAAGAAGCATCGGGCGTGATATGATCAATAATCGAATCAGATTCCAGCTTATGAAGGACTGAATCTGTTATATATGCCCTAGACATAAAATAAATCAGTATGAAACCCCGTTAAGTCTTAGTCTCGGTGGAAGAGACACATACGAAAAGCCTCTCGCGATCATATCCGGAAATCGGTTTATGACGAAACCCCCTTCTTCCTGGATTTGGTGCATGTAGGAATTGATCTCTTCGGTTGCAGCTGAGTCTCGGAAGGTTATCTTTATATTCGTTAGTAGGGTTCAATGGGGGAAATGGGAAGGGGATGGGTTAGGGCATTTACAATGTATTTTGGGGCCATAGTAATTTGTATAGTTTTTCTGTTTAAAAAAGAGATATATATATAGTTGAGTTGTGGGTGATCAGCCTGTGAACTAAATAGGCCTGTTTTGAGCCAAGAGTATTGACGTCATTGCATGGGAGCCCCAGGTACTTCGTAGATTATAGTATTTTGTACAGGTGGCAACGATCATTACATTTATATTCTTGAATTGAGCCAATCTATTCTAAGACTGCCTATTCCCCACCTTGGATGTGGGTATTCAACCATTATTTCAATGGGCAATACTTGGACATTGTCTTGTTGATCGTTATCCGAGTTCCAAGGATCATTGCCATGACGCGTACCCTCGAATACACCAATCGGCGATAAGCAGTAAGACGTTCCACTCTAGCTTGCGGTTTAAAGTCATATAGATCTATTCAAAATAGAGGGATGATACGTCGGGTGATGCAGAGGAAACCAGTAATACTTCCTGTTGTGTATGTGAAACAAAGAAAAAGGGACCACGAGGACCAGGAGCAGGGGGTATGGCAGCCGGAGAGATCTTATTCTAAACCTTCTAAACCTTTCAATCCTTGGGATGACAAGAGCTCCGTGAACTGACCCCAAGCCCGCTTGAAAGAGGGATCCTTGACGGAACACTCATTCAACCATCGCAGAGCCTTTTGGACTCTTTCCAATGACTCGTTTCTTTCGCTAGCCCTCGCTTGATTCTGGGTGAGCAACTGCGTTATGAGCACTACGGTGCTTTGGGTGAGGTAATGGAGAGCACACCACCAAGGTGAGCAACCCAAGAGCCAGGAGAAGTTTGGTTCATTGGGTAAGAGATCGAGCATTTGCCCTGCTGAATTAAGGCAAATAATTGCCATTGGGGTGTCAAGGCCAGTGGAAGAGTCTTCACCGGACATATGAGCACGAAGGGCAGGTTTCGAAATGACCAGCTTGGTCGAATAATATTGGAATGCCAAACTCGTGCGCTGACGGACAAAGGCCCGGTCATCTTTGGCCTCTGCAAAACGATAAGTTGCAGGGAGCCGTGCAAACCAATTGTCAGCGGCGCTGTTGAGCGATGTCATGGCCAGTTCGGTGTCACTCCGAGATCTTCGTCCCGCTTCAGGGGAATACAAAATCTCAATTGCTTCTCTCATCACAGCTGCCAGGTCAATGGAATAAAGTAAGTACAATGAGGCGTTAGCCTGGAGCTGTTGATTGAGTGAGGCAGTGGACTGTGGAGAAGGCGAATTGGCCAAAGGGTCGTTCGGTTCAGCCGAAGGATCGAAGGAGAGCAGAGAAGCCATGAGGCGGCCTCTGGATTGAATGTCCAAGATAAGCCGCATCACATGCCCATCCCTGAAATCTTCTTCCTTGTAAGGCACCGGAAAAGGGGTCGTGCAGTGTTCCTGCTGGATTCTGGGCATGCGTCCAGTAATGACACAGAGCAGGGTGTCCAACACGTACAGCGCCCACCATATCCGATATCTTGTTTCTTTGGACACGTGCGTAATGCTGGGGCTTTCGCAACGAAGGTGGATTCCCATCGCGACCGCCGACTGGATTGCAACACCACATTCTCTCCATGCCCTAAACCAAAATCAGTGGCTAGAGTAAAGACTCGCAGTGTCCGACCTACCTATTGGCATGCCCGATGGAAAGCAAGTAAAGTGATATTAGCCCCTCTACCTGTGTCTGTTGCAGGTTGGGATTCTCCAATAACACACTGTCACTAGTGTGTAATCGCCAGGCACGGGAAAAGTACACCGTGTGGACGGTGTGATCTAGCTGAGATTTATCCCCGGAAAGCTCGGAATGTCTTGCAGCGATCGCAAACACCATATTCAATAGCGCCATCCATTTTCCCCCGGGGAGTGTCGTCGAGTTCGAATAGAATGATCGACACTGGCTTAGAAATATTTCTTTGCCGACGATGGGGAAGGAGGCGTGCGCAACTTGGAAGTATCTGTCCACAAGTTCATCGGCGGCCGCTTGTGAGGGAAATGCGAATACATCCAAATCGTTTATTGGCGGGATTGCGGTATCATCCATAAATAATGCACAGGAAGAAATCGATGGAAGAGATGATTCGTCGAATTGGCCGTCTAGGTTGGGACTTGTCCGACAAACCAAGCACTTAAGCCTGTACAACCATGCCGTTGCGGAATGTTTTCCTACAAATCCAATGGCTTGCAGTGAAATGTCTCCATTAAAATCCTCCACGGTGTGATCCACGTACGAAGGCGTTCGGGTTGACGAGTCCGTCTCATCTGGTGTTTTGGCGACGGTCGGCGATGACTGGGAAAGGCTAGATATCTGTGGTTTGTTAGATTGATCTAGAGGTCTAATCTCGGTTGGCCGGGCCATGGGGTCTTCACTCACTTGCCCGAGAGCTTGATCGACGACTTTGGCCAGCTCGGTGTCGAATTTGGGATAGATCTCGCGCACGAGAGCTTCGTAGTGTTGGAGTTGGGTCGTTATAACTGTAAGTTGTCTAAGTTCTGGGGTAAATATTTTGTGTGACCACATCTAGGAGAACATCAGACCTAGCGTTTCTCTCTCGTTTTCCGTCGACGTAGACGCAAAGAACATTGGCCGCCTGACACCGGAGGCAAGAAGGGCGATGACCGGAACACTTGTTCTTCTGCTTGCGACAATTGTGACATGCTCGACTGACTCGACCGTTATTACTTGCAAGTGGAAGTTCGAGTCGGGGAATGGCCACTTTTGCGTTCGTTGGCTGTTCTCTGGAAACTCGAGGTGTGCCCCAGGGCTGGTATGCACCGAATACTGTCGATGTCGATTCGAGCGGGGTCAAGGGCAAGACCTCTCTACTCTCAAGTTCGGCTGCATCGTAGGTGAAAGGATCCTGATCATTTTGAACAGAGAGAAGGGGCTCAGACCGCGAAGCGTGACCAAGAGATGACCTTCGGCTCATTGCGACTTGGCCCCGCTATTCATTATCAGTGCTGAGCTGTAAGCGAAAATGGGAAATGGGAAATGTGAGATACACAAACCAATACGCTTGTGAGAAAGTGATCGGGAATAATAACCCTGTGGATGGTGTATAGCTCGTCAGGAGACTGTTTTGGCAAGGGGAATGACACCTGTGATTGGCAGGCTAACTTTGCCGGCTGAATATCATTCGATACTTATTGGTTAGCCTACCGAGATTGTCTCTGCATTCAGCAAAGACCATTGTGTCGAAGTTGTTGGAATAATCTGATGCTGGTCACATCTTTTTGAGGTGTGAGCCATATTCCAAAGCTGAAATGCAAAGTATTCAATTTATTATACACAACAAATGAACTCAATTGAATGAATTTAATACTATCTTCAACACCAAATCTTCGTCGACAATGTTGCTCGGGAGGTCGAGCCCCCCAGATGAATGTATGCTTCACGCTGAATGGTCGCTTAAAACACCCAACCAACCAGAGCTCTTATAGTGGGGCAGACCTGTCCAATTGAAATATGGCATTGATCTCTACTCCGTATATGGTTCGAGTATATCCATTGCATCCATGGATTGCATCAATTCATATAATATAGCTTATATTAAGGGATATCTGGCAACGCCCTTTTGGTTTCACCTCTTTTATATTGTGAGATATCTTGTTGTAGCTGTGTCGTAAGATAAAGGTTACTTTTATTGGTTACACTGTAAGGAAATGATAGACGGCACGGTTCCTAGGCACTGTGACATGGGTTCCTAGGAATATCGAATAGCTCGCGAAGTGGCCACTGGCCATTACTTGGCTGACTGGTTAATTCTTTGAATTATATAGAGCCCAGTTAATCAACCCTTGTCTCCAGAGCTGTATATGCATTATGCCATCAAAAGCGGCTCAGCATAAATACCTTACAGCGGCAAGACCTACTTATGTTGCTCCTTCAAGCTCGGCTGTGGGCGGGTAAAGTACAAAGACACTGTTTGAAGAGAGGCATAATGTTGATGAACAATAAAATTCGGTTATTTGGGAGTTGACCGAAAGTGCTATCAACGATGCTTTCCACGACTCATATCAGTAGAATAAACGAGAATAGACACATAGTCTATAAGTCATCGTCGACGACGACGAGTAGTACAAGACCCATGGTAGTGAAAGCATGATGTATCTCCCAGATAACAGCAGCAATCTTCAGGGAAGCCACTCTTCGCTCCCCAGGGATATATTATTCGCTCCCAGGAGCTGTACAACATAGATCCTGTGTGAAGGCTCCCGCAGGAGTCGACAACTCAGGGCTGACATGAGGCGGAATTCTGCCGATTATGCCACGCTAACCTGATTGGGTTGCTTCGGTTCCCCAAAACGCTATGACAGTATCGCTGGAAACAGCAGGCGGTGGACATCCAAGTTCACCGCTTTTGGAGGATAGCTGAGGCAAGGCTGGCCGCACCTGTCAACACATCTCCTTCCTCCGTGAACCCCTGTGCTCATCATTACTAGAATATAAATATGCATCTTTACAGCTTCGTGCCATACCGTTAATCCTTATCCAGTACCTTGTGCAGGATTGAAACGCGCTTCTTGTCGATTATCCCACTTCTCTATCCGCATCTCTCAATGTTTTACTAGGGGCATCTCTCTATGTGACTGTGTGACCCATTCGCCAGCCGAATTCCTGTTCCATCCGACATGCAGGTATAGTCAAGACAAATTAATGCGTGCTAAACGTCGGTAAGAAAGTATCAAAGATGCTGAGTATTCACGATTGATGATATCATATGCCAAATTACACAGGTTCCGCTGGAAGCCACCCCTGTAGCCATGGCTAATATGAGAAAATCCAACATGCACTATATATAGTAGTCGAATTCAAAACATCAGACTCGGTACAATTACTTTGTATTGTTGTCAATGGACAGCTGTGCCAACTCACCAAGTGGGAGCTGTCAACGCCAAGACTGGGATTCCGCTGAGATGGACAACCAGCAACCCCTGGCCAGGCCCAATCCAATATGGGGCATAATATGTGGGGAAATGATGGCAGACTTTGTATGCGCACTTGGAAATCTACAACATATCCTATTATATATAGATGAATAATAGGTGGTCGATCGCTTGTATCATCGTCATAGCCCCATTTCCCAGGTCAATGACGTAGTTCTGGGGAAAGCTTCCATCATCCCGCCGATCTTGAGATATTTCAGGTGTTTCTCTACAATTCTTAAGTTCCCTTCACTCAATTTCTCCATTCTCAGGGTGATGCTGAGAAGGTGTACTCGTCTTCCACCACATTGGGCAGTCAGAACAAATTAACCTTATAAAAAAGGAAGCCGAACGACAATTCATTTGCTTTACTCCACCTACCTCCAAGATGGCCACAGGTCAGCAGCCCAAGTCTCCCCAGAACCGTCGGGTTGGGGAGCATTGGAGTGGTGCCAATCCCATTCCAACCATTGGTCATTTTATGGAACATATCGATGCCGAGAAGAAGGAACGTGATCGCAGGATAGACGAAGAACAAAAAGCAAAGAAAGAAAGGGCTGCACGTGAGAAGGCGCAAGAGACTTCGGGCGTCCCACCAGAACAAGCAGGTCAAAAGGATCAAAAGGATGGAGATGTTGTCGCGCATAAACCACGCGAAGTCTCCAAAGCCAAGATGCGCACCGTGACAGACCCGACTACAGGAAAGGACATCGGTGTTGAAGACCAAGACGAGATGTCTATGGATACTGTAAAGAATCCAATGGTATGTGGGATGGTTCTTGAACAAATTATGAATGGAGTCTAATCCATGCGCAGTTGACGGTCCCAAACGCAAATCTTGGAAAACCAACGGTGAGTCGTCTATATAGAATACCGTCCATCGGGGTATATTACTGACATGTATCCCAGGATGTGCAAACAAGCGCCGACCAAGATCTTGCAGAGTATAAAGAAAAACAAGACATTACCGCACCCCCGATCCCATTGCCGAAGGCACTACCTCCGATGTTCCCATTCGAGGAGAGAAGACGAATGTTCTGTTCCACCCTACGCCCACTGTCTCTTATCAGCCCATGTTTGATTCATTGCAAAAGCGTGCAACGGCCCTTTGCATTGGGATACCTATTGCCATAATCATACTAGGACGGATGTGCGGAGGATCTCTTTGGGGCCTTATTCCATTAGCCGCATGCGTCACGAGTGGAGTATGGTTGTGGATGCAGGAGGTTATTCGCAGTGGTCGAGCGATGGAATGGAGCAGTGAGAAGCTTCGTGGCCAGATGGTAAGTTTGTTTAATGTATGATCTTGTTCATGAGTAGAAATACTAACAGTTCAAAAGGCCACTGCAAATCTCCTTCCTGAATCCGTCGAGTGGATGAACAGTTTCCTTGCCGTTGTGTGGGGACTGGTTAACCCGGAGATGTTGACACCCGTGGCCGACACAATCGAAGATATCATGCAAGTCTCTGCCCCCAAGGTTGTAGAGAATGTTCGCATCGCAGAAATCGACCAGGGTAGTAACCCACTCCGCATTCTGAGCATGAGAGCTCTCCCCGACGATCATGTGCAGGGCTTGAAGGACAACATCCACGAAGAAAACAGAGAAAACAAGGACCCGCAGGAAGCCGCTGCTGCTGAAGAAGGAGGAAGTTATTACAACATGGAAGCCTCCTTTGCCTATCACGCAAGCCCAACTGGTCAGAGTGCCTCGTCAAAAGCACGCAATATGCACATGCAACTAGTCTTCTACCTGGGCATTCGAGGCTTGTTTGGTGTGCCATTTCCCGTGTTCGTGGAGCTGATTGAACTTGTCGGGACTGTCCGCATGCGCTTCCAAATGATGCCCGAAGCGCCGTTCATGAAAGATGTGACTTTCACATTGGTCGGCATTCCCCATGTCAGGGCTGGCTGCATGCCGATGTTCCGAACGGGCGTAAATGTTCTGAACTTACCCTTGATCTCTAACTTTGTCAACTCCGCCATTAGCACCGCGTGTGGCATGTTTGCAGCTCCCAAGTCCATGACCATGGATCTTGGCATGATGTTGACAGGAGATGACATCCACAAAGATACTTTGGCTCTGGGTGTGATGTGGATTCGCATTCATCGTGCTGTCGGCTTGAGTAAACAGGATACTCGCGGCAGCGAGGGTGGTGGCAGCGATCCATACATCAACCTGTCCTTCTCGAAATATGGCAAGCCCATGTATTGTACACGTGTGATTACGGATGACCTCAACCCAATTTGGGAAGAGACTGCCGCCCTTCTTGTGACACCAGAATTGATCAAGGCCGATGAAAACTTGAGCATCGAGCTCTGGGACTCTGACCGCAACACTGCGGATGATATCGTCGGCAAGATCGAGCTACCTATCCGTGAGATGCTTCAACATCCCAGTCAGATGTATCCCCAGGTGTCGAAGCTTCAGGGTATGGATGAGGGCAGTGAAATGCCCGGCCAGCTGCATTGGGAAGTTGGATACTTCGGGAAACCAAAAATCCGCCCTGGGCTGCGAACTGACGGCAAGAAGAAAGATCTTCCTGAAAACCTGAAAGGCGATCCGACTTTCGAAGATGAAAAGGGGGCCATCAACAACGAAGAAGAGGATGCCGTTATGCACACACCACCTGATCCAATCTGGCCTAGCGGTATTCTGCACATTGTTGTGCACCAGATAGTCAACCTTCAGCTTGCCAATATCAAGGGCAGTGATGGGAACCGTAAGGGCAAGGAGTATGAGCCGGCGAAGCCATATGGTGAGAACACAGAGGAGGAGGGTGAAGATCTCCCAACCAGTTACTGCAAGGTTTTGTTGAACGATCAATTGGTACGTATACTGTAAATACATACTCTCCCCTGCAAAATCTAGACACTAACATAATGTTTCAGATCTATCGCACTCGTGCAAAGGCTGTGAGCTCCAAGCCTATCTTCAACGCAGGAACTGAACGATTTGTTCGCGACTGGCGCTCAGCCGTTGTGACCATCACAGTCCGAGACCAACGCTATCGCGAGCATGATCCAATCCTTGGCGTGGTCCCCCTCAAGCTGTCCGATATCTTGCAAACTAGCTCCCAAGTGACCCGCTGGTATCCCCTCGATGGTGGTATTGGATTTGGACGCATACGTATTTCTCTTTTGCTCCGCCATGTAGAGACCAAGTTGCCACCTCCAATGCTTGGCTGGGATGTTGGCACCTTTGAATTTGCAGGGCAAACTATCATCGCGAAGGACTACGGTCGAAACACCAAGATCAAGCTACGCACCAGCGGCAGCTTTGGCAAAGTCACCCGACACAAGTGCCACATGCAAGGCAATGACGCGGTATTCGATACATCCGATGAGACTTTCCGCGACTCACTGCGCATGCCTGTGAAGCACCGATACCGCTCCCCGATTGTGTTCGAGTTCCATAACCAGGGCAAGCGAAACGCAGCAGCGTACGCTGTTTTATGGCTCCAACATCTTGTCGATAACGACGAAACAAATATCGACCTTCCCATCTGGACGACAAAGATGGGTGCTCGCTTGACACAAAATTACGTCACGGAGCAGAACTGGAAGGCCAAGGAAACACCCGGACTTGAAGACTTGACAGAGGTGGGACGTCTGCAGTTCCGCTGCAAGTTCTCGCCGGGTATTGACGAATCGCACGAGCGTTTCGTGGTTGACAACGACTCCCGTGAGACTTTCGAGACCTGGGAAGCGTGTCTTTCACAGGGTGTGCGTTCCCGCACGGTGAGCATCGAAGTTCCCGCGGAAGTACAGGAAAAGCACGAGCAGTCTTTGATCGACGGACGGGACATCTTGAAGCAAGCTTCTCCCTCTGAGCGTCAACGGTGGATTGACCACGACGGCCAAGATTGGAGTGGTGCGTTTGGTCAAGACCCGCGTGCCTACACTGATTCCATTGGACGGAAGGTCGCTGAGCCTGGTCAGGACCAACCTCGTCATGACCCGTACACTCCTCCCCCACTCTCAGGTCAAGCTTCTTCTCATCGAACTAGTTTCCAAAGTGGACAGCACCACGACAACCATGACGAGGACACCTCGGAATCAGATGACGAGCTCGAGCCTTTGGCTAAGGGGCCCTCGACGATTAGTGGCAACGGTGGAGCTAGCTCGTCTTTGGCACAAAGCAATATGAGTACTAGCCAGGTAAACAGGGCGAATAAACACAGTGAGCAGCGACAGCAGCGTGGTTTCATGCAGTGGAAGCCTGCGCGGAATGCTGCTTTCGCCAAAGATGAGGCTAAGTTTGCGCTCCAAAAGATGAAGAAGAAGATCGGAGTTGGTGGTCTCACTGGTCGTGAGCCAGATGTTGAGACAGAAACTTGAGACGACGTATGAATGATTTCTATTTGTTTTGGGCGTTCTTTATTTTGCATTTGCATCAATCGACTGTATAAAATAAATGTCCGTTATATGTCGTTTAACCCTGCCGAGTTATTGAACGTCCATTGGCCATCATTTACCTTTTGTATGGAAACCCTTATTCAGTGTACGTCTACTTCACCTTTTCTGAATCCCCAAACTACAATTTCAGTATCTTTAAGATTTCAACTCTGCTCTTACGGTTGTTGATGTCGTTGGCGGCATTGCTGCCGTTCCGCATAAATTGGGCCTCGATATTGATCCTACGGACAAAACCCCTTATATCCCGTCGGACTACTACGAATATATTGACTGGGCTCCCCGAAAATAGTAAGAATTGGATTTGCGAATTTTGGTTTATGACGGTCACTCGCTGTTTTGTTTTGCGGTGCCTTAATGAGATTGGGAAAAGTGCATACAATATGTATACATCGAAAAGATCCATGGGATATAATGCATAGAAGATAAAATGCTAAAACCACAGCCAACGGGGGAAAATAGAACACATATGCGACGAAGAACCACCGGATAAACCCAAACAACACCTCTATACAACATGATTCGTGAGTAAATTATATGCATCGCCATTATTATGCAGGAAAAAAAAAAGAAATGGCGAAATAGAAACACCCTAAACGGGACATCAACCATAAAACCATGAACATTTCATAATTAATGACCGGGCGCAAAGTCGGTGGATACTCGGAGAGACTTGGATCCAGGATTAACTTGTGCCGCGTGCAACAGTGAGACATTCTCGGATCCACTGTTCAAGGCCTTATCGACAGGCCTAAGATCGACAGGCCCAAGAGTCCATTTCCATTCCCTGCGACGCTTAGCCCGACCCTGCCGAGGAGTCTGCGGCGTAGAGGATCCATCAGCCTCAAAGCCATCTAGCAGAGCCACGGCGCGAACCTGTCGCTCTACCTGCACGGAGCGGCGTTTTTTGCGTTCCATTTTTGAGAGCGAGGACCCGCGCACACCTTCATCGGCACTGGTATCATCCGAGGTACTTGTTTCCGATAACGAGGGGCTAGAATCGGAATTCTCTTTTTCGCCTTCGATGTTCTGGAAGGGGGCGGGACGTGTCTCAGATGGGGATTGGTTGGTGTCTGCCTCGGCTTGCACTGCCTCCTCCATCACGAGGTCGAGATGTTGCGCCGTGTAGCGTTCTGTGCGGATCTCTTCTTCTAGTGGGTACCGGTAGCTGACTTGTTTCTTTGCTGGGAAAAAGACACGACGAGAGGCTGCGCCGTTGGGGCCATTGCCGCCCGCTGATATGGAGCCTGATCGTCGGCGCGTTGAGGGTTCTAGTGGGGAGTTCCGTAGAATGCTGCGCACTCCGATGGGGAGTTGATATGGGCTTCGGTGGTTGAAAAGATTATTGTTTGCGTGGAGGATGAAGGGGGAGGTTGGTCTGTTGTAGCGGGTAGATCTGGTGGGGGAAGTTGCGGATGATGGGGATGCGACTTCGTAGGCATTCTTGAAGGTATTTCGAATAGTGGGGGATGAAGTTGGTGCTGCTGCGAAGGAAAAGGATAGACCGGTGGTTGAAGTGCCGAATGTGCGAGGGAGAGCGGTGGTTTGGAGGGTGAGTTTTGGTCGGGAGGTTATTGTGGTTGTGGCATCTGGCGACAGACACGACATGGTGGAAAAGTACAAAGTAAAAAAGGAATTCGAAAGATCAAATGTGGTATCTCTGATCAAAGAGAAAGAAAGAAAAGAAGAAGAAGAGGGAATATGTTTTAGCGGGGTTGAACTAAGAATAGAGAGGAGGAGGAGGAGGTTGGCGCTTGGATGTTGACAAGATGCATGTCACCCACCAAGGGGAGAGATTACTTAAGTTTGGAGTGGTTTGACAGTAGATCGTTTATACCCCATAATACAACATATATACCCCGAAGGACTCCATTAAAAGCAAAGTAAAAAGAGTACAACATTGTAGAAAAGAGTCAGAGATTTTCATTCCAGACTCAAGTGGATGCGTAAACTATCGACGCCACTATCCACACTGCTTTCATTCCTAATTTAATCCTACTCCGTACAGAGTACGGGACGGAGTGTACGGACCGAAAAAGTAATCATACCTAGGTAGTTCCTAGAATATTTTAATCTATTTCTTAAAAATAATTAACTGTCATCAAAAAAGGAAAACATCTCATCTATAAAAAGAACAGGGCCCCGTGGGTCTCTGATCTACATCTATACGGACGGGTACGTACTTTTGTGGCAAAGACTAAAAATGTGTATGTTGTAGAGAAATCTCTGGTTATATATTAAATCCTATATTGAAATATCTCCTATACCGTTGTCTACAATATACTTTGTCTATATATATGGTGCACTTAAGATCAAAGCATGGTATATCACACATCGATGGCCGCAAGCATCAAGGGCTTCTTTCTAGGCGATGATTGGTAGAAAATAGATCAAAACTGCGCCCGATTCACTTATTATACTTATTATATCCATCTTATTGTTGGGGCAGTGTGACATCAACTCCACTTAATGGTGTCGATGATCTTTCTATGTGGCGTTTTCCAATTTCATGAAGGGGGCATGACGGAGGAAAGCTTGACCGATTGACTAGGATAAGGCAGCACCAGGTCTCTTTGGGTGTGGATATGTCTGAGAGGGAGAGGAAGCATCCTTGAAGGATATAATTGTTTGAGAACCAACCAACTTCGAAATAGCCTGTAGCTGTCTAATATTAGAAGAGTATAGTTACTAACTAACTAGTACTACTAGTTAACTACGCCACGCAGGCAGCAAGGCAACTACGCTACTAACGCTAAGCCATTAACGCCACACACCAGCCACAAACGTGGGTTCCTGGGAAGTTCCAAGGTTGCCTTGGTGTTCTGTTTTCAGCTGTTTTCAGCTTTGGATCTTTGCCAGGCACCAGAAAAATCAACCTTGGAGGTCGCATGGTCACAGCTGCACCAGCTCAAGGCTCATGACTCCACTAGTGCGGAACGACAGTCGTATCATCCTCCACTTGGTGACTCTCCCCACTCTTAGGTGCCATCCTTTGACTAACCGTATTCAGGATTATGACTGTTTCTATGCCTCTGTTTTCGAAGTTGAGCAACCTGAACTGAGGTCACTTCCCTTGGCAGTTCAACAAAAGCAGATTGTGGTGACCTGTAACTACGAAGCCCGACGGCGAGGTCTGCACAAGTTGCAGCTCATCAAAGATGCCAAACGCATCTGTCCCGATGTGGTAATAGTTCTGGGTGAAGACTTGACCAAGTTCCGAAATGCCTCCAAGGAACTCTACCTGCTGGCTCGCTCCGTTGTCTGGGGCGGCCGTGTCGAAAAGCTAGGCTTTGACGAGCTCTTTCTTGACGTCACGGAAATGATTGACTACAACATTGGCGTGTTGAATCAAAATGACTTGGTGAATTCGTATTTCCATCTTGATCCGAAGGACCCGACCGTTGGTTTTTTGTATGACGCCACTCGCTTTCATGGGTCGACCTTCCCTGCCATGGAGGAAGCCTTCGTCGCTCCGACTGGTCCATCTTCGTTGGAAATGAGGTTGCTCGTTGCCTCTCACTTACAGCGCCACATACGGAATAGGCTGGAGCATCAAATAGGCTTCACGGCTACGGGTGGGATCTCAACCTCCAAACTGCTGGCAAAGTTGGTCGGGAATGTTCACAAGCCCAACGGCCAAACGACTCTTCTGCCACCATATACAGCAACAGAAGATAATACTAGCAACGTGTTCCAGTTCCTGGATGATCACGAGATCCGGAAGATTCCTGGAATTGGTTCTCGCATTGCCCAGAAACTACAATCCCATGTTACAGGACAAGAGGGCGTCGACGAGAAGATCACAGTCAAGGATGTCCGACAGTCCCCTGGTATGGGTCCACCCTTACTGGACAGAATCCTCAGCGGGCCAGGCTCAGTGAAAGGGATCGGGATGCGCATGTGGAACATTCTTCATGGTGTAGATAATTCCAAGGTGCTCGAGGGTCGCGATGTACCCACTCAGATCAGCATCGAAGATTCTTATGGCCGGTTAGATACCCCGGAGATTGTACGGCGCGAGCTAGTAGTGCTGTCGCGAAGTCTCATCCGCCGCGTAAGAACCGACCTACTTGATATGAGTGATGATACTGCTCCCCAAGGGAGATGGCGTGCTCATCCTCGCACTCTGCGGTTATCGACCCGGCCAAGACTTCCGCCAGATTCGGGTATGGGGCGTACACACAGTTACAATCGCATCTCTCGGTCAGCACCCCTACCACCCTTTATTTTCAACTTGGATGAGAATATCGATGCATTGGCCGAACGACTGGTCCAAGAATGTGTTTTCTCTATGTTCCGCAAATTACATCCTGAAAAGTCTGGTTGGAACCTCAGTTTGTTGAACGTTGCAGTTACCAATATGGTGGAAACCGCGGGGGATCAGAAACAAAACAGTGGACGAGATATCGGGAAGATGTTTCGACAGCAGGAGACAGTACTTAAGGATTGGACTGTGCAGGAACCCGAGTCATCATCTGATATGCCGCGGTTGTCCGGAGATACCCCTGAAATACAGTCCCAGTCGGACGATGGGTGGGATGATGATGAACCCTTGGGGAGTGTAGACTGCCCTATATGTGGGGTGTCAATTCCATATTTTGCCCAGTTGGCACATCAGATATATCATTCTGAGAAATCGGCATGAATCCGTTATTCGGCAGCCTTACCATGCCAAGCGTGGAGGCGTTTTTGATAGGTTGGAAGCGGTTGGAAGCGCATTGGTCCCGAGCTATTTACGCGTTTGATGTACGGAGTACGGAGTACGGAGTACAGGTATGAATACAATAAAAGAGAAACAAAAGACCCTGTATAACATGTTTGGATTATTGTATCCAACATACTAGTTAACTAGTTATTATATGTCAACGGCGTTATCGCCCATGGATCCTATTATATGCCAAGCAAGTGGAATAGGCAACATAATTGGACGTTGCAATAAAAATAGGACATCTCTCCACTAAATAAACCAATGTAAACCAATGTAAACCAATATCATCTAACTGTTCTATGTTGTATATTAAAATTGTTTCAGTCCACTTTTCCTTTGCCAAGCCCTCTGGGTTTGGGGATTCCTAAGCCACTTGGCATTGAAGCCCTGTACGGCTGAGTCCGGATTATCTGATCTCTCTCCTCTTTACTCTTTCCCTTTCACTTTCTTGGTTGTCTGGTGTCTTTTTGCCCTTTTCTAGTCTTTCGTTGATTCTCTCTTTTTATTTCGAATATTCTACTCTACTTGAACACCACCCATCTCCTCCTCCTCCTCCTCCTCCTCCCCCCCCTCTTTCTCCCTCTTTCTCCCTCTCCCCCCAAGTGGACCCTGAAATTTCCCTTGCCACTCTGGGCCCTAGAAACTCTATTCCCTCAAGAAAAGACCGGGGAAAAGGAACCCTGAGATTCAGATATTTGCCATGAGGTTTTCTACTTTTTTGCCCTTAATCGGTGCATTTTCATCGTTCTTTCAACAAACACAAGGTAAATATCCACTTGCAGTCTTACCCAGCCACTCCCGTTGCCTAGCCCCCCCCAGTTGCCTAGCCTCGTTGCCTAGCCGCTGACAATTTCCAGCACGATCACAAGCATCAGAGGCCATTCGACGGGTGACGCCCATCGATAATGCCATCATTCGCACTCCTTCACATCAAATAGACCACCTGTCACATTTTGATATCACCTTCGCCTTACACCAAGACGACAAGCGCATAAAGCTAGAACTCGAGCCCAATCATGATATCTTGGCCGAGGACGCTTACGTACAATACATCGGCGCTGATGGCACGATAAAACGTGCAGAACCGATCAAAAGACACGAACACAAAGTCTTCCAAGGTCGTGCCCTGGTAGGATCCGGAAAGGGGAGATGGACGCCCGTGGGCTGGGCCAGAATCACCGTCAAAAGGGATGGCCTAGAGCCTCTCTTTGAAGGTGCTTTCAGTGTCAACAATGACAAACACCACATTGAGTTACAGTCGACCTACCTCGACAAGAAGCGCCCGATCGATGCCGACGTCGAGCCCAGAAATGGGGAATCGATGATTATCTACCGTGACTCCGATATGTTCCACTATACCCACTCCGAGCTCAAGCGGTCGCTTCCCGGGTCCGAAGGCTGCGGCGCGGATCAACTCGGATACAATGCTGATCTGTCCAATTCGATTTTCGGATATGACATGGACGAAACAGATGGTCAGTGGGGTGTTGCCTCGTTGAACTCGATGTTCGGATTGGGCAAGCGACAGTCTTCGTCTGATGTTGGCGGTGTCTCGGGCAATACTGGCGGTGTGAATCTGAAAACGACCATCGGTGATACCAGTGGATGTCCTCAAACCAAGAAAGTCGCTTTGATCGGAATTGCAACGGATTGTGAATTCACCGAATCGTTCATGGCTACCAACTCCACCCCCGAACAAGCCGCCAGGGATTGGGTTATCAACGTCGTAAACACGGCTTCAAGTCTCTATGAGGAATCTTTCAATGTGTCCATTGGTTTGCGGAATCTTACAATCTCCGAGACGGGTTGCTCCCGCACGGGCTCCAGTGGTACCCCATGGAACGTGGATTGCGATGGTGGAAACGTCACCTGGCGTCTGAATGAATTCTCCAAGTGGCGCGCATCGCATTCGGATGACAATGCCTACTGGACCCTGATGACAAACTGCCCAACAAGCAGTGAGGTTGGAGTTTCATGGATGGGTCGTCTATGCTCCTCCGAACTAGTCACCTCAGGAGAGAACTCTGTGACCGGTGCGAACGTCGTAGTTCGCAATTCCGGTTCTTCCTGGCAGGTATTTGCCCACGAGACTGGTCACACCTTTGGAGCAGTGCACGACTGCGACCAAGACGCCTGCACCAGAAAGTTGGATGTTTCATCCCAATGCTGCCCGCTGAGTTCGTCGAGCTGCAATGCTAATGCAGAATATATCATGAACCCATATGCCAAGAACTCCATGACCAAGTTTTCAGAGTGTACAATCGGCAACATCTGCTCTGCCATCGGCAAAAACAGCATCAAGTCCACTTGTCTATCGGATAACCGCGGCGTCGTGACCATTAGCGGCAGTCAATGCGGCAACGGCATTGTCGAAGGCGACGAGGAATGCGACTGCGGCGACGAAGAAAGCTGCAGCGACAACTCCTGCTGCGATGCCAAGACCTGCAAATTCAAAGACAGTGCCGTCTGCGACGACTCGAACGACAGCTGCTGCAGCAAATGCCAGTTCGCCTCCGCCAACACTGTCTGCCGTGCCAGCACCGGTGAATGCGACATCGCCGAGACCTGCAGCGGAACCTCGAGCTCCTGTCCCGAAAACAAATACGAAGACGACGGTGCCAGCTGCGGCGACAAGAACCAGAAGCTCAGCTGCGCCAGCGGCCAATGCACAAGTCGCGACTACCAGTGTCGCACGGTGATAGGCTCCCTGCTGAACACCAATGACACCTGGGCCTGCGAGAACACAAATAGTCCCTCCTGCAGTCTCGTCTGCGGTGCACCCTCCCTCCAACACTCAATCGGTGTCCAGGAGTGTATTAGTATGAACCAGAACTACCTCGACGGTACACCCTGCGACTCGGGCGGTCACTGCAGCGCAGGTCAATGTAAGGGCTCCTCGGCCCTGGGCTGGATCCATCAGCACGAGAAGCTGGTTATTGGTATCTGTGTCGGCGTCGGCTCATTAATCCTGCTCGCTATCTTCTTCTGTATCTATAATCGCTGCAAGCGCAGCGCACAGCTGCGGAAGGCCCACAAGGCTATCCCCCTGGTACATATCGCGGCTACAACGGGCCCCCGCCCACTTCTCGTCAGCCTATGGACCAGTGGCATGGATACCGCAATGCCGGATACCAGAATGTGCCTCCCAATCCCGGATACCAGAACATGCCTCTCAATGCCGGATACCACAATGTGCCTCCTCCTCCCTCTGGGCCCCCGCCACGATACTCATGATCATCCCCTTTGCTTCTAATTTTATTCTAGTGTATTGGTTCCATTGAACCTGGTCTTGTTTGCATTCGTGAGGGGATATGGGTATCGGCGTCATCGCGGATGATTGCGCATGTGGTTACATGTAGTATCGGTCCTTCTAGTTGTGCTATCATCCGCAATCTGGGGTTTGGGGCTTTGGGCTTTCTTTCTATTCTTGTGGCTACTGTGTTATTGAATTTCGTATGCATTTTTCGAGAGTAGATACGATGAAGCCCTTTGGGCTATGAATGATACCGCATCTATCTTACAAAGTATGCTCAGCATGTAGATGTAGATAGTTATCGTATAAAGGAATGAATATCCATTTGAAGTACGATTTTAACCCAAAATAAACACAAAAAGAGACACTTACTCCCAAAACAAGCATGAGGAAAACGACAAAAGAGACACAAGAAAAGTACTCAAATCCCAACACCAAGGAAAAACCCCAATGCACAACAAACAATCAACCCTCAGTCAAGTCCTCGTCTCCTAGAGAGACCAGACAGACCTATCCAAGGCCCGACAAGGGTGACCAAAGAATCCGTCCCACCAGTTTATTTATCAACTCATTGCCAACAAATCCCAACAAAAGCCTCCCTGGTAACACCACCAACACCCTCAAGATCAAACTCCTCAATCATAGCCCTAAGTTCCTCCTCCTCAAGCCCAGTCTCTCCCAACTCCCTCGCAACACGCCTCAAATCCTCAAGATCAATAAACCCCTTAGCACCCTCATCGAACAGCTCAAACGCACGCAGGATCTCGTCGCGCGGGTCCCGCTCGAGAATCTTCAGCGCCGTGACAGCCTGGAATGACGAAAGCGGCATGAGCAGGTTGGAAGGGTGTTGCGGGTTCGACACGGGGCCTTTGTTTGAGGTCAGCGGTTGACCGGGACCGTGTTGGTTGCCGGCTTGTTGTTGTTGCACTTGGGGACGGGGAACGCCGTAGGTTGTTAGGAGGGTGATTAGTTCTTGTTTGCCTAGGGTGAAGCCTAGCGCGCGGAAGGCCACGCGGAGTTCGTGGTAGTCTAGGTGGCGGTCGCGGTCTAGGTCGAAGAGGGTGAACTTTTGGTGGGGGGTTTGGTTAGCTGGTGGGTTTTGGATGTGGCGGGTTTGGGGTTGTGTTTTTCCTTTTCCTTTTCACTCGAGGGAAAAGAGAGAGAGATGGAGGGAGGGAGGGAGAGATAGGTTGGGTTGCAGGAGGGTACGGTAATTGGAGAGAATTGTAATGTCATGGATGGATCGGGTTATCCCTTACAGCTTCGTTAATCTCTTCCCTCTGCTCTTCCGTGAGTCTGTTCAACGGATTGGCGTCCTGCGCTGGACCATGGGACTGCGCGTTTGTTGCGGGCGCGGGCGCAGACTGTTGCATCTGCTTTTGGGCATCGGGCCCGTTGAAGTCGGCTTGGTTGGCGTTTCCCAGACCGCGATGCCGTGAGAATGATGAGGCGCTGAAGGGCATTGCGTTTGTGTTTACCGAGCGTTCTGGGAGTTTCGTGCCGGCGTAAGAGCGCGACGCGAAGGGTTGGCCAGAGGCCATGATGAATGGCGTGTTCAAGTTTAATTAGATGGCTGGATCAAGAGTTCTTCAGCATTGGTTGGAGAGGGGCTCGTAGCCCATGAGAATGCGTGGAGAGAGATGGAGGTGTTTGGCGGTGGGAGGATTCTGGAGACGCGCCCAGACGCGGGCGGAATGACAACGCCTCACTGTTTTGGTTTTGTTACAGATTTACAGATATAGACATCAGCAAATTAGTTACATAGTTATTACTTATTTTCTTACTTCTCGATAGTTCGGGATTCAATTATATTGTACTAGAAGAGTGAGCGAGTGAGCGAGTGAGCGAACTTCTAGACACGACACTACCTCGTCCTAATCACAAGCAATCATAAACAAAAACCTCATTTCCTGTCCAACAGCTAACGTATTTCTTCAAACGAGTGTCGTATGTTCCTCCCATGGATAACTTGTAACAAAAAGCAATAGTGGTGAGCGAATGTCGACGTGGAAGTCTTCAACAATTGTACAGGGATTGTCGCAAATTGCCATAGAGTGGCATTGGAGTATCAAGCGGCATTGTAGTATCGAGTGGCATGGTCGTATCATCAAAGATGGTAGCCATTGGATCGAATGGATTGTCATACTCGTTGCTGAGGATCAACAGACCATTCGAGTCAAAAGGTTCAATTTGATCGGGAAAGAGTATGTCATCAAAGAGGTTCGGTTCTTGGGTTATCATCGTATTGTGAGAAGTCGCCGATGATTGCAAGACCGCATCGTGCGGCTCAACATGATTCGCCATATGCCCAGGCCGAGGGAAATGATCAGCCAAAAACTCTTGCATTTGGCAGGCTGGCGGCGAAAAGGGACCGTCTTGCCGGCGGAAAACGGAAGACGACATTTCCTCGGAGTCTGTGAGCCAGAAAGCCATATCCACGTCTAGAGATGACGGGAGATTGGGAACTACATCCTCAAGAACCCCTCTACAGGAGGATTTGCCTGTAGTCCCGTGTTTGGGGGACACATTGCGCAGGATATCTTCTAGTTTTTCGCGGACACCAGTGAGATAACAACTAAAGGAGCCAAATATTCTCGCAACGGTTGCGTTATTTTGAAGATCTTGCAAGCCGCATACAACTCGGTAATATAATGCTGCCGCGATCCAAGCGGGATCGAACTCATTTCCTTTCCGTGACTGCTTGGCCTTTCCACACAGAGCAATGTATAAATCAGGGCAAAAGTCCTGGGACATTTGTGCGAGCTTCCGAAAAGAGAGAATCAAAACATATAATAAGACGAGGCGCCCGGTGGTGGTTTCAAACCAGGACGTACGGATTCGAGCTTGCGCCAAACCTTGGATGGCCATAAACAGCTTTGCCATTCCGACTGTAGTCCAGACGAGTTCGCTGTGTTTGTATAGATCTCCAAATTTGAGCAGATCGGCGAGGGGGAGGGCACTAGTAACCCCAGTAAGAAGATCATCGACAGGACACTCTGGTTTGCTCGATAGTGTGATACTGGACCCCGTTACTGTCCAATGCCATGCAGTGCAGTTTCCGCCATATGTGTCGCGGATATTGACAACCGCTTTGAATGTATTCATGCGACTAAACACCTCCTCACTCATACGTTGTAAATTATCTCTCGCCTCTTGGGATGGGAAACTAAGGATGGTAAGAGAGTTCCCCGTAGGCGGCCCAATCAGGCATAGATCTCCCCAACTTCGAAAGCAGATTCGATTACCCTTAGAAGAGCATGGAGGACACGGTGTAGTTGTTCCACACTTCTTCTTGGCCCGATAGCACACCATACATGAGCCACCAGCTCTCTTAAGTGCAGCGGTATCTTCTCTCTGTTGCTGAAGTTCGGCCTGAGTAAGGGGGATTTTTTCGTGGATTCTGTCAGACTTTGCAGGGTCCGCCGGATCCCAGGGGATAAAGCCATCGGGATAAAGCTCCTTGAGAGACAGAGATGGACGTACTGGCCCAGCATATGGCTGGGTTTCACCGGAATCATCTTCGGGCGAGGCGGGTGACCAAGGACCATTGCCGCTGGAAGACCCTGTTGAGGGCTGGGATTTCAAGCTTCTGGGAGATGGGGAGCTTTGTAGTTGGTCGTTTTGTGATTGATCTACAAAGGTGGAAGGTGTCATGATCGAATGAAAACGAACTGGGCCGCCAATAACACCCAGCTCCTGGGGTGGACTACCAAGCTCATGAGGCTGGCTGTCTATTGGATCATCGTTGAATTCCTCAACCATTTGCAGTATGTTTGGGTTTATGAACTGAGTTTCATGTGCCATGGCTGTAGTCGACGACAGTTGCCACGTCTGTGGCATTGCATGTTCGATATTGGGATCGGAAAAGAAAGGCATAGTTGATGCGGGTGAAGACATGGGAGACTAGATAGTCAGTATCAAAAGTTCATGAGACGTGCAAGCCTAAAATGAAAACCACAGGCACGTAGGAGGGCAATATGAGAGATGGATTGAACTCACTAGATAGATGGAGCCCGGTGTATGCGGTGCATGCGGTGCACATTTACGCACACGGTTCGGATAAGGAGAGAATGGAGACGGTTGATGCCGTCTAGCAGCAGCTTGCGCTATCATGGTTTCGAGTATGAACGAGAGGAATGCGCACGATCGAGGTTTTGAAAGATGCTCGAGCAAGGAGCGAGAGCCAAAGGAGGGGCTTAGGGCAGAGCCTAATAACAGACTGGCTCTCTGTGCTTGAACAAGTTGTCGATCGTGTGGGAAGGTAGAGAATGAGAAGAAGGAGTGATGCGAAGCAAAGATGGAAGTAGTAGATACATCTGGGCACCTCGAAAGTTGCCTAAAACGGACTAGTAGCACCGTCTCCAACCAGGCCAAAGCTTAGCTGAAGCTTCGACATAGCGACAGCGTCATTTGAGGCGAAGCAGGCACGACCAGGTCCATGAGGCCGATTCCTAATCCGGTAAAGCTCATCGCTAGGTATTAAGGTTCACCTAGTGTACAGAGTTTCCGTGGTTCAGGGGCGGTGGAAGTATGAATGCTCCCATGTCACATCTCCATCAATGGGCCTGGACGTAGTGTATAGGAAAGAAAGACGTGATCAAACAGTGAAGACAATCAATTTCTTTGGTATGAAATACTCTGCAAATCACAGTCTTTCCGCGTTCCCAGGTCCAAGTCCTCCAGGAAGGTACGACCGAGAAGCTCCTCTGGCAGGTAATCCTGCTGGACCTTGCCGCCGACATAGTTTGGGTTGTACTTGTACTCTGCACCATAGCCCAGCTCCTTCATGAGCTTCGTTGGCGCATTCCTCAAATGAATAGGAATGGGCAAGCCCGCAATTCCTGGCTCGTTCAAGGCGGCAGAGACGTTATTCAAGCCACGGTACGCACGAGTACTCTTCTTCGACAGCGCCATCGCCACGGTAGCGTGTGCCAGATTGATTCGTGCTTCTGGGAGTCCAATCTTCTCAACGGCTGAATGTGTCGATACAGCAAGTGACAGCATGGTGTTGTCGGCCAGGCCAATGTCTTCGGAAGCGACAACAATCAGCCGTCGAGAGATATACAGGGGGTCTTCACCCGACTGAATCATGCGACCAAGGTAGTAGAGCGCTGCATCTGGATCACTTCCTCGAATGGACTTGTGAAAGGCAGAGATCGTGTCATAATGCTGATCTCCAGCACGGTCATACACGAGCGTCTTGGTCAGAGATCGTTTTAGGTCCTCTTTGTCCATTCCAGGCCTTTTTGACATATCCATGGCTAGCTCCAACAAATTCAGCGAAGTGCGAGCATCTCCATCGGCGAACCTGGCGAGATACTGAACCAGCTCTTCGTCCACTAGTTTGGAGGGCGAATAACTTGGACCTTCAACCCGGAGAGCACGATGAAGGATCGAAGTGATATCCTCATCGGTGAGCTTCGCAAGAGTAAATGTCCGGCATCGTGAGAGCAGTGCATTTTGGATCTTGAACGACGGGTTCTCGGTTGTGGCACCGATGAGTGTGACCTGGCCGCTCTCCACCGGGCCCAAGAAAACATCCTGTTGAGACTTGGAGAATCGGTGAATCTCGTCACAGAAGATAATTGTTTTTCTCCCAGTGAGCCCCAGTTCACTACGAGCTTCGGCAAATATCTTCTTGCACTCTGCCACACCGCTGCTAGTGCTGTTGATTTCCACGAATCTACTGCCCACTAGCGACGAAATAACTCGAGCGATTGTCGTTTTCCCTGTCCCCGCGCTGCCCCACAGTATCATACTCGGTACCCTGTCTTGTTCGATGAGTCCGCGCAGGATGCCGTTCGGTCCGACAAGTTCTTGGCCGCATACTTCCTCCAGGGTTTTAGGTCGCATACGCTCCGCTAGAGGTGCTGCTTTGTGGAAGGCATTGATCTTCGGACGTTTTGTTTGTGGCTCTTTGGTGTCACCTTTTTGTTGCTTTGGTTCATCTCGCTTCCGCATAGATTCGTCTTCCTCAATAAATGATCGCTTGCCGTTGAGAGCGCGTGGGGTCGTGGTGGGACGAGACGGTGACTCCTTCGAAATGTTCGATTGGGCAGAAGCTTTCCGCGCAGACGGAGGTTGGAACATACTAGGAACTGGTCCCTTCTGGGAGGAAGTCAGTTCTCCTGGAGAGGACGACTGTTCTTCAATGAAGCTCTGGCAGCCGGAGTCGATGTGGTCATTAATCTTCAACTGGGAGACAGATTGTTCGCATATTGGGCAGGAAACCATGATTACCAGAGAATGATCTGGTCATTCACTAGGTTACTCAAAAACTTCGAGGTGAGGTAAACGTAGAAATGATATCGTCCAACCTGCGGGTGCGACGCGTTCAACGCGTTAATTAGTAAGTAACAAGCCTTGATGCCTGAAAATAAGCAAACAACAGAATATACTTTGTAGATGTACAAATGAGATGTAGATATAAGTACTATACAAGTACTATATAGTACTATATAATCTCCAAATGACCCGAACAAAAAAAAAAAAACAAAACAAGCTGGTCCAAGTCCCGAGGGCCGTCAGAGCCGAATGCGGAGCACGCCATGGTGGGGAAATCCGACTCCTCTATCTATTGACCTTCCTCTTCTTACTTTCTTCGACACTCATGTTCTCCCGCTCTTATCGCCATATATTTGCTCAATCACGGAATTGCAGGTCCATAATCCGATATTCTGTCCCTTTGACATTACGACCTGGTTACAGCGCAAGAACGATGTCGGCTACAGCTTCACGACCCGATCCATTTCGCCCCGCCAAGCGGGTGGCAGGACAGCGCCAGGATGTCTGGTATGGAGTTCCGGGAAAAAAGTCAGGAAAGATATACTAAATAGTGTTTTAAGGTCAATCGTCAACGAAGCCGCCGCAGCTTCGCCAGTTCAGCCGATTGTGAACATGGGCCAAGGGTTCTTGTGAGTCACTCATTTCGATCCCCAATTACTTCAAGAGACAGGAATTGACGCGCAGCTTTTTCGCATAGTGGTTACAACCCTCCCAAGTTCGCCCTTGACGCTGCAAAGGATGCGCTCGACCGAGTGGAATGCAACCAATACTCTCCGACAAAGGTAGAGGACGCCAACGAATCTGCGCAAGGTTACACAAGTACTCATACAAGATAGGGTCGCCCCCGCCTCAAGCAGGCTATCGCGGATGCTTACTCGCCCTTCTTTGGCAAGAAGATAAACCCCGAGACTGAGGTCTCGATCACAACTGGCGCAAATGAAGGTGGGACATCAGTATAATTTATACATAAATAGACATTTGGCGCTGACAGGTGACCCAAACCAGGCATGCTCAGTGCCTTCATGGGCTTCATCGAGGATGGTGACGAGGTCATTATCTTTGAACCCTTCTTTGACCAGTAAGGAGCCTCGATATTGCGAGAGGATTGAGGTGATACTAATTCACTCGGAATAGATATATTAGCAACATTGAGATGCCCGGTGGTACTATCCGTTATGTTCCTCTCCACCCGCCCAAGGATGGTGCCACCAAGACATCTCCTGCATCGGAGTGGACTATTAATTTTGAGGAGCTCGAGGGTGCCATGAACTCTAAGACAAAGATGATTGTAAGGACGCGCCACCAAAATTTTATGTATATTCAAGCTAACTATAGCAGGTCTTGAACTCACCGTAAGCAGCCTTGGTTTACAGAGACGAATAAAGTCTCAACTAACTGTATGTTCATAGGCACAACCCCGTCGGTAAGGTCTTCTCGCGCGAGGAGCTCGAGCGCATTGGTGAACTGTGTGTCAAGTACAACCTTATCATCTTGTCTGATGAAGTCTACGACCGCCTCTTCTACGTTCCATACACTAGAATCGCTACTCTGTCCCCAGAGCTGTACGAGCGTACTTTGACCGTTGGTTCTGCCGGCAAGGCCTTCTACGCCACTGGTTGGCGTGTTGGGTACCTCATCGGCCCTGAACACCTGATCAAGTACGTGGCCGGTGCACACACCCGTATCTGTTACAGCAGTGTGTCTCCTCTTCAGGAAGCCGCTGCTGTTGCTTTCGAGCAGGCAGAGAAAGAGGGCTTCTGGGACGAGAGCCGCACAGATATGAAGGGTAAAATTGAGCGGTTCTGCGAGGTCTTTAATGAGCTGGGTATCCCGGTATGCGATTACTATGTCCCCAACTATCAAGTCTACTTTGCCATATATTGATTTTGCTGACATATCAATCTTTTCCAGTACTCTGATCCTGAGGGTGGATACTTTGTGCTTGTCAACATGGCCTCTGTAAAGCTCCCGGCTGACTATCCCTTCCCGCCCCATGTTGCTAGCCGTCCTCGTGATTTCAAGCTCTGCTGGTTCCTCATCCATGAGGTTGGCGTAGCTGCTATCCCTCCCACTGAATTCTACACTGATGCCAACGCTCACATCGCTGAGGATTATCTCCGCTTTGCAGTGTGCAAGAACGATGACGTCCTCGAGACTGCCAAGGAACGCTTGAGAGGTCTGAAAAAATATATCACCCAGTAAACAAAGACATACAGGGCTTTGATGCGTGAGAAGTGACGAGATATCCATAAAGGTTTTATGCCGCCAATAGAAAATTGGATACAAAGACACAAGATACATATGTATATGCCACCAAAACCGATTCTCCTTGATGAATCTCCCAGTGTACTCATGTACAGCTACTCCTACGTAACTTACAGCACCTAAGAACAATGAACCAGGCACAGTAGGACAAGCGCACAACCACGCGACGGTCTTTGTTTCTCTAAACAAAGGAGGGGGCGATCAACTCCCCCTCCAAACCGTCACCACCACCGAAAGCGTAATACATAAATGGGCATCCTGGACCTGGGGGCATCCACCGAATTCGCACTGATGATATCTCTCTCCAAACCAGCCACCCCAGGTCCAGGACCCCGGCACAAATAATTGGGGCTAGGGAGGGGACGGCTCCCTACCCTGACCACGGCATCTCAAACTCCATGGGGCCCGTTCCCGCCCCGTCCCAACCGACGCCACGGCGGAATAACCGCCGGTCCACTGTCAGGACCTCCGAGAAACCTGCCCCGCACGTGCGAGCCACCACGTCGCTCACCGAAGGATGGGTGGCTCGGTGCGCCCTCAGAATCCAATAGTTGGATTCGAGGGCTTCGCACACTCTCCGGAAGCCCAACCCCATACGGTGGTTACCGAGCAACGTGGGGCGACGCTCGCTCGCACAGGTCAGATCCTCGCAGTGGCGCCGGTCAGCACCAACCCACTCCGTCTCACAAGCATGCCGCAAGCCGAGATGGTTCTTCTCGACGGTGCCACCCATCTCGAGTCCCATCTGGCGACGCAGCATGCTGTCCATGTCCTTGTCACTGGCCCACATGTTGTGAGCCCGCATCCAGTCCCGGACAAGCCGGTAAAGATAGTCCACGAGGGCTGGATGTTCAACCGCCGCTGGAAGAAAAGAAGAGTTAGCATATGATCTAAAAGGTAGGCAATTGTGGGGGTTATAATGTATCAAAGTGCAAAGGAACTGAAAGTGAGATCAAGCTGGAAGTGGAAGGAAAGTGAAAATGAGATAAAACTTACCGAAGAGACAAATTGCCAGGCACCGGCGGAACCGGTCCTTCTCTTCGGCGTCCTCGAATCGCACAATGAGTGCGACTCGAGGTGAACATCCACGCCCTGCGTGACTGGCTGGAGCGTCCGCTGCATTCACCGGGGTGTCCAGCTCCGCAAACACAAAGTAATCACCTCGGTCGCGGGCGGAGCTGAACCACAGCGCCTGACGATGGCGCTCAGGGCTGTCCCACTGGTGAAGGCAGGGAAGCATTGGTGGACCCACGAGATCGTTGTACGGAAACAAACCGGCCAAGTGCTGCTCTAGGACTGGGTGCATCGTGCAGTTCACCCAGTGCCTCTTGGCATCCTCCCACAGGTGGTTCTTGCCACAGTAGCGGACCAAGGAAAACGGTCCGCACTTAGGGCAAACAACGGAGACCCCATCCCTCAAGTCACAGAGGACTTGACAGTCTTTCTCCTCGCAGATAATGCTGGCTCTGGGGAAGTACAACTGTGCTTGAGGGGCTGGGGCCCCGATGTTGCCAAACTGCCTGGCTATGGGAGTCGGTTCATCGTCCTCGAACGACTCGGGTGGAGACGGAGAACGGCCTTCCACTCCATCGCCCTGAGAGGAAGCACTCGAGGCGGGAAGCTCGCTGCGCTCTTGCTGGCGTCTAATCAACTGCCTGCGCTTGTGCCTGTCATGCTTCCTCTGTTTGTATACACTCTTCTTGCCACACCGGCTAGGCTTGGCTGGACTTTGGTCACCTGACTGAGCGGCGCCATCTGAACTGGGATCATTTGTCCCAAGTCCAACCAAGTCTGTGGTAGGTGAGGCGGAAGAGGTACGGGAGGGCGATCGAGGGTCGGCCGTTGGGGACGAGGATGCGGTTTCCTGGTCCCAAAAGAGCCCTGTAGACTTTTTGTTAGCATATATTCAAAGCGGAACATAAGTAAAATGTGGTTGCATACCTAGACTGGCCACATCAAAAGACTGACTTCGACGCAAGACTGGCTCCTGCGCCTCGTGGCCGTCAAGGTACTCTTCAGGGTCTAAATAATAGTTAGCAGCTGCATCAAGAATGATATCAAGAGTAAGTAACTCACCAGAAAACCACACCTCGTCCCTGTTGTCCGAGACAGGACACCGAAGCTCAACCTCATCCCCCTGCGGAGTAAAGCACAGCTCATCCCAAGTCCCTGCTGGCTCGTCTTCTTCCGCCTGCACTCCCCCTTTCTCTTTTTCCATGAGGTGCTCATAGGTGTGAAGAAAGATGAAAGTGAGGATGAGGGGAGGGAAGAGTGGGAGGAGAGATGAGTCCGGGCCGTCTCGAATAATGGAGACAACGGGGAAGTCATGTTATTGGGGGTGGTGGGGGTAGTAGGGGATCGGGGGCATTGACTGTTTGTTGGCCAGCAACTGCCGCAAGTTGCTGCTCAGTCGGGACATCCTGTCGAGCGATGTCCTGCACCCCCGAATGTAAGTCAACACGCCGGTTGTCACCATTCTGGTCATCACAATGGTCTGTAACGTAGTCTGTGATGTGATCGGTGGCGTGGTCTGCGTCCTTCTTTCCTGAGTCGGAGCCAGACAAACCAGATGTGCGCTTGCCCTTTCGCTTACCCTTGCCCTTTGACCATCTGTTGCTCTTCTGGGTATCAATAGTGAGTGTAGAAGCCCTCTTGGTCAACTCTTTCTCAGTCGACTCATGCTGGGTCGACTCATGCTCTTCCTGAGCCAACTCTTTCTCGGTCAACTCTTCATGAGGCAAATCTTCCTCGGTCAAGTGTTGACTTCCCATTGTCTCCATCGTATGTTCTTGCCCTAACACTGACTGCTGTGTGCTTGGCGCGACTGACTCATCTAACGTGTTGTCGTTAGAGCTTCCTTCTTCAGCTGTAGAAGGTTCTTGAACTTTGTTTGGAATTTTCTTTGATGCCATTTTCCCTTTTTTCTTCCTGGAAACAGGGAAATTGCAATCGGCAGTCAACTTTCCAAACAGTTTGCTGTTGCCAATGTCACCAGTCTCTGCAATTATCAATTGAATGCGCAGCCAAATCCGGACCGGAAGTGCCATGTATTCGCCGTAAGTGTTCTGTGATGTGTTAGTTAAATCCCAATAATGATGGTAAATCTTGTATACTGACAGGGTCGTTTTTAGAGATCACCCTATAAAACGGTTCACGCTCATCAACAGTGACTATCATCTGTTCCTGGCGTTTTGCATTCCGTCCACTGACGAACTTGAACTTGATTATTGGTGACTTTTTTTCGTCCTCATCCAGCTTACTCGGCAGCCGGATGTGTCCCATGGGGATGTCCAGTCGATGTAATGCCTTCCTCTCTTTGGGTTATTTGACTCTCGATCAGACGCTGCAGAACCAGGCTCCATGCTTTTGATGGCAACCTTGCTTGGAAACATGAAGAGTGCTTCAATCGATTGCATGACCCCCATCATGCCACCTGGGTGATTGGTGGGAATCGTAAAGTCAATGTATATCAATTCGGGGCCTTCAACAAACCCCTGAAGGTTGCACTTGGGGTTACCCTTGGGGTTGTTCTCGACAGTAAATGTTGGGCCAGTGGACTTCCAGTTCTCAATCTTCAGCCTCAACTGGCCATTACCCAGAGTGAGCCCGGCCTTCTTATCCTTCCAATCATCTGACTTGGACGGAGTCATGTCGGGTTGTTTCTCTGCGGATTGGCTTGATTCAGGCAACACCTCAGAACTTGCTGAACCAGGGTTAAGTTTTTTCATCTCAGCTTGGGTCATCAAACGCTCATCAGAGCTGGGCAGCTCAGTGTGTATTTTCGGCTTTGTGTCGGGTCCCCGTTCAGACACAGGTTGGGGATCAAACGAGAGAATCCTAGCGAACTTGCTGAAAATGGTAGGCATTTCGGAATGATGGTGGTGAACTGTTGAATTCATCTCGTATATTAGTGACTCTCCATCGGGTCATTCTTTTCTTCGGATTTGGAAAACATACCGAGTGGAAATAACAAAGAGGTATCTAATGTTCTCTGTCGAGTATCGGAATCAAGCTGACCACTCATTAGCTGAGGTTCATGGATACCCGATACTATATACTATGGTTCACAAGAAGACTCACTTGATGATAGACAAAGGCCTACAGCAGTTCCTTACTGCTCGCTGGGTTTCTGATGTGTCAGTTGAGGCTTCATCAATGCATGGTGGGTTTACCAAATACCCCTCGGTCGGTACAGGGCTCTCTTCGGCCCAATATTGCTCTCAGGGTATTCAACAAAAATACCTTGCTGCAGCATACATCAGTCAAATCCACGATGGGTCGGTCATCTGTGTTCGGATGAAACAACTTACCACGATCGGTCTTCAACACAGTGACAAGATGTAAGCCTTTGGTCTTATGTGACAGGTTGTGTGAACACTGATCTGACCATGTGTTAGTCAACAGAATGGGAAATGATACAGCTTCGAGACAAATGGCTTACCAAGAAGTCCTTGGGACACTGCAAGCTGTGGGACTTGATCTTGCACGGGAGGCTGTATGTACTACCCCGACCATGCATCAGTCAGTCAACAGAACAATAGCAGACACGACTTCCACCAAATGACTTGTCTTTAGGACACTCAAAACTGGGGAATGGTCTCACAAATTGTGGCTGTTGTCTTGGTTCATGCATTAGCCAAGGTACATGGACATCTGGGATGACACGACGCGTGAAGATGTGCGACAACTTACTGTGTGTGGTTTCAAAGCTTGGCTCATGCGTCTATGGCATGCAGCATGTGGTGAAACAAGGTTTTGCTCTTTGAGACAATGGCTTTGGTCAGTCAAAAGAGATGAAAAGTGACATGCATGAGCCAAAGCTATTCGGTGTGCGGAGAGGAGATGTTTGAAAGAAAGGAGAATGGGAAGAGAAAGAGATGGAGACAAAGGAAAACAACAAGAAAGGAAAAGAATCGAGAAGCATCGATAAGCATTGCAGTTCGACAACAATGGATGAGACAAGCTGGCTTTGCACGTGCTACCACCACAGAGTCTTCGATCGGAAGTTGCGACTGGCCGGGCGAATGTGACAGAAACGAAGATACTTACATGTCTCTTTCCCAGAAACGTTATTGATAAGGCTGGCCAGACAAATTGAGTGAAGCATCGAGGTATGAAAAAGGGTTGATGAGCTCTACCGGTACTGTGGGTCTATGGTTACCAGTCTCAAGTCGAATCTTGGGATCTTCCCTGGGCCGGAAGCTTCCATTATATCATGCACCCAAAGGATCAATACGTGATACGGAGTCTCCGTATTGAGAAAACGCCCTGACATGCAATTGGAAAGACGACGACAATACGACTTGCTTGTCACCCCACATACATACCCCCATGGTTCCGAACTCACGTCTCTCCCACCTCATCCGAGCTATCAAGAGCAGGCATCTGCAGAGCTATCCGACGGGACCAACCTCTGCTCAACACTTCTGCTTCAACACCCAGCTTCATCAAAGATGAAGCGATAGAATTGATATGGAGGCTTGGATGACGCCGTGCGAACAGGAAGTACATTGCGAACAACCTTTTCTTCTACTAGGTTCAATATTATTTAGCTCTACACTCCGGAATTTGATCTCATATTGAAGGCAATTGTTGCTTTATATCTATCTTCTTGCGTGGAAGTTGCAGAAAACACACTTGGAGCAATTCACCTGGAGAGGAGATACTACATAAAGGCCAATATAGTGGTCATTTTCTCTTTACTTGCCATGTGAACACAATACAGGGAGTTAATTGCGAATCAGAGCGTCTTTTTGGCGTAGAATTTAAGACATGTAGTTGCAAGTTGTTAGGGTGCGAGTTCGTCACGTGCGGTCACGTTTTACGTTGATCTCGTGAATGTCACGTGATCCGACCCTTTCAGCGCCAGCGACCACGACTTGAATAAGCATCAAGTACGTTTTCCACGCACCCCATCCTTTAGCAGACTTACTAAATAACCTATAATCACGATGGAATATATTCTAATTTGATCAGTCATCTTTCTATTCTTTAAATTTGTGCCCGTGGAGATTTTACTCTGCACTCGAATGCGATCTTCGGTGAATCGATTCACAGACTGGAACACTCGAGTTAAGCGGCAACAGCCAAAACAAAGACTAACTCCCGGATGCCAAACAACATGACTGTAGTCTACGATCTACGCGCATGACACGGAAGCCAATATATGTCTGGACAAGCATGATGTTAGATCAACCAGCTTTCGCTGTCCGGCTATTGGCTCTCAGCTCTCAGTCATGGGCGGCTAAGCGCCCATGGTGGCTATATTTGGCTGATAGTCCACTCCGGCGCTTTTGACACATACAGTAGCCAGTGAGATGCTCTGATGCTTCATGAAACAAACCATTACACAGATTCCTTGTCTTCAGACTTTATTTTTATATTTTCTTTGTTTCGAAATGGTTATGGTTCACTCTGATTGGGGCTGTCTCGACTATACGGGGTTGTCAAGATCCATCAGACTGTTTCTTTATGAGCGACATTGGGTTATTGTTATGTCTGCTGCCGCCCAGGATGTCTGACAATTTTTAGGTGACCTTTGCAGGCTACTATATTTGAAGATTCATTGTCCCTTGTTTTATTTTGATTCTATTGTTGGCAACTCTTGGTCTATTCATCTATTGATCCCCCCTTCCCGCCAATTCATGCAACAACTATAAGAAATCATATACAACCATGTCCCTCCACTAATCCGGACTTTTCTTTACTCGCTTTATCCTTCTTTAAGATCTCTCCACTTAGCTGCAGGCTTTGCATTATTTTTCCTTGATTTAATTACGCCTTCAAACATTCCTGGTCTTCGCCGGACGAGATCACGACTGAAACATTTTACAACTATCGCTTTCGAGCAAAAGAATCGCTACAATGGTACTCGGCCGATCTGGCCGATCGGTCTTTCCACTGCTCCCGCCTTATGGAGCTCACGATTCAAGCACGGGGCGGATAATTCCTCTACATCCAGATGGCCTCACTCCATATCTCGGTCTACGAGCTCGACTTTCACAAGTATGGATCAATCGATGGACTATACTTTTGCTGCTTGTTCTCTTCCGGGTATTGATTGCAGTTGGTGACTTGCAATCCAACATGGCATCCGCTAAGCGTGAGGCTCTCTCTGCATGCACGTCGGTGGAGTCCATGGGTAGTTCGATGGCTTCAATGCCCTACTACCTATCCAAGGGTACCAACGAGCTTGTGGCTTCCTCAGTTGATGAGGCCGTTTCTGCCCTGAAGTCCGTGTTGTTGATGACTATCACGGGCGTCGGGGAGATCCTTTGGTTTGTCATTAACATGATGTACTCCACCTACGCCTGTCTCATTACAATGGCCGTTCGTGGCACAGTAGGGGCCGGGATCGAATTGATCAAGGAAGCTACTGAGTGGATCAACAAAACCCTGAAGACAATCAGTGGCGACATTGAGAGTACCGTCGACGAATACAAAGACGAACTGAACTCATTCCTCGAGACAATCAACAAAGTGGCTAGCGTGTTCTCGGATGATCCTAGTCCAATCAACCTCAACGGCACAATTAGCACGCTGGAGAATTTGTCTCTTCCGTCGTCAGTTAACCGCACGGTCGAAAAATTGGACAGCATCGTCCTCCCCAACTTCAAAGAGATCCAAAATTACACAAAGACCCTCTTCGAAACACCCTTTAAAGAAGTCAGGGATTTGGTCAACGGCACTTTGGGCACTTACAGCTTCGATCGATCCGCTCTCCCGGTCCCTGCCAAGACACAGTTGACCTTTTGCAACGACAACAAAGGAATCAACGATTTCTTTAACGGTGTCACTAAGCTGACACTAAAGGCACGCAAAATATTCATTGCTGTCCTCGTCATTGCTGCCATATTGGTGTGCATTCCAATCGCTTGGCAAGAAATCCGCCGATGGCGCTCAATGAAAGAGCGCTCCCAGCTAGTTCGCAAGGAAGCCCATGACCCAATGGACGTTGTCTACATTGTCTCACGGCCATACACCGCCGCTGCAGGTATCAAGGCAGCAAGTCACTTCAGCAATAGTCGCCGACAGATCCTCGTTCGATGGGCTATTGCGTACGCAACATCCATCCCTGCTCTTTTCGTGTTGGCTCTTGCACTAGCGGCACTATTCGGTTGTCTGTGTCAATACCTCCTCCTGCACTCGGTGAAACAAACGGTTCCCGCACTGAGTGCTGAGGTGGGCGAATTCGCAGACAAGGTCGTCGGCGCACTAGAAAGTGCCTCGACAGATTGGGCTACCGACGCCAACAAAGCAATCATCAATCTCGACACTGACCTAAACCACAATGTCTTCGGCTGGGTCAACACCAGCACGCACGCCATAAACGGGACTCTAAATTTCTTCATCTACAACACATCCAGCGTTTTGAACGAGACCTTCAAAGGCACCCTTCTACAAGAACCGGTCTACGAGTTATACGAGTGCCTCATCGGCCTCAAAGCAGAGGCACTCCAAAAGGGTCTGAACTGGGTAGCTGATCATGCACATATCTCCCTCCCCACTCTTCCGAACGACACATTCTCCGCCGGTGCCGCCTCCAGCATCAATGATCCCTCCAATCCCTCCGACAGCTTCCTCGCTGATGCTGGCGATCAGACAGCCAACAAAATTACCGAGGTTGTCATCAGTGTGATCAACAAACTGGAAGCAGCGGTGCGCATCGAAGCCATCATTGCAACTGTCATTCTCCTTCTCTGGGTGTTCATTGCCTTGATTGGTATTATTCGTGCCATGATGCTTTTCTGGAGTCGCGACAAAAGCCGCGGCGAGGGGGCCAGGGTCATACCTTAGACCCCGTGCCTAATGGTGGACCACCAACCCAAGATCCGAATGGTTTTACTGAAGTTCCACTCACCGGTATTCCGAGGAATATGTCTGGAGATGGACACATTGCCCCTCAGTATACAGCGAGGGCACCATCCGTACCTGTGCGTAGTGAGCCGTCCAATCGCGATGAGAAGCTTGGCTTTGCAGGGCAAAGGAATTATGAGCATGCATTGCAGGTGGACTCGGGTCCTGATCTGAGGGGAAGTAGCTATGTTGAATATGATGTGAAGCGATGATAGGAACATAGTTCTATCTTCGTCTTTTTTTCTATCTTCCCTTTTCTCAAGAGAACTGTGATTTGCATCCAGACTCTATCTTTGCGCCATCTCCAGCATTTCATTCTACTGCCTTGGTTATTTTCCATATGGGCCGGTGTTCTATCAAAATAATTCCCAATGAAACAGTATTTCTAGTTTGAAATCAATAATGCTACTTGATTAAAAGTCCTAATTTTTCATCCCATGTTGAATATCATTATAAGAGTACAATTCATTTCTCACAATGCCTCTTACCAGATTGGCATAGATATGATAGAAAGTATTTCAACATAATTATCTGACTATACTAAACAAAAACTCCCAAGTCATGATACATTCTCGTATAAATCGTCGGCCATAATCCAGTCACTATATGGCAACAAAGAAGTTCTTCTCTCCCTCCTTGGGCTGCACTCTCACCCTCTCAATAATCGGATCAGCACAGCTAATCCGAATACGCTCAGGGGTAGCAGGAGACTCCAAAGATAGCACGTCATTCACGTTCCACTGCTTACGTGCAGCCTTCAAGGCGTCACGAATAGCAAAAAAGACCGCACTACCCATAAACAAAGGCGGCTCGCCGACACCACGAGAGCGTTGAATGGTACGCAAGTTCTCCCACTGCACATCCTTTAGCAAACTCACATTGAAAATCTGCGGGATATCACGGAAGCCAGGGATTTTGTAGTTGCCCGGGCCTCTAGTGAATATCTGACCAGAGGCACGGTGCCAGAGACTCTCTTCCGTAGTGAAGAGACCTTGTCCTTGTACAAAGGCACCTTCGATCTGGCCGTAGTCCACTGAGGGGTTGATACTGCGACCCACATCCATCTTGATGTCGGCGCGTAGAGGCGTCCAATCACCTGTCAGTGTGTCGATTTGGACTTCTGCTGCAGTAACTCCTTGTGTGAAGTAGAAGAACATCTGGCCACTGTTCTCGCCCCATACGTAGCCGATATCGGGGGTACGGTAGTATCCTTGTGCGGAAAGGTTGACGCGATCGAAGTAAGCTGCGTGGGCAAGTTCTTTCATGGTGGCATTAGGCATCTTCTCGCGGAAGGGACGTAGGCGTTCGTTGATTTGTTCACATGCATTAAAGATGGCATAGCCATTGAGATCAGAGCTTGCTGAAGCAGCGGTTGCGGAGGTATTTGCCACTGTATTAGTTGCGGTTTCGGATATGAAGACGCTGGCCTGCGGCACTTGCAACGCTTCAGCGGCGATCATGGTCATCTTTGTGTGGAGGCCTTGTCCCATTTCAACACCACCGTGTGCTACGAGGACACTGCCATCGTGGTAGATGTGAACCAAAGCTCCTGCTTGGTTCAAGAAGAGAGCTGTAAAGGAGATACCGAACTTGGTTGGCACAATCGCCATTCCACGTTTAGACCACTTGTGCTGCGCGTTGTATTCCTCGACAGCCTTCCGACGCTCATTGTAAGAGCTCTCTTCCATCACCTGCTTGTACATCAAAGGCACATACCAATCTTTGAGGGGTTGGTTGAAATGTGTCGTATCATCGGGCTTGTATATATTAATGGCCCGGATCTCTTCGGCCGGAATGTCCAGATGATCTGCAATCTCTGATATATAACACTCAGCGAAGAACAGGCCTTGCGGGCCGCCAAAGCCACGGAAAGCTGTGTTTGAAACAGTGTTGGTTTTGCAAACTCGGCCGCGTACATTGACATTCTGTATTTTATACACGCCATCGATGTGCGACAAGCTTCGCTCCACGACGGCACCGGATAGATCTTGAGTGTGACCTCCATTGGCGAATACATCTGCATCAAGCGCAAGGAGTTTTCCTTCTTTGGTCACACCAACCTTCCATCGACAGAGGAACGGGTGACGCTGACCGGAAGTCAATATATCTTCATCGCGGTTGAGCATACATCGCACGGGTCGCTTCGTTTTTGTAGCCGCAACGGCACAAATACCAGCCAGCTGAACAGATCGTGACTCCTTGCCGCCAAAGCCGCCACCAAGTCGCTTCACGCGAGATACAACTTTATTCGCTGAAACTCCTGTCACTTGAGCGACATAGGCTTGTCTGTAAACTATTAGCTTAGACTCTGTGATGAGACATAGTCGAATAGATCGCTACTCACGTTTCGGTAGGGTTCTGAGTACCACTCCAAATTTCCATTTCACCATCCTCTGGCTTGGGAATTGCCACACAGGCTTGTGTTTCCAGGTAGAAGTGCTCTTGGCCACCCATTCGTGAAACTCCAGTAAAGACGTGATCAGCTTTTTTGAAAGCTTCCTCAGTATCACCATTCTTGATGAAGCGATAGTGCTCAAAGTAAGACTCCGCCTCGATGGCCTCTTCCATCGTAAGGATACTAGGGAGGTCTTCATATTCAACCTTGACAGCCCTCATACCTTCCTCGGCGATTTTAGCGGAAGTTGCTAGGATCACACCAATCGGTTGACCAGCTGTGGTAACTTCATCGACGGCAAAGAAAAGCTCATCAGACTTGGGTTGGCCCCACCAGTTTGCCTGAGGGTCAGGAAGATCCGTGTGGTCCACGTAGTCCGCCACACCTGGGATATCCAATGCAGCGGAGGGGTCAACGCTGAGGATCTTGGCATGAGGTTTGGTAGACAGAATCATGCAAGCGAATAACTCATTCTGTTGAACAGGAATATCATCTGTGTATTGAGCTTCTCCTGTGGTCTGTTTCAACGCCGCAACGTGCGGAGTGGCTCGTCCAAGAATCTTCTGTTGATAGGCGACGGAGGTCTCAAGGTCTTTTGCTCCTGTGGAAATTTCTCTCTCAATCTCAGCGATAACATCCGGATCCAAATCCGAAGCCTTGACCTCGAGTCCTGAAAGTACATCGTAGTAGAATCTGTAGAAGAATCCCAAGGCCAAAGACTTCCGGTAACTGGCCATACCACCAGGAACTCCAAACGGCAGGTTGAAATCCTGCTCTAGTGCGCTCATGACGCCCTCTAGAGTTGCGGGGTTTGTGAACTTCTTGCCAACCAAAAATGCCTCGGCATTCTTCGCTGAAACTGTCATAGGTGCCATACCACCAAACACAAGATTAACGCTAACCACATCATTGGTCTCAGAAAGTGTCACCCGCAGCGCGGAGTTGACAATTGCAATATCATCATCTTTCCGCTTGGCCTGTTTGTATGCTCGCATGTGCTCTCCCTGCGCTTTCGCAGCTGGGATGCGCAAGCTAGCGATTATTGCGTCGGGAGCGAGGGCAGTCCTTCTGTATCCCTGGAAGAATTCGGTCATTGGAATTTCAGTCTCGCCTTCGAGAGACTTGGCCACGAGGATAGTGTTAGTGGCTACCAAAACCGGGTTGAGATCAGAGATTGGTGATGCAGTGGCCAAGTTCCCCGCCGGAGAAGCGACATTTCGAATCTGTCGCCCAGCGAAATAAAGCAACTGTTTCTTAATCGCTTTGAAAGGCTGGCCTCTGGCTTCGCCGTATTTCTCTACCGCTTGGTCACAGATATGTTCGAGGTCTGTTAGAGACACGTTTGCGCCGATCTCCAAACAATCATCGTGCAAGGTAAATTGTCGCAATTCGGGAATATCTCCCAGATAGACGGAAGCCGGGTATCGCATTGCCTTGAACTTAATCTCAATTTGCGTTTCCGTACTTCCACCAATTAATTTAGCGTCTGGGTGGACGTTCTTAATCTGCAACAGTTGCGCGACGGTCACTGGTCGGTACCATTTCTTCTTCTTGTTGCCATACGCTAAAGGTCGGTACTCGTGTTTCCGCAGAGCGGCAGGGAAGATCAGCTCTGTGTCTGGACTGTACGGCTTGAAGTCCGGCGCAGGAAACTTGTAATCGACTGTCTCGTTCTCGTCATTGTTGGTGGAACGCCCTTTACAGCAGCCACCGGAGCCATTTTTCTCCATGCAGCAGCCCGACCCACCATTGGTAGAGGCCTTTCCGCAGTTGTTAGTTGAGTTGAAGCTCTGAGCAGCATCTAGGATAGGTCGGTAACCAGTGCATCGGCAAAGGTTTCCATCGAAGGCTTCTTCAACATCGTGTTCCGAGGGAGACGGGTTATTTCGCAGCAGGGCATAAAGAGACTTGAAGCTATCAGTCAACTTCACATCCTTTCCAAAATAACCGAATCAAGCAAAAGGACCACACAGGCGTACCATGACTATTCCAGGAGTACAGAAACCACATTGACTTCCATTACCGACCGCAATCCGCTGCTGGATAGCATGGGGATCCTTCACATTCCCAATCCCTTCGACTGTGATAACGTGTTTACCGTCAATGCTAACGAGTGGAGCAATACAGGCATTCACGGAGGCATGGTAGATTTTCTTCGTTGTAGGATTGATATGGGAGACGACCTATTGACCGTATAACACCTCTGGTTAGCACTAGGTGCATAACCCAATATAGTTGATTGAAACCCACCACAGTGCAAGCACCACAGCCTCCCTCGGCACATCCAAGCTTTGTACCTGTCAACCCAATACCCCGCAGGTATTCGAGTAGAGTCACTTCCGGGTTGATCGTGTCTATTGCAATCTTGGTGCCGTTGAGATAGAACCGGATAGTGTCATCCCAGTCTTCAGTCAATGCAGACAGGCTGGTCGGCTTCTCAACCACGACCGTGGAGTCTGTCTCTAGGATTCCCGGCGCCATAGTGGAAATGTGGAGATTGTGGCGATGTTTAGAGGTAGGCTTTCAAGGGCGACTTCAGGTGCGCATCTTGGGTTATAGGCGAGTTGGGGAATTCCGCAATGACTTAAATCTGTTGCAAAAAGTCAGTTATCAAAGGAGGGGAATTCCAGATGAGATCAGTTCTCCAGATTCGATATCAGGTGGGCCCCCACTTCTTGTTATCTTTGCGGGGATCGCCACTGTCCGATGAGACAAGTCGGATGACCGTCGGATTCCGGCTTGGCACCTCCAGGGGTACAGTAGAACCTGGTTATAACGATATAATTCAGACACGGGAAAATTATCGTTATATCCAGG